CGAGGCATAGCGCTTGGCAATGGACGTTCTTCGAAAGACCCCCCACACACACACACACAGACACACGCACACACACACACACAAACAAACACATTGCCAGAAGATCTAGAAAGAACGCAACGCGGAGACCACCACAAGTTGACATTGAATAGACCCGTTTCAAGAGGTTGCGCCCTCCTGTAGCGGCTGCGCCAATTATTCTCACTCTGGGCATACATTGGACACAAGGAATCGTTTGGCGAAAACGCGAATCCAATTACACGCTTCGTGTGCAAGAAATGGCTTCGGCCAATGTTGCTTGATGGGGTTCCAAAAGAGGCCTATTCCCACGTGGTTTTCAGATGTCGATGTTGCACATTGTCGACAGCTCCACCGTGACGAATTTTTAGGTTGCCACAGACGGCACGTAACTTTCAGAAGGAGGCTTTGACCTGATTGTGATCGTTTCATGATCTGACATATGAACTCGGAGGTTCGACCTTATCACCATTGCACCATCATACGCCAACGCGTGGCTCGAGCCATGCAGACGCCATATTTGCTAAACCGCGTGTCCATTGCCCACTCGTGGCGGATATGGTATAAGTCGATCGCAACAGGAGGGAAAATTTAAGAAAACAAAAGGTGCACTTGAGACTGACTTGGATGGTACACCGTTTACGACGACAGGGTCTGAGGTCCTCAAAAAAGCGCGTGCTTTTCTTTTCTTTTTCCCTTTTTTTTATTTAGTGGCCCTGGCCGCGATCTCGGAGTTGAGCGTCGACATTCTGAGTCCAACGTCCGCCATGGTGGAGTGGAACATGAGCCGAAGTTACGGTTGGCAACCACGAGGCTTCAAGCTCGATATCTGGAGGATCCTCCCCGACGATGACGCCCAGCAGGTAGCTATATCACCCTGAATATGCATATATACACTTTAAAAGAACCTGAATCGCTCTATAGGACCCAGTATCACTGTAAGCATAAGACAATGATGGCAGCATGGTGATGAGCTCGCAGCAGTCGAAGGCAGACGTAGAGAGCTAGAACAACATCCCTCGACCGCTGTTCTGTCTTCCAGCGATCTTCTGCCATTCTTGAAGCTAGAGTGACACTCAAAACACTTCGCACAATTCACTGTTGTTGTCTTTTTTTTTATTTTGCAAACGTTTGTTGAATAAATTGTAATGTCTATGTTCTACCGGGTGAAACAAGGAGACGGTAGGCTCTTTAAATCGTCCGGAAAATTCGGTTTCTTAACCTATCGCGCTACGACTTTGTGCAGCGTTGTCCACAGATGGTGCATTTTTTTTTGTAAAATTTTCAAAGAGCGAACTTACCCAAGGAAAAAGTAAAGAAAGAAAAAGGCTTAGCTCCTATGGAAACGCAGCGACGCCACCGGTCTGCAGACAACACGACACCGTTTCGCACGGGAGACAAGAGATGGCGCACCAAACGCCGCCAACGAACGAGCATACGGCGCCGAGAGCAGGCCTTTTTAGCAGACAACCTTTCCGACTCAGAAGCGGCGCGCGTTCCGCAGGCGGCGACAGTCGCAGAAACAAAAAAGACAGGCGCAGTAACAGCAAGGAACTGCAGTTCCTTGTCTGCAAAAGGGCCGGCTCTCTGTGTCGTCTGCTCGTTCGTTGGCGACAGTTGGCGTCGCGACCGCTTGCGCCATCCCTTGTCTCCCGTGCGAAACGGCGTCGTGTTGTTTGCAGACCGGTGGCGTCGCTGCGTTTCCATAGGAGCTAAGCCTTTTTCTTTCTTTACTTGTTCCTCAGGTAAGTTCGCTCTTTGCAAATTTTACAAAAAAAAATATGCACCATCTGTGGGCAACGCTGCACAAAGTCGTAGCGCGATAGGTTAAGAAACCAAATTTTCCGGTCGATCTAAAGAGCCTGCCGTCTCCTTGTTTCACACGGTAGATTTGCCGAGTTTAGCGCAAATTTGAAGTTCGCTCTCGCTCTGGCTTGCAGTCTACCGTGAAACCACCATTGTGCTCGTGCATGAGCTCAAAAAACTCGTGTAGCGCAGCTCTAAATGTTAACAGAACGACGCCCTTTGGCATAACATTAGACGAAAGTCCCTGCCTTTGTCTTCTGCGCGCGCATCTCAGGGCTGCCCTTTCTTTTTACGCAACAAAATCCGTTTCGGAACTTTTTGATGGCACATCATATGTAGAACTCTGCACTGCGCGTATATCGAACACTGCGTCACTCAGATAAGACCCTATATCAGAAATCGGTCAACATATCGAAATACGCGTCACTGTAAGGAATGTCCATGTCTGAACATACACACAATGACGTTAACACTTGAAATTCTTACCGTTAATTGACAGTCTTACCGTGCATAAAAAAATACAATGTGAAATCTTACATGCGAGTTAAGTATGACTAAGTAGACTTATCTGCGATTGAGGGTGCCTATGAATATGTAACTAGGGTATAGTTTTTAGCAACTGCTAATTACACTTAAGCGTAACCGCGGTTTAGGGCGCCCGTCGGAGACCCTTAACCCTAGTAAAGCCTTACCTCAGTCACTCTTAACTGCGGTTATGGGTGCCTGCGTAACTGGGTTATTAGTTTTTTACAACAACTAATTGCCTTTCACAAGTCACCAATGGAACAGTTTGACCTTTCATTCGAGCATGAGTTCATGTCTTAATTAGTGTTATTTTGTTTTGTTTTGTTTGTTTTGGAAAACGCGAGTGTCCGTTTTTGCGCTCTCCTTCGCACAGCTTCCCGTGCGGTCCATGGTTCTTCCTCTCGGCGAGAGCTACGCCAGCCTAACGGACTTGGAGCCGAGGTTGGAGTATCGAATCACCTTGTGTCCCATGGAAGGCGCGCAGAGCGGATGCAAGACAGTGTTACTTCCCAGCAGAACAGCGGCGCTCGAAGGTCAGCACAGTATCGCAGCAAATACGCGATTGTTAAAAAAAAATAACAGCAATGTGTTTCTGATAAACAACAAAAAGAAAATGGGAGCCATTCCACTCTGTGGAGTTGCATGACCAGCGAAGCTGTTTAGCACACCGACACAGACGTGACACAAAATTTTTAACAAAGGTACGACCACATTTATTGTCTTGATCGGTGGTCATCGTGACGAAAGGTACGCACACACACCTGCCGCCCGCCGCCGTCGCTGACGTTCTCGTTGCCGTTCCCGCCGTTGCTCTTCGCAGGCGCGTTGCTCTTCGGAAGTCCGGGCTATATACGCGACCTCCCTATTACGACGAGAGAAGTGAAATTAAAAATGGAGAATGGCAACCCAAGCTTCAAGGGGAATGGTGTTCCACGCGCCACACGCGTGGGCCTTCCCCGTATAAAACATTCGTAGTACGTACATTACAAAAATAAAGCGTTGACGAACGCGCCTGCAGGATGCCATTTGTTTTAGGACTTTGCTTTAGGACAGCTACTGCTGAAGACGCCGGCTCATGCGGCATGTGGGTGCGGCGCGAGCGTAGAGTTTTTGTTGACGCACGCGAAAAATTCACGGAACCCTAGCCATGAACAGCTTCGTTTTAAAACGTGTGTTTTCAAGAACTGACCCGACAGCTTTAGGGCCTCTTGCTCTTAGCACGAGCTTGCTCACCAGCGGCGGAAACGGTGCGCACGTGTGCGTCTGTTATTTGCACACCTCCTTTTTTTTTTTGGCTCCCGTGTTCTGTTTTGAACTGAACCTTGCTTCTCACCGAGGCCTTCGCCCCACTTTAATTTCTATCGTTATCGGAAAGTTCCTACATCAGAAGCGTGCAGACTATTCCAATATTCGGCTTCCACGCGCTGCCGTTTTGAGCATCCGTAGAGACTCACTTGAAAGGAACAGCAGGCGTCGAGATTGCATGCATAGCCAAGTGGTTGGGCACATTTTACGCCTCGCCGACGAGCGCTGCAACGGCGTGTATTGAGCGCACGTCGGTTTCAATTCCAGGTAACCAGCCCAAGAAAGCTCAGATAGACACCGTAAGTTGTTTTCCTTCTTCACGCGCCTCCTGGCCCACAAACACACAATACTTGAAATACGCGTAACTCCAAATAACGTGTACTTTTTTCTTTTTTGCGGCGTTTTTTTTTTTTTTTTTTAGTTGAAGCCGGTGAGCGAGGGAAGTCCACGCCCCTCTCCGGCCATCATGGTCATTCGCATCATGGGCTGCTGCGTTGTTCTCATCCTCACAGGATTCACACTCATCGTCTTCTTAACCTCCGGGTACGTCTTTCCATCACGTATAAATGTTTGCGAGCCGTAAAACCTAGACCGTGCATGAAAAGTGCTTTGTTCGAGCGCAAGCCTGGCAGCCAATGGCATGGCTCAGTGAGGCTAGGTGACGGAAGCTGCCGCCCGTTACAAAAGGTATAGCCATTACCAACCGTCCATCTATCTATCTATAAAAACTAAGTTAGGAAACTCACTCTTGAAACCTGCACCCCTGGCGTCCACCGAGACCGAGCTAAATACGATAACAGCGCCACTCTTTAGCGACGAGTTGAAACATGAAAGTTGCTTTATATAGCTACTGCGAGATAGCCCTGCGAGATGGCGCCACTGGCCCTTGCCCGACTTGTCTGGTCCTCGTCTTTCCGCGCTGTTTTTAATTCGGAAGTATGTACCGCCTCGCCCAAGCCTCAACTTTAGCAATGGTGTCCGCATAACTAGTGTGACGTTTGGCGTTCTGGAAAGGGGACAGTGTAGGGACTTCGGCAACACCTCTTAGATTTTTTATTCTAGATATAAAGCCGTAGTATGGTGCCAGGAACACGTGTCCACTGCTGCGCGGACATCTTTAAAAGGTCGCTCCCGATTTTTATTTTTTCTCCCCCATCAGCACGGCGTACCCCGACGTGGTGGCCCAGATCTTCTCCGAGTTCTCCATTATGGGCGCCTACACCTGCGTCCTCATGACGACGACGGACCAGCGGCAGTTGACCGAGGTACTCCTGACTGCGTCTGCACCGCGCCGTAGCTCACAAGTGGTACCACGTAAAGTACACAGTAAGGTACTTCATAAGCGGTGCGACGTAAAGCAGACGTAAAGCACCCATCAGCCCAGAGTGGGAGCCATAAAGAGGTCAAACCCGGAGCAGATGGCGTCAACGTCAAATGCAAATAGGTCATTAAAAAATGTCTTTTTTTTTTTTTGTATTTATTTATAAAAGCGCAAACATAATGCAGCGTTCGAATGCGAGAGTCAAACGTCGGACGCCGGCGTTCCGCGTCCTAAAGCGTTCGATGAGATGAAAAAACTTAAGTACGAATAATTATACGAGACGGTTAAAATGGTTACTGCGTCGTTAGTGTTCTACACCGTTTGTTCCAGACCCGTATCTCGCAAAATAAAAAATCATGGCGCAGGTTGCTGTAACGTATCATAAGCCTCTATCCTAGCTGCAAACTATCAATGTGAGTAAAAGGTTTTGAGTAAACGTTCAACATTGCCTTAATAAGTGCAGTTCAACCGGGGGCCCACAAAGCGCGTAATAAAAAATTTTTAAACATGAAGAAGATACATAGAAATGGGGGACGGACAACGAAGACTTAAAGGTGACATATTGAACCTCTGGCTCAGCAACACTTCCTTTGATTTTCTTGCTTTCAAAACTCTGACTGACAAGGAAGACTTGTATGTATCTTCCTCATGTTTAATTATTGTTACCAACACTCTCGTTTTGTACTTAATAAAATTTTTCTAGTGTGACAATCAAAGGTTCCGAATCTTCTCTTCGAGCACAGAAGCAGTGCATGGTGGCGGCCGTGTGCCTGCAGTTCTTCTTCCTGAGCACTTTCCTGTTCCTGATGCTGGAGTCGGCGTACATGGCCAAGCTGCTCGTCGGCATGTTCCCGGAGTCCCTGCCCTTCAACAGTGCATCCGTCAGTGGCGCCGGCTGGGGTCCGTTAGCCAAACTTGCTTGTTGTTGTTGTTTGTTTTGTTTTTGTTCTTGTTTTTGTTTCTAAGCGAACTTTCCGCACTGCTCGTGTCCCTCTGTGCTCTGTTACCAAAGAAGAATCCGGCACGCATATGTCGTATCCCGATTTCATCCGTTATACAGCAAGGGGTTAATGCGACAAACGTATTCCACATGCACACTAGCTTCCGAAAGGCAAATACGGCGACCAGGGGTCCATTTCATTTTTACATATACATATTACGTTTATATACATATTGTAATAGAGAAACAGCCGAATCCCACGGATGCTACAGTAAAAGGCTTCAGTTGGTCGCTGGGGTGGCCGTACGCCGGAAATACGTAATAGACGGAATAGGGGTGGTCTAAACCTGCACACCCACTATAACAATCTACAGTTCTAAAATCAAACTGTATCACAACGCTCTTCTTTTGGGCTACACGGTGGTTAGACGCCCATATAGCACCGAAAGGTTTGCCCCGCGACATACAAACGCAGCGCGTGGTAAGTCGAGCAACTCATTGTCAATCCACACTCAACAAAGATTCCGACGTTAGTTGATAAGAAGGCCGAAGAAGAAACCACGAAGACAGAAGTGTTAGAATAATGAAGCTGCCAGCGTTTATGGGCCATTAACGAAAACAAGTCGCTTTGATGGTTGGACTGGTTAAGCGGGACATGTAACGATACTGGGTAGGAATGTTTTTCATTTTACGTAAGCTTGCTTGTGCTAAAATAGCCTGATCCTGAGAAAATAGCACCATTGTCTTCCCTGCCTGCTTGCGAGACACAAACAAAATACAAACGTACAGACGACAAAAACCTCGCAAGGCGATGATTGGCTGAATGGTTTCTGTTACCATGGCAATCGCCATTTTGGTCCTTTCAAATCTTCTAAGCTTCTAAAGGGTCGTTCTCAACCAGTCGTGCAAAGATCACCTTAGAAGCGTCATCCTACTGAAAGCGTTCCCCGCCAATGTGCAAGCAATCAACTTATCAATCGTGGATGGAGAAAGAATAAACAATTAAAACAGGGACAACACAACCACATCTTTCATATCAAAGATGTGGTTGTGTTGTCCCTGTTTTAATTGTTTATTCTTTCTTCATCCATGACTTAAACCAACACGCTCTTCTGCCAAGCTTATCAATCGTGTTTATCTCGACAGATCTCTTAAAATGATATTGCCCCTCTTGCGTATTTCTACAGCGGAGCTGTTAAGGGCTAGTTTTCTCAGGATCGTGTCCCCCGCAAAGAAATGTAGACACAAAACTCTGGTTGCCGCTGTCGCTCACAGATGGCGGTAGCTGTCCAGAGTGTTGTGTTTGCCGCCGTCGCTCATAGATGGCGCAACTTTTCGGGCCCTTCCACTCTGGCTTTTAGACGGGAAATTTATTTTTTCATTACCTCCAAACACCGACATAGCGTGGGAATGCGATACGAAGATGCACGCTTGTTTCGCCCGTCTGTGGATATCAAAATCACGGTATACAAGAAACGTAAAACCTTCTTGATTTGCCCGATTCGCGCTGAAAAGCCGGTATGGTCGTGTCGGCGGCCAAGCGTCCGTGATTGTCGGGCCGTGGTCACTGAAATAATGAAAACAGCAGGGATGGGGGTTTTGGTTGTCCCGCCGCCAGCTCCCTGTCTTACCGACGACGCTTCGGGAATCTCCAGACCCTCGAGCGCTCATGCGCTACCGAAGCACCACGGAAGGCAGCGAGCGTGCGCCGGCCAGGCCTGAAGCTGAAAGGAGACTACCTGTCGTGCTCACTTTTTCAGTGACTACAGTGGTGATAGGCCAAAGTGGGTGCATATTTGTACGCCTAAGTAGACTATAATCTGATAACGTGTTTTCCTGCAGGCGTTCCAGCCATCATCACGGGCCTTTTCGCGTGGGCATTTCCAGACAAGTACACCCGCGGAGGGCAGGTGTGAGTATAGCGTGCTTTTATACATCTATAAAATTTAACCGGGGATCCGCATTTTTGGTAAATGCCGATAAACCCCGAAGAGTAACACACAAGGCGGTTTTATCAAAATCCGGGGGAAAATTGATGAACCTTGCATCGGTTGCTTTTCTTGAATAAAAAAAATGCACATGCTTAGACGGAAGATAGTCTTTGTCTACGGCTTTATTTTGTGTTGTCCCGGAATGCAGCCCGCAATGAATTGAACAAAACAAAAATAAAAATTATACCAAAAAACCCCGAATTTCTGTAATAACAAAAAATAATAAACTCGCCCTAAAAGCTCCTCCGAATGCAACAAAAAATAAAGACCGAAAAATCAGAACCCTATAGATATAATAAAAGTGTGCAGGGTATGTAAAAAAAGATAAAACCCGGTTTTCTGGGCCGTATAAATGAACTACGCATCACAGAAATCTGAAACACCGTAAGAATTCGATGTTATAGCGGTGCTAATAGAATGCGAAAGTTTGAGATCCTGGTGTTACTCGCATCGAAATCTGAAACAAATAAACAAAATTTTCCCTATGCGCCAACGTGCACCTGAGCCTAATACTAGTCAAACCAACAGCAGACATTGTGGGCGCCTGTGACAGTTATTTCAGTCAAAAACGCTTGTCAACAAAAAGCATTATTTCGAGTTTTTTTTTTTTTTTTTTTTTTTTTCCTGACTGACAAATTATTTTTGCCGAAATAAATGCTCCGCACATCCACAAAGTCACGCCTTAGTTCGACGAATCTTAGTCTAAAGTCGACGTCCGTTCATAAGAGAAAAATATATATTTTTTTTTATGTAGTTAATATCATAATTTAAAACTCTCGCCATTGTATCACCCCCTCTAGCGTAACATTCTCACGGAGTTTCACCTTTCTGCGATGCCCAGTTTATTTATGCGTGCCGAAAAAAAATCGGGTTTCATTTTCTCTCACGGACTCGGCACAAAAGCTGAATAAGTTTATATTTGATACTGCGGGATGCAGATTAAATTATCACGCACTTCAAAGATTAGTGCTTTCTAAGCGGTAGGCTATTTTTGTTTTCTAATTTGAAGAAATCATTAACATTGATGCAACGCCACTACACTATTTTTTCTTTAAAAAATAAAAAGAACGAAAAACAAACTCGACCGCACAAAGAAACAAAAAGACGCCAACTATCAGTACATGAAAAGCCGCGACCTTGAGAAAAACAACAACATGCATACACATTTACAAAGTCGCTTCCGAGTGAATCACAAAGAAACAGCGAGTGGCAGCCATGCGACTGGAAAAAAACAAAAGAAATTGAAAGCACAGCGCCTAGTGTCTTTCGGCGACGTCGATACGGCACTAATCGATGCGGGGAACTTGACGAACGTTCGTATAGCCTTGACCGACACCGGACAAGATGGAACCAGGAAGAAAAAGAAGCATCGACCAAGTCGTACATGTCATAATTGAGAGGGCGAGCGTTCTCCGAGCGTAAGGCTCGCGCGCAATCTGGCGGTCGATAGCTGCTGCTGCTGCTGCGCTCAACCAGAGTCTTGGAACACACGCTTCCGCATAGATCGCTGGCCGCGAGGAAACTCCGGACGTATTACGGCGACGACGACGCGCAAATGGTGTATACCGGTGGGTGCGGAGGGCGCGGGCCGCCGGGGCAAAGTTCCCAGATAAGTTGTTCGTGTATACAAGTAGCGACATTGTCGCCGACTGCGTGACGGTGCAGATCTTGTAGGAAACGAATGGCGGCGCACAGCAGAAAGAAGCAACGTTACAAGAACTCCTCAGTTGGGAAACTGCCTTAGAGCCTGCTTTAAAAAAGTGGCTCCTATCCGTACTCGAGGACCGAGCTAATGGCGATCGCAACGCCGCCATTTATTCCACGGCGTCCACTCCGGGAACTGCAGGTGTGCACGTCGAGTTGGGCAAGGGCCGGTGGCGCCATCTCGCAGTAGCTATGTAAAGCAACTTTCATCTTTCAGCTCGTCTCTAAAGGGTGGCGCTGTTATCGTGTTTAGCTCGGTCTCGGTGGACGCCAGCGGCCCGTGTTTCAAGTGTGAGTTTCCCAACTGGGGTTTTTAGTAACGTTGAGTGAACTGAACAACGCCGTTTTGTTCCTAGAGAATGTGCCTCGTCACTTCGTTTGGTTGTCGTACACTCTAAAAAAGAAGCATCATGGGACTTTTTAAGTGCTTGTGTCTGTGTAGTCGGCCTGTGTTCCACCACCGACTAGAAGCCAAGGCGCGTGTGCCTTTCCCTTCCTGCAGCGAAATAACTATGTAATGATGTAATGGATACACGCAGCGCCCCCTATCTCGCGTTTCATAGTTCACCTTCGACGTTTTTGCCGCTTGGGGCGAGGGGGGGGGGGGGTGCATGAATGATGGCGTCATGCGCAGGGCTTGTCTTCTGGTAGGTGGTATTGCCTCTCGTGCCCCTGGCAGAGGTGAGAATAAAACCCAAATCGGCGTTTGTCCTTCGGTGCGGGTAGATCAACTCACCGCGAGACACAGTGCGTGCGCGCATGAGCGAAACGACGAGGCAAAAACACAACCAACCTCAAAACGACGAAAACGACGCGAGGCGAAACTCCATTCGACGAAGCCGCACGCAAGGGAACACCATGCGGCAAAAAAGAACACGATAAAGTAGCGCCCGACGAAATAGCACGCTCGATACGTACGCGCAGTTGTCCACATTCGGTATGCGCATGCGCGGATTTGTTTGTAAACAGCGTGTTTTGGTCTGGCGGCAACTTTCACCAACTGTTTTCAAAGACACTTTCACGGCTTCGTCTTTAGACCACCAGGTGCCGCGAGCGAACCTGCCGCCACAGCTTTCCGTTCTCGCCGCTAGGTGTTGTCGATTTCGCTAAAGTAGCCGACAGACGGCGCCAACTATTCTGTGCTAAGCGGTCAAGGCTATGGCGTAGCTTCCGCAGCAATCCGACGCTGTCAAAGCTCCTTAGCACGAGAATGTGTGCAAATCAGACACATAGACGATGTCGTTTGCTAGCACGACGGTGCGGGGCTGCAGCGACGGTGTGGAAGACACGTCAGCCTCTACAACGTAGTACAAAATGGTAGACGCCGGGTGTAGAAGCTGTCATAAACTTTTGATAGGCGATCAGGTCGCTCTCATACTAATAAAATCGAAAGAGAACTTCAGCATACAAGCATGAGTACCAACATTCAAAAGTTTCGTATTTCTTCGGAACTTCAAAACCTCCGCAGCTTCTTTTTTTCGGAGAGTATACGATACAATAACACCGGAGCTGCCTACTTGGGTGACGTCTTTTCTTCGGGACCGTTTCTGCAGCTGCTGGCTGGACCTGTCCCAGGTGGCCTCGTACTCGACCACGGTTCCGGTCGGCCTGTTCGTCGCCCTCCAGCTCGTCTTCCTCGCGTCCGTGTTCTTCTCCGCCCGACGACGGCGGGCGCTCACCTGCCACGAGTTCCGGAGGGCCAGGTAGATATAATACATATATATATATATATATATACACGCTGCCACCAAAATACAAACTTAGACTAGGTGGCGCAAGCTACCGCTCTTTACAAAAGGGATAGCCTATAACATCCATCCATCCATCCAGTCTGCATAAACTGTCTGGGGCGTCTATATTTTCCCTTGTACAACGACCCTATCACACTGGTCCAACGTTGTTAGAACCACTCATTTGGGAAACTGCCATAGAGCCCGCTCTGAAGAGGTGGCGACGATCTTTATCCCAATACCGAGCTCATGGCGATCGCAACGCTGCCATTTCTCCCGCAGCGGCCACTCCGTGAACTGCACATCTGCACTTACTGGTTCTAGTGAGTCAAGGAAGGGCCGGTGGCGCCATCTCGCAGGGCCATCTTGCAGTAGCCATATAAAGCAACTTTCATGTTTTAACTCGCCGCTAAAGGGGGGCGCTGCTATCGTATTTAGCTCGGTCTCGGTGGACTCCAGAGGCCCAGGTTTCAAGGGAGAGTTTCCCAACTGGGTGTTTTAGTAACGTTGCACTGGTCATACGGAGAACTCTCTGCAGACATGATTCGTAGCATGTATGAGGTTAACGTGCTTCGAACATGTTCGAAACGTGTCCGCAGACGATTCTGCCATCGTGTCTGCAAAGAAACTCCGCGTCCTTTGGCACGATGTGCACGATCAGGGAGACTGCAACTGAAGGAATGTATACTACCTGGCTTGCACGGAACTTCGTCATCGGTCATTCATGTCGAACCCGGAACCTCATTATGAGGTCCCGGGTTCGATACTTGGACCAGGCGGATTTTTTCGGTCGCTCACCAGTCACCTAGCTGTGTTTGGAGATTTGTGTTTGTCCTTTGTCCCCCTTGTTTCCCTTCTCCAGGGATAATTTTCGTAATTCTCGTCCAGCTCGCTTGCACCTTAGCATGAATTGCATTATGGTCATTCATGTGCCTGTTCTTGCCGTAGAAAATCAGCGGTGCAAGTTGTATATGCCGTAAAATCTACGTGCTCAGCAGAGAGACCACCACAATGGCGTCCGACGTGACGCCAGCACAGACCATATAAAGTATATGGTGCATAAATTCTCACGCGTCTGTTTTATGTATAGTGGTGCGTTGCGGGTCGGATGGAAAGTTAACCTCACGTGCTTTCCGCATTGCTATATGGCGAAACTGCCCTGTCGCAGCTTACTCAGAACACAGGGCACCGGGCAGGTTCGAAATGTTACTGCCAAAGTTAGTACTGTCAATCGGAGGAGAAGATTCCAGCAATTTCTTGAGGCTGGCTCACATATTTGCGTTTGACTGTGACCGATTGCGTTGTGACTAGGGAGGCTCAAGTGAGGGTGGGTGCAACTCCTAGATCGGGGATCACGGGACATGGACGACATTTAATTGCTAAATTTTGCTGGGAGTCTATGGGGCAAAGGGTCGTTTTCTTTCCTAACTCAGGTTATAGACGCCCATTAAGGTGCTTGAATAATTTACACAAGGTATAAATGATCACTTTTCCATAGCCATCAGTTTTGTTGCGATAGGTTAAGTATTTTTTCAACGCGAAAAATGGTAAATTCTGCCATCTTGGACGTTGCTGCTTGTCTGGCAACTCTGCTTTCTTCTCTCGACGTTTGCAATTCTCGGAGCGAGAAGGAAGCGAGAGAGGCTGCGCCAAGGCGTTCGTTGCTTGCAATGGGAGGAGAGAGGAGGAAAGGCGCATGGAGCAACAGAGTTGCAACAGAGCGGGCGCCTGCTCTCATGCAGGCAACATTGGCGCATATCCTTTCTCGAATCCTCTCCCTCAGGCGCCGCCATTAAATTGCAAACGCTCTCCAGGTTTTGAGTTGCGCCCACCCTCACTAGAGCCTCCCTAGTTGCGACCGAGCACACTGACGCCATCTGTCGGCTGGACCCGGAACACCTCCAGCCTGTATAACACTGCAGAGACTGGAGATTTTGCAGTGTTTGCGAGATCAGATCTACGCGCTATCTATGAGTGATGGTCCCTTACAAAGTTGTCCGAACTATTTCGAGCCAACGTTTGAAGATTGATGCGTACAACATGTGAAGGGATGGACGGAAAAACGTTTATTAAAACCACATTAGTGTGTTGGGAAGGTGGGGGGGGGGGGGGGGGGGGGGGGCGGCTGCGTTGCGGCTTGACCCTATTATGAAAAGGGAATAGCTAGAGGGGCTTCTTGCTGATGTCTGCCTTCTCCAAGGAGAATATTACAGATTTCAACATAGTCAGACGTCGGATGTCACCCACCATCGGCCTTCAAGACCTTGTGGCTTTTCGTGTAGGGACGTTGTTGTTTCACATCTTTCTTCTTCGAAGTTCCAAAAAAGGCCGACATAAAAAGTAAAAAAAAAAAATGTATGCAGGCCAGAAGTGTTCTGATTATAATGCAATCAAATGCAAAATTTTCGCCAGAAGTGTTCTAGCCGATGGATGGCGCCAGCGTGACAGTATATTAAGCGGTTACAAAGATCACACCACCTTCGATCGCAGTGACCGACACGCAAGTGTGGAAACCAGACTTTCTGTTCACCCCTAAGCTGACAGGGAGGTAAAAGCTACGAGCTCGCCCGATCAACCAACCGCCTCCCGTTCAGCAGCTGACCCCGCTCTCCGCGCCCGGGTAAGGGTTGGAGGGTAATTACGTGACAAGATATAGAGCTATGAGTGGTCCAGCGAGCAAGTAGCTTCTACCGCACCGTCAGATTACGTGTTACACCGTAGGGCCCTTAGTTTTAGGATTTTAGTTTTCAAAAATGGGGGGGGGGGGGGGGGGGGGGTAAAAATTTGGTGTTATTTTCCAGGCTCGCAAAGGAGAGAAATCTGTTTTTAGATACTATTACGAAAATCGGGTTTTCCTGATTAGTAATTGGTTTAAGAACGGGGAATGTTTTATTTACAAAAAGAAATCATTATTGTGCAGATAATCGAATTAAAACGTGGTATAAGAATGACTTCTTATACCACGTTAATTGTATTCTCAACAATATATATATATATATATATATATATATATATATATATATATATATATATATATATATATATACATTTGTAATCGTTTGCATGCGCAGCATTTTTGTCTCAGTAGTATACCTCTAACGTCTTCAGACATACCTTAACTGAGGGAAGGTTTTTCTCAACATCAAAGCTTCCGATTTCAACGCACAGCAGCGTCGGCGCGGCATTCGGTGGTCTATAGACTCTGGGGTAGCGCTCTCTTATCAAAATTGCCATCGCGAAAAACAAAATCCTTACAAAGTCTCGTTTGAATATATTTTGCGTTGCTTCTGCCATGCGCACTTTTAACCAAGTTCTCCGTAATCTCTACAACGCAGAAAAAAAAACAAAAAAACACGAAAACGTGAAAATGGTGGAACGTTTCTTGCGAATTAGGAGGAAAATCAAATTTAACCCGATTTTCAAAAAAAAAAAAAAGAAATACATGCTTAGGTTGCAAATATAGGGGAAAATCGGGTTTTACCCGAAAACCAAGGGTCCTAAACGTAATGGTATATCAGCTCCGACCAGGAAGGCGGCAAAAGCGCGCAGCGATCTATGGTTCTTGCTTACTGTGTCCCGTACTGTGCCTCCACGGTTTCGCCCACCGTGAACACCCCGAACAACGCAGGACCCAACTGGCGTCCAAGTGGGCCTCGCTGATCCTGCTTGCGAGCACCACGCTCTCCTGGGCCACGGGCGCCGCCGCCGAGCAGCACAAGACCAGGGGTCTCTTCGTCTGCTTCTCCGTGTCCAGCATCATGCTCGGCGTCTTCGTCATCACCCTCAGGATCAGCACCGAGGACCAAGTAAAGGCTTCCAAGCTGTTTAAAGGACCCTCCAAACAGGACGGAATTTTTTCTGCAGTCGCAGCGTTTGATGTACCGGAAGTGGAGGTTTCCCTCCAATTCCAATCCGCGTTGGCACGGCGTGTCCCTCGCAAAGAAATGAAGACACCGAACTAGGGAGGCTCAAGTGAGGGTGGGTGCAACTGCTAGATCGGCGATCACGGGACATGGACGCCATTTAATTGCTAAATTTTGCTGGGAGTCTATGGGGCAAAGGGTCGTTTTCTTTCCTAACTCGGGTCATAAGAGCCCATTAAGGTGCTTGAATAATTTACACAAGGTATAAATGATTACTTTTCCATAGCCACCAGTTTTGTTGCGATAGGTTATGTTGCAGATCGGCTACGCCGCCACAAGCACAGTGGCGCTTGTCATCTTATCTTCCACCTTCTCTCTCCCTTTCCCTCTCGCCTTCCCCTTGCCTGTCTACCATATAAAGCGCAAGCTGCGCACGAATAAACGTTGATTACCAGCCGCTATCGTCACGTTCTTGTGGCGTCGTAACAGTGGCGACGACGATGCGATAGTATATCTTCCGCTGCTCTGTCGGCAGACATGGTCAGCTATGCAGTTCCGCCGCAGTTCGACGAGGCCGTTGACAAATGGCCCGCTTACCAAATCCGTCTGGAGGCGTTCTTCGAAGGCAACGGGGTGACAGACGGGAAGAAGAAACGCGCCTTACTCGTTGCAGCGCTGAGTACCAACACCGTGGACGTCATCAGCGGACGCTGTGCTCCAGCAAAGGTAAATGAGCTTCCGTACAGCGAAGTGGTCAGCCTTCTGCAGCAACATTTCTCGCCAAAACTGAACGAAACGGCCCAGTCGTATAAGTTCTTCTCCCGCAACCAGCTGCCGGGGGAACCGGTAAGAGACTTCGTTGTGGCCATCCGACAAATAGCAGACACGTGCAACTTCGGGGACACATTGGACCGGATGCTGAAGGATCGGATAGTCTGCGGCCTCCAAAATTCAACGGTGCGTCGGCAACTTTTGGCTAAGCCGTTCTTGACGAGAACCGAAGCCGAGGAAGTCGCCGTAGCAGCAGAAATGGCGGAAGAAAATGTAAAGGAAATGCAACGCGCCACGACAGAGGATGGGGGCGTGCACGCCGTGGGAAGCAGGACGGCAAGGCAGAAATGGCGGGAGACTGAGTCGCCGTGTTCCAGGTGTGGCAAAGGGGGACACCAGCCAGACGCGTGCCGTTTTCGGTCAGCGCAATGCTACAACTGCCGCCAACGAGGTCATATCGCCAAGGCTTGTTTCCGTCGCGCCGACAGACCAGTCACCGCGTCAACAAGGCCAACCCCACAGCACGTCAATGCACTGGCCCCGCGGGATGAACAAGAGTGGGATACCAGAACAGAGGGCCAGCCTTCCTGTACCCACTTCCGCACCTTTGCGAAACCATCATCTTCCGCCGTCAAAACGGCCAACTGCTTAGCCGACAAGGCGCCATCGTTGAGGCCCCCTAGGAGGGCCTGTTCATGTTGGGGGCGTCAATGGAACACGTCGGGCACATCGAGACCACTCAGCCTATTGCGGGTACCTTCGACTGGGGGGGCGTGCCTGTCAACATGCAACTCGATACGGGGTCTCCGGTGTCGGTCATCACGTGGCCTACCTACATGCGGCACAAAGCTGCGTGGCCGAGCCTCCAGGATTCTCCTCTGAAGTTGACTTGTTTCCTCGGAAAACTACCAGTGCGCGGGCAGCTGAAGCTCAAGGTGGCCTTGGGAGACCAAGCCAGGGAAGGAACACTGACTGTCCTGGGCTGCTCCGGCCCCAACCTGTGTGGACGCGACCTCATACACGCATTCGACCTGCTGGAGATGCCGGTACTCAGCGTAGCAACAGAAGGTGAGCCTTCGGCCTCCAGTTTCGGGGACAAGGTCAATCTCAAGGGGTTGCTAGACGAATTCGCGGAAGTGTTCGAGCCAGGGCTGGGCCTCATTCAGGGGCCGCCAGTCCACCTTCAGCCTCGAGCGGACGCAGCTCCGAAGTTTTGTAAAGCACGTCAAGTGCCGTACGCCTTACGCTCAAAGGTAGAGGCAGAAATTGACCGGTTAGTGGAAACGGGCGTTATTATCCCAATTCCCCATTCCGATTGGGCAGCGCCTGTTGTGCCGGTAGTAAAGCGTAATGGTAGCATACGCCTTTGCGGAGATTTCAAGATCACGGTTAATCAAGCATGTCGGACTGAACAGTATCCGCTTCCGCGAGTGGAAGATATTCTTGCAACGCTGAACGGAGGCGAAGTTTTTACTACGATCGACTTACGCGATGCGTACAATCAGCTCCCGTTAGATAAGGCATCTATGCTACTCACGACCGTGAATACGCAGAAAGGGCTATTCTGTTTTACTCGTCTGCCATTCGGCATCGCGTCAGCACCAGCGTTGTTCCAGCGGCGTATGGAGTCGATTCTTCAAGGCCTATCGGGAGTCCAGGTCTATCTGGATGACGTCATTATCGCTGAGAAACGTAATGACTGCACCCTACTTAGGAAAGTATTGCAAAGATTTCGTGAGTCGGGGGTACGGGTGCATCCAGGGAAGTCCAAGTTTCGACAGACCGAGGTGGACTTTTTGGGGCACCGAATTAGCAATCTAGGGGTGCAACCTAAGACAGAAAACATAGATGCAATCCTCCAAGTTAAGGCGCCCCGAACAGTAGCCGAAGTAAGGTCCTTTGCAGGGCTGGTGACTTACTACCACAAGTTCCTCAAGAACGCGTCCTCGATCATGGCGCCGTTGTACGAGCTTCTCCGCGCGGAGGCAAAGTGGGAATGGGGACCCAGACAGCAACGCGCGTTTAGCGAGGCGAAGACCCAACTCAAAAAAGCTGACTTCTTGGCGCATTTTGGCCCAGACAAGCCGTTAATTCTTGAGTGTGACGCGTCACCATTGGGCATTGGCGCCGTACTGTCTCACGATGTTGGCCAGAAGGTCCTGCGCCCCATAGGGTTCCGCTCTCGCACACTCACAGCCGCCGAGCGGAATTATTCACAGTTAGAGCGGGAGGCCCTCGCTTTGGTGTTCGGTGTGTCGAAATTCCGAACATACCTCTTGGGAAGATGTTTCACGCTCGCGACTGACCATAAACCCTTGTTGGGGTTGTTTCATCCTGATAAGGCCGTACCGGCGATGGCCGCGGGGCGGATCCAACGGTGGGCTCTGCTGCTGGGGGCCTACAACTACGTCATCCAGCACAAGGACGGCAAAGCCAATATTCCGGCCGACGCACTCAGCCGGCTTCCAGCGTCTGGATCAGCACCCCCTGAATCGGCGGAAGACGAGGATGGCTGTGAGTATGTTCTCCTCACTGAAAGCCTCAACGATGGCGCCTTGTCGGCTAAGCAGTTGGCCGTTTTGACGGCGGAAGATGATGGTTTCGCAAAGGTGCGGAAGTGGGTACAGGAAGGCTGGCCCTCTCGTCTAGCACTAGAGGACAGCCATTTAAAACCCTACTTTGACAGGAGAGACGAGATGACTGTTAGCCATGGGCTTTTGTATTGGGGCCATCGCGTGGTTGTGCCGCAGGTTGCCAGACCAGCAATGCTACGACTACTGCATGATACGCATCAGGGAATGGGCTCCATGAAGACGCTAGCTCGCTCAATGCTGTGGTACCCGTGCATTGACCAAGATATTGAGCGACTCGTAAAGACGTGCCATATTTGTGTGCAGGCCGCACCGATGCCACCTAGACAAACACCTGTTCCGTGGCCGGAGACGGGGCGACGCTGGTCCAGATTGCACATCGATTTTGCGGGACCAGTGGATGGTTTTATGTTGTTAGTTGTGGTAGATTCACACACGAAGTGGATTGAGGCGGTGCCCATAAAAAGTGCCAATGGGGTTTCTACGGTTGAGGCGTTGCGAACGGTATTTAGCACCTTCGGGTTGCCAGAAACCATTGTATCTGACAATGGCCCACAGTTTACATGTGAAGAGTTTGGAAAGTTTCTGCGGCTCAATAACATCGTTCACCTTCGTACGGCACCTTACCACCCCCAGTCTAATGGGCTGGCGGAGCGCGCCGTCCGTACAGTGAAACAGGGACTTAAAAAAAACAAGCAAGGGTCGCTGCAGACTCGTCTAGCAAGGGTGCTGCATCAGTACCGTCGGACACCTTCCGCAGGTGGCAAGACCCCGGCCATGCTGCTAATGGGATACGAGCTGCGCTCAAGGCTAGATAATGCGGTCGTACCCCCACCATCACGAGTCAACGATCGGAACGACACTTATACCAACAATCCTGTTCACACAGGGGAACCAGTATGGGTGCGAAATTTTGGAAGAGGTGAACTGTGGACACCAGCTAGAGTACAGTCCACGGACGGCGCACGCATGGTCACCGCCGACGGCAACGAGGGAGACGTCCTTCACAGACACCTCGATCAAGTCAAGCCCCGGCTTCCCGAGAGTCCACCGGAAAGTGCTTCCAGTCCGTCACGTCTCCCGCCGCCGGAGGCAGCGCCAGGCCTGCAGCGACCGACTCGAACCAGGAGAGCCCCAGTGCGGTTTTCCCCCTAGGAGGGAGAAGACTGTTGCAGATCGGCTACGCCGCCACAAGCACAGTGGCGCTTGTCATCTTATCTTCCACCTTCTCTCTCCCTTTCCCTCTCGCCTTCCCCTTGCCTGTCTACCATATAAAGCGCAAGCTGCGCACGAATAAACGTTGATTACCAGCCGCTATCGTCACGTTCTTGCGGCGTCGTAACAGGTTAAGTATTTTTTTAACGCGAAAAATGGTAAATTCCGCCGTCTTGGACGTTGCTGCTTGTCTGGCAACTTTGCTTTCTCCGCTCGACGTTTGCAATTCTCGGAGCGAGAAGGAAGCGAGAGAGGCTGCGCCAAGGCGCTCGTTGCTTGCAATGGGAGGCGAGAGGAGGAAAGGCGCATGGAGCAACAGAGTTGCAACAGAGCGGGCGCCTTCTCTCGTGCAGGCAACACTGGCGCATATCCTTTCTCGAATCCTCTCCCTCAGGCGCCGCCATTAAATTGCTAACGCTCTCCAGGTTTTGAGTTGCGCCCACCCCACCCTCACTACAGCCTCCCTACACCGAACTAGGGAGGCTCAAGTGAGGGTGGGTGCAACTGCTAGATCGGCGATCACGGGACATGGACGCCATTTAATTGCTAAATTTTGCTGGGAGTCTATGGGGCAAAGGGTCGTTTTCTTTTCTAACTCGGGTCATAAAAGCCCATTAAGGTGCTTGAATAATTTACACAAGGTATAAATGATTACTTTTCCATAGCCACCAGTTTTGTTGCGATAGGTTAAGTATTTTTTTAACGCGAAAAATGGTAAATTCCGCCATCTTGGACGTTGCTGCTTGTCTGGCAACTTTGCTTTCCCCGCTCGACGTTTGCAATTCTCGGAGCGAGAAGGAAGCGAGAGAGGCTGCGCCGAGGCGCTCGTTGCTTGCAATGGGAGGCGAGAGGAGGAAAGGCGCATGGAGCAACAGAGTTGCAACAGAGCGGGCGCCTGCTCTCGTGCAGGCCACACTGGCGCATATCCTTTCTCGAATCCTCTCCCTCAGGCGCCGCCATTAAATTGCAAACGCTCTCCAGGTTTTGAGTTGCGCCCACCCTCACTACAGCCTCCCTACACCGAACTCTGGACACCTACCGCCATCTATGAGCTACGGCGGCAAGCCACGCATCTGGTTGCCGCCGTCGCTCACAGATGGGCGGCAGCCTTTTCACTCTGGCTTGCCGACTTGCGGCCGGCCATTACTTTCCATTGTACAGCTCCGCTGGTCTTCCTTCTTCACCAGAGTGGAAAGGCTGAAAGTTTTTATTGTTTTGCCAGAGGTTGATGTTTTTACTGAAAACAGACGCGAATTCGGCAACCATCACGCTTCTAAAAAAAAACGCACTTTTTTTTTGTGGAGGGCATTTGGCGTAGCTTGTTAAGACAGCCCTTGACCGACCTTAAGGCGCTGAATGAACTCTTTTCAGTGTAGGGCGGTTTCACGTGACGCACTTCCGTCTCGAAATCTCGCCAGGGCGCCATGTTGATCACCTTTCGCCGCCGAGATTTCAACCGCTTGGTGTCCTCGTGTGAAATAGGTCCACCGTGACATCGCCACGCCGAAACCGTGCAAAGAGACCCGACAGCGCTTTGTCCTCCCTCGGTTACAGGTCCGAAAGAAGCTGATGACCAAAGTTGGACTCACAACGGCCGTGAGGGACATTTCCAGCGGCTCGTCGGTGCAGACGTGGTCTCGGAGCAGCCCGACCGAGAGCGACGCCAGCCGTGCCAACACGGCATCCACGCTCACGAGTCCCGCAGACTCGTACCAGAACGTCAAGATCTTCAGGAACTAGCCTCGGGCTGGCTTCGTCCAGAACATCCAGATGGCCGGACAACGCCAGAACTGTGATCTCTAGCTGCCTGTGAACTGCATGCGTGCGAACAACTTGGACGGGAACGGACCAAACAAGCGCAAAACGGAGTGGTGAAGGTTTCGACGAGCCTTCAGAATGTGCCACGTGATCGAATAGCGTCACACGACCAAGCAGATATCACTTTAGCCAACTTCACGCTGAAGGGGTTCCTACCTATTGTGGATCGTTGGCCACGATATGCTCGAAGGGGGTCGAATACGTTCCGCTGTAAATAGAAACGCGTGCGTGTCGGAGAAAACGACTTTCCAAACTTGGGGCGCTGAAAGATAGTGAAAGTGCCGAGTCGCGTTTATTTGTGCGGTTCTTCGGACGGGGGTGCACAGATGAAGTCAAGAACTGCTCCGCCGATAAAGCAAAGCTACCATGCATCCGCCTATTTTTTTCTTTATTTTTTTTTTTAGTTTCAATCTTTTTAAACAAGGACTTTGATCGCAATTAAGAACAACTCAAACACAGCCCATGCTTCAGTAGTTGGATAGAACCCCATTCATTTTTTGTTAATATCGATATTATCATCTTACAGACGCAAAACAAATCCTAAAAATTGTCACACAAAAATAATTATTTAGCGACGAATTTTACCATCCACATGTGTCACACTTGGACCGTATGGCACAAAGCCCCGTTTGCAGAACTCATATTCATAGGGAAACGTCAATCAGTCGATCCATTTATTTAGACGAAAGAAAACGCTCTTTTTCGAAGCACGTTCAGTGTCAAAAACGAAAACCAGTCGCTGTAGAAGGCAGCGAGGTCCATCATGTACTATGCTAAAAAGCTGTGGAACTTTATGACAAAGAGCTTTATGACAACAAATACTATCCATCGGCAAACTATCGTGCAACATTGACTCTACATCGAGCGTGTTTCAAAATCTCCATGTGGCACACACCCGGGGTGAAAAAGAAAAAAAAAGTGAGACTGTCTCTTTTTAGACATTCTACGATAAATTCGAACATAACGGGTGCTCGAATCTTAGTAAATCTGTTCGGGTATAACATCGTCATCCTGTGAAACCAGCCGAAGTGACCGATGAATTCCGGCGACGACTCGCCCAGCTCAGGCGTCCGATGCCTCCAGTACGGGTCTCGTTCGACGGTAGAGTGCAACGATTCACAGTCTCCGACATTATTAAAGACCCATTCGACGAAGCGCAGTTTCAAGCGGCTGTGTCGGATTCGCCTTGGCCTGGCCCACTTGCTTGGAGTCGGGATATAAATATGCGTTCGTTCTATTCACCCTAAAAATAAAGTGCCTCCGACCAAAGTGTGGTTAGCACCGCCGCATAAATTTCGTCGGCCAAGGGATCTTTCATAATGTGGGTCACTGAACAAAAGCGAATCTTTCTCTAAAAGTGCCTTAGGAACAAAGCTGTCGCGCACAGCAGCCAGCTTTCCATAAAAATTTCACAATTAAAAAAAAAACTGCAAATAAAAAAAAATATTATTTAGCAAATAAAAAAAATGACAACATTTTGGTCTCCTTTCTTCAATCGTAACACTCTTTTCAGAAGCCCATCAAGATACATGGCCTCCCGGGCAGTAAACAGGAGGCGCCTCGTCGATTGGCTGCTAATCAGCGAGGCTGGTGGCCCAAATGGGCAACTTTGGGAAGGCCTAACCATCGAACGATTGGACGCAAGCTCTGCGTTAGAGTTCGGCCGGGCACTCAGACTTTCGAGCACGAGATCGGGTCCAACGATTGCGACCTCCGACGTTTTCAAGTCACAAAAATCCCTCATAAGATGGCGCCACCTGTCGAACCAAACCTCATTGCCCAGCGGCGGTCGCAATTGCTTGGGCACGAAGTGCGTGATTGGATTGAGTCCTCGCCGAACGTTGACGTAACACTCGTATCCAATACGAGCCGGGCCGAGTTCACGCCGAACACTGACGCAGACCTCGTGTATGATACGTGCTCGGAGGATGTAATCAAGCAGTGGCAGACAAGCGTTGCACGAACATGAAATAAAAAAAAAGAAAAATGTCATGAAAAAATTCCCCTCAGGAATATGCATGTAATTTTTAGATGTGTGACCTTGAGGGTCCTTTTCTTTTCTTTTTTTTTGTTTTTTTGGGGGGGGAGGGGGGGGGGGGGGAACTATGTCCTTTGAATCCTGTTCTCGGTACCGGGATGACGTTTTTCAAGTATTTGAGTAAGGGGCGTAAGTTCAATGAACCGGAAGAAAAAATGAAAGCCGTTTACAACTCCCTGTAACGCCGAATTAGAGCGCAGCTCTTGAGGAGGAGGGTCACGTGACCGTGGGGTGTCACGTGGGTCACGTGACGATGCCGATGACGTCATCAGCGACGTGACTGATGACGTCATCAGTGATGATGACGATGATGATATCGGTGACGTCACCAGTGACGTCACTGATGACGTCATCAGTGATGATGACGATGCGGATGCCGGTGACGTCATCAGTGGCGATGACGTCAACGGGGTCACGTGACCTGGGTAACCATCGTGACCCTCGTGAGGGTAACTCTCGTGACCCTCGTGAGGGTAACTCTCGAGACTTTCGTGAGGTAACTCTCATAACCCTCGTGAGGGTAACTCATAACCCTCGGGACCCTCGTGAGGGTAACCCTTTTGAGAGTAACTAACCCTCGTAGCCCTCCTGATCCTCGTGAGGGTAACCCTCGTGAGTAACCCTTGTAACCCTCACGAGGGTTACGAGGGTTACTCGCGGTTACGCCGACGGCGACGGCGACGCCGCTCAAGCCGGAAACGGGCGCCTAAGAGCTGCGCTCTAGAAATAACATAAAGAAGGAGGCGGAGGATTTGGTGTCACCACTTTATAGATGCAGGCAGTTAATTTATACATTAGCCCCGATGGACACCGATTCGTTACCTGGCACTGAAAATAAATACCGATAAGGAAAAGAACAACGAACCCCGATAAAACAACCCCGTATATGAAGGGGAAAAAAGCGGAAAATGCGAAACCCTATTTTTAATTAGGGTCGGGTGTTTTCTTTAAATACCAATAAACCCCGAAAACTAACCCCCGAGATGGTGCGATCAAAATCGGTGCAAACCAAAAACCCCGAATTGGAGCTGACCTCGACTAGAAAAAACCAAAACTACGCGGGATGAAAATTTGTGTTTAGAGTTTCGTCTTATGGTAGCCCTAAATAGAACCCCCCTGAACTCTCCGTGAGGCTGTTTCCTCCTCCGGAACCATTTCATTCTATTACGTCATCGCGTCACAAATACGTCCTTGGAGTATTCAGATCACAGCCGATTTTCTCTGGAGGTTAGGAAATCCCATTCCCGTGTCTTATTTTCTCAAACATATGTCCCGATAAACGCCGATTGTTTTTCTGACCCCGAAAATTGACACAAAAAAAAAACGCGGAATTTGTGTGAAAAAATAAACACCCAAAAAACACCCCGATCTCGAAAAAAAAAAAAAAAAACACGAAAAACCCTAAGGCCCAGGACCGTAATTATAATTAAACAGGATTGCTTCTCTAAAACACCGAATTGTTTCGACAAAGTCTCCACGCAAAGAACAGTCGCCAAAGTGGAGACAACCGAAGTAAATATTTGATGCGTTCAGTTCTTTAATAAAAACATAAAAGCAGCGCAAAAAAAAAATACTGACCGAGCAGAGGTAAAATTAAAACCGGACAAACGCTCACTGGCATTTGAAGTTTTTATTACTTGAACAGAAAGAACGACAAGGGAAGAAGAAACCAAACAGGCACCATCAGTCAGACATGGGTACCTGACCAGGGTGTAAGATACTGCAAGTGGGGAAACGATAGCCAAATGAGCGACCGGATTGTGTCCTTCTCGGTTTTCTCTTGTTCTGTGGCGCCATCTATGCGGAGCACCGCGAACTCTCACTCCGGGTGGGCGACCTTTGGCGACCGGCTTAACTGACGGAGATGGTTCCTCGTGGATTTTCAATTGAGGACTGCCGTGCTCTCGGTTTATTTTGGGCACTCTCCCATAAATTTCCATGCAAATTCGATTCCGATTTTTTTCCTCTCGCCGCAGCGCCATCTGTCGCAAATCGGGGGTACCCGCAAGCAGACGAGTACACAATCCGGTCACGGCGCTGCGGTAGGTTTCTATGTGCCGTTTCCCCACCTGTCTATCTTACACCCTGGGTCTGACTGACCGCATCCGCAAAATTCGGAACCGCATCCGACACTCAATCCGCGCATTCATTTTACATCAGAAAGTCAAGCATGAATAAAGACACAAAAAAAGGCACCCGGATGGTATTTTTTAAGCCGTCTTGCTTACCTTTGTACAAAGAACTCTTCGTGCCAGAATTACGGTGAAAGTCCTTTTATCGTATTTTGTTCTATCGTATTTCTAAAATAAGCGATCATCCTTCAAGAGACACTTCGCATTGCTGGAAAGATGATCGCTGTTATGACATATCTTGTGAGTCCGTGACACTGTCCAAAAGATCCGCTCAAAAAAAAAAAAAAAGATTTTAATATTTATTTTATTTTTTATTTTGTAAAACCCACTTCAAGCAGGCGCATAATTTATAAACATGAAAATGAACAAAGGACAGACCGATAAGTGATAACCTTGTGTCATTTCATTTAGGCACAGCAATAAAAAAGTGGGAGAGGAAAGGCGCTCAGACACCGAAGCAAAGTACTAGCGTATACATGATAAGATGAGGTAAACCACTGGAAAAATACCACGACATTCAATAATGAAAACACTTCTTATCAATTTCAGTTTTAAACGCTTAAGCCGGGGTTCCACTGTTCCTACACCCTATACGAAACACAGTGTGCAAAGACGAGTCACCGCAATATCCCTGGTTCGAATGCCGTGAGCCAAGTTTCTCCTGGAACTCGTGGCCATGAGGCATTCGAAGCACGAATCTCGCGGTGGCTCCATTCGAATCTGTATGCAGACCGTATTTTGTATTATTAAGCAGTGTGTCCCCGGCTCAACCTTCAACTGCATTTTCGGAACCATGTATAGGGTGTCTGAAATAACAAGGCTCGATCTCAAATGGGCCGTACAAATCGGCGCCTGCACGAAGCAATCTAAACTTTTCGTCAAAGGTGTATTCCACAGGTCGAATTCATTCTGTAAAATTACAAAGCGTAGTTCCCTTTCTATATAAAAAAAGGCCAAAAAGCTTGCCAGGGTCAATGGCGGACGGCGACGCAGACAGTCGAGTTGAGTGGCGGGGCGCATTTGGCGCACGTGACACTGCGTTGACGATATTCTGACACAGAATGTTGTTAACATGGACGGATTCAGACTATACTCCCTTAAACGACAACTTGGCGAACTGTGGAAGCAACAGCTCCCGCGACCCAATAAGCGTGTCGGAGCGAGGCACGTGACACTGCGCCAAATGCGAGGCCCGGACTACCGGCTGTCGTCTGCTAGGCCAAGAGTCGTCTGCTTCGAAACCAATCAACTTCGGCTGAACATTCTCTGGCGCACCAGTGCCGTCCGCTAGAGTAGTGAGCTTTTCGGGAACAGTTCATGAGATAACCAAGAGCCATGTTGTTCTCGGGAAAGGGTTGACCCGTATTAAGTATCGTTGAAAAGTAGCATGTCTTTGTCTTTCTTCTGTATCGTGTAGTGCACGGTCAGATGGCTCTGACTGCGACATTACTGAAAAAAAAAAAGATCTCTAAAACTACTTTTCTCGCGGACGGCTCTGTTGCTGTGGCAGTAACGAGGCCTCGCGACCTCGACCATGGAGTGTTGTCACGTGATTTGCTCCGACGCTCTTATTGGGTGGCGGGGGCCACCGCCTCCACAGTTCGCGAAGTTGTGGTGAAACAGAGTATAGTTCGCCTAACTTAAATTAATCCTGCGTTCTGGAGCGTGAGCTTTCGCGCCACGTGTTACGAGCTGGTGTGCGCTAGAGCTCTCTGCCACCAAACCCCAAAAAGGAAAAAAAAAAAAAAAAAAAAAGGGAGTCACACTGTCTTGACACTTTAGATTCGTCAGGGAACATGCTTCGCAGTAAAGCTTTCTTTCTTTTTTTTTTCTGTAACTGGGATTGTTTTTGAAAATTGTGGCACACGGAATGTACGCATACTTCTGCCGTAGCGTGTTATTAAAATAAAGAATGAAAATACTATTTTAAACATATAAAATGTACTCGTGATACCCCTTGACGTCAAGGGAGAACACTCCCCCCCCCCCCCCCCCCCCCCCCTTCCCCGAGTTGCTATTTGTCAAGGTGGTGTCAGCTCATCGTGTGTCGCTAGTACATCGGCAAATTCACTCAATCTTACCATATGATCATGAATGTCTCTATATTATCTGACCCCCCCCCCCCCCCCCCCCTCATTAGTAAGATGAAAGGGAGGGAGGAACTGGAAACATAGAGCGTTTATTTTCATTCGAAGTTCGTCGCATCGACGACAGGAAATAGTGCCCTCTACTGGAAGTTCGAGTAGGTGTCAAAGGTGTCCAAGAAGGCACGCGCCAGGTCGTAGCAGAAGGCGTACTGGTTCTGCAAAGACATCAGGAATCAGAAGGTCACTACGCAAATCGTTGTCACACAACACAAATCCAGCCTCCCGTGTACTTTCTTTCCACTTGCAGCGAATTTGTTGGTGAGAAGAAGACTATGCTCGCTCTTCCCACATGCATAAACAAACATGGCACTACAGATTCTTTACTCTTAAAGGCTAGCGTTCTGTTTGGCCCTTTTTGTGCAATCACGTGTGGCGTGAGCACGCACAGAATTAGCTTTGTAGAGCAAATATTTGCACTTGCTTCCCCCTTACCCCTCTCTGCACCCTTTCCCTCCCCTCTACCGTCTCCTCATAGACAACATCTGAGTGACGACAGTTTGGCCATTTTGCCGCCCGATTCACACGCTCCGCTGCATGCGTCACGGGTGGTGCCTGTCGGCAAAAGCGCGTAGCGTGTGCGCCCCACGTTTTGACAGATGTCTTTTTTTTTTTTTTTTTTTTTTGCGAAGACGACATTATTTTAAAATGGCATTTGTTTGATTTGGCAAGCGCTGGCGGAATCCGGTGCAACCGACAACGTGTCCGCCTCGAAACTGGCAGGGGTTGAGGCACGCTTAAACCGCAGTCACAAAACTCAAACACCATACAAAGAAGGCACCAATCCCCTTACGTCCATTACACAAAATGGGTGTACAAGCTGGAAAGCACTTGCAGAAAAAAAGAAACACACACAAAAAAAAAACATCTAGACAAACAAGAATTGAATTTGACATTATTAGTGCAACTACAAAGTTGGTTATCTGAATGTGTTGCGAACTGTCTCGATCACAATATTGTTAGGCCGGTTATTCCAGAAAAAAGATTGCATGACCGATATGTGTGACGGGACCTTCGTACACGCAAGAAACACGTATCAAACAGAGTCACGAATTCCAGCAAACAGGTTGTGATGTATGTTGCTTTGCCAGTGCTTCGGTGTCGGCACGTGTTTTTGTTCGTCACCAAGTCCATTTTTTTTTTTTTTTTTCTTGTGGGTCACTTTTGAGCATTTGTGATAGGAAGGGTCTCGCTTAGACCTCGCCCTCGGCTGAGGGGTTGTTGGCTCGGGGCCCATAGCGGATTAGTGTTTACTAAGGGGGCCGTGCAACGATATTCGAACGAATGTTTTTCACTTTATGCGAGCATACTGGCGCTATAGTGGGACGCAAGTATACTCACATGCAACGCCGCTGACCAAAATACTCTTCTTTGTTTCGGCGTAGTTTCAAGAAGAAAACAACGTTTTCTTTCAATCTCTGCTTCGCTAAACTTGGTGACGTAACTAAGCGATCACACTACTCCCTTCCCCTATTGACAATATTTGTAGGCGGCTCATCGATTGGACCCAAGCAATGTGTAAGCACTCGATTTGGGCTCGTGATAACCAAAAGCTCAACAAGCATTCGGCGATAGTGGCCCGTGTCACATCGCTGCAATGACGACACAATAGCCGAACCATAACAATACCTGGAGCTCTGTGCGTGTCCATGTGTTTTGCCAACCTCATCTTGTGGCCATGATCAAAATGGCGGCGTATAATCAGCTTCAGATCACGACATGGCCACTCGTGCTGGCTGCAAGTTGAGGGGGGGGGGGGGGGGGGGGGACCGCTGCTCGTTTTTCTTAGATTTCTTCTGCGACCTCTATTGCGCGAGGTGGAAAACGAACACGTGTTATAGGTAATTAAGGTCAGGGATTCGTTCTAAGCGGTATGTGCGCAAAATGCAAAAAAAAAAAATGTTGCATCATTCCTTTGAGACTGTTTTTTTTTTTTGTTTTTTTTTCGGAACGGGCAGTGGTTTTATCAGCAATCGCTTCACGGTACAATATTTTTGGGGCGCCGTCCGTGCGCCACCTGGACCCCGGCGGACCATGTTCAGGCGGCGTCACCCACCAAATCCCCAGCTTGGGTGAGACTTCGAACGTTCTGCTGGACTTTATTTCGTAAAGCTAAGACTTTTTTTTTTACTTTCTTTTTTATTTGCGTTGGCAAACACTTGTTCCCGGCTGCATTTCTGCCGTGAGCGACGTGATTGGTTGGGGAAACGCATTTATTATAATTATAAAAAGGCGAACTGCGCTCACCGATCTTGACTTAAAGAGGGACCTGCAGATATATTCTTACACCTGACTGAAATTCCTCTCATTTCCTTTTTTGCCGTTTCCGAAGCCCGCGAACGCGCCTTTATTTGTCATCTACATTGTGTTTTTCTTCTAAATATCGCTCACACCTTTTAAAAACTTTAGCACTTTTCTTTGAACATGAGGCATCTTGTTCAAACCACTGGACACTTTTTAGCGTAGGTTGAGCGGGCGGTAATGTTTGTTTTATTTTACGATTCGAAAAACTGTTTTCTCCTAAACGTTCGGCACAGGGAAGTATGGTTTGTCACAAAATTAAAAAGTCACCCAGATTTGTGCAAACGGTCACATATGGCCATTTTGCAAGAACACGTGTGCCTATATATTTTATATGCATACAAGTCGGTGTCAGCACTACTCTTTAAAAAAATGAGTCAACGAGGTAAACTGTCTAACGGGTCAAAATTTCCTTGGAGTCAAAATGACCACCTAGGTCAAAACGAGACATCGAGAGGAAATGTCCATAGAATGTCCAATATTAAACATATTGACTCGATGGACACTTTGGCGTGGCATATTTCACGAGCACTGATCCTATTCTGTAGCGAGTAAGTATGAAATTGAAAAGCGCGCTGACCTAGTGACCCACCTAGCAGGAGGAGCACATTTATTTTAATAATCCATTTTCTATAAAGGGGCCAAAGAGTATGGATGTGCAAGTAGTACTGAATTTATTTGTTAGTATTAATATTATTATTAAAGGAAAATGGTTCGGCTTTCCGAAGAATAGTTTTTTTTTTTTTACATTATATTACGCATTTTTGTATTACGAAGACCCGCCGGGCATTTTCTTTTACGCGTGTTTGCCTGACATACGCTTGCGTGGGTATTGTAAATCTTCAGCGTTTTCTTTTTTTTTTTTCTTTTTACCTGGAAGATAAAAAAACGCTACTATCGTAAACTCGTGCTGCATCACACGGACTCCTTATAATGATGTTTTGAGCTACCATTCGATGATCTCCCTAAGGAAGTGAATAAACTTATAAGATAAATTTTATTTTGCGTTTATTTTTATTAACCAAAATTAAATGTTGAACGCTTCATCGTAGAACATTAATTCTGGTCTGCTCACAAATGTTCAAGGTGCACTGGCTTGCACCCTTCAGAAACGCAGCCGCCAATGCCAAATTAAAACAAACTAGCACACAGGGTCTGATGGCCCTGCTAAATATATCACAGAAATTTCCCTTGTGCGAACGTGCATAATTCGCTTGTCAGGCAAGTTAAGAGTACGATTCTGAAACAAGTGCGTGAGATGGCCCCGCTTTCAATTTAAAAAAAAAGAAAAAAAAAAAGAATTTCTTACAAACTTTTGCCTAATTTATTCGTGAGTAATTCTCCAGCAACTGACACCGTCCATATACTAAAAATTAAAAAAAAAATGAATTTTACGCGGGGAGTGTGGGTTTCGTACTGCGACCGGGCGCTGGGGACGGCGGAGAGGCCTCGGAGTTAGCGTCGAGCCTCTGTTAGTTCACGCAGCCGCCGAGAGATGGCGCTAACAATGAATAAGGTATATGGCTAGGTGGCGTAAGCTACCGCCCGAAGTTTTGGAATAATTCGCGGGTTCTAATTTGTGCGACGCAAGGGGATCTCAGTGTAGATTCCAATGTGTTCACATTTCACTGCAATTGTTCGCGGGACCTATTTTTCACGAACGGTAGGCTATTCGAGAAATTCTCGAAAATTAGGTCCTCGCGAAAATTAAGTTGTTTACAGTATTGCTTCTGCATTCTTAGCAGCTATTGCTGGATATAGTGACATCGTAAAATAATACTATAAAAATAATGTAGACCCTAATGAGTCGCGTGACATGCCCCAAAAGGCTTGTTCGCGACCTGCTTGTATAGGTCACTACAGGCTTGATCATGGCAGTTCTTACAACGTGGATAACTTCATTAAAACTTTGAACTGTCTTCCTGCCACTTGAGTTTCTTTCACACCTCCCAACCGTCCCGACCCAAAGTGTCGTGTTCATTCGCGTCCAGCGATCAAATGCTCTTCAACTTCAACTTTATTTTTTCTCTCCAGGGGAGAGGGGGAGGAAGAAAAAAAAGCAGACACTTGTCGCTTGACAGAGTTTCTCCTCCCCTCCAGCAACGAGAGAAAACTATTTTACGTACTAGTGACCCGCAGAACAAGGTTTACATAGGATCAAAACACACAACATAAAAAAAAAATTGACGTACATCACGAACATTTCTTAAAGGTCGGAGGTCCCCATCAAGAATAGGCACAAATAACACTAGAGAAACAATGAACGAATATCCTTTCTGCTCAAACTCATCCAATCCGTGCCCAGTTTATGTGTTTTGTTTATAACATTAGGCAACGAATACTGCAACATCTGGAGGCCGTAGCCTGTTCTCGAGCGAGGCGTTGACTATGTGTCAACACAACGGCCTGCATATGCAGGCACTCTCCGCTTCGTATTCGCGATTGATAGAAAAACAAGTTGATTTTGCCTCACAGACGTTTGATATCTTAGAAGAAGTTTATAATTATAATGCTCTGTAATTGGCACTATATGAAGGTTTTTGAAAAGTTGTAATGTGTGAGCGTTGAACTCCGCATTGCACAGAATTCAAATTATTTTCTTCTGGAGAACATGGAAATGATGCATATTTGTAGCCGTTGTGCTACCCCAAACAAGAAGGCAGTAGTTATAGTAAGAGTAAAAGAGGGAGTTATAAAGAAGAATTAATACCGAAAGAAGTAATATACTATGACGGGATTTATAAATAATGCCCACAACTTTTGAAAGTCTGCCAGCTATGCATTGTACTTCGGCGTCCCAGCTCATGTACTCATTAAATATCACACCAAGAACCTTCACATTTTGTACAAAGCCAATATTTTGTCCTTGGAGAGAGAGCTCTTGAGTAGATAAAAACACTGTATTTTTGGATCCAAAAAGTATTGCTTTCGTCTTATCTGTATTAATTACTAAAGAGTTCTAGATTGTCCAGTCACTTATCTTCAGCAAAACGCTATTTGCCGCACATAAAACCTGGTGGACCACTTTCCCCGAAAAGAATAAACTGGTGTCATCTGCATAAATGATAAAATCTAACTGTCGTCTATATTTATTATTTCATTGATGTATAAGTTAAACAGAAGGGCTCCAAGGATGCTCCCCAGCGGCACCCCTGATGTCAGTTTTTTTTTTTAGCTAGAGCGCTGACTGTCGATCACGACACACTAATGCCGGTATTAAAAAAAAAAAAAAAAAAAAGAACCTTTCGATCATTGTTTAGGCTACTCCTCGCACCCTGTATGTATTTAATTTTTGAAGCCGAGTTTTATGATTTAGAGAGTCGAAAGCCTTTGAAAAATCAATAAAGACCCCCAAGGTAATCAGTTTTCTTTCGATGTTGTTTAAAATTAGTTCCTTCTTTTTTAATAGCGCGAGTTCCGTCGAATGCCCCTTCCTAAAACCAAACTGGCAAGATGTTAGGATAGAGTGTTTTTCGCAGAAGGTGTATAATCTGGCATGTAATATTTTCTCTAACCCCTTTGAAAACACTGGGAGCACAGAAACAGGTCTATAATTACACAGGTGGGTTTTATCCCCAGACTTGAAAATAACCGTAACCTTTGCAACTTGCATTTTTTTAGGAAAATGGCCATTTTGCAGTGCCACATTAAAAGATATGTGCGAAAAAAGGAGCAATTGATTTAATTACATGTTTCAGAGGTTTCATTTGAACACCATCTATGTCAGTACTTTTGCTATTTCCAAGGTTCATAAAAACTGATGCCACTTCCTCCGCGTCGGTGCGGGCAAGAAAAAGTGTGTCAGAGACACCTCTCACAAATGGAAATTCATCGACAGCGTTACCATTCTTTACAATGTTTACGAAATAGTCATTAAATATTTGAGCCAACGCCAAACCACCTCTTGTCTCCTCCTCTCTCTCTCTCTCTCTCTCTCTCTCTCTCTCTCTCTCTTCTCCTCCTCCTCCCCCCCCCCCCCCCCCCCCCCCAATGTTAAGCTTCATGGCTGTAGACTCGAAAGGGCCACGCCGCAGAAATGAGTTAAGCTTCTTCCATATAATATCTATTCGTCGCTCATTTTCGAACGCAGCATAAAAATGCGAACCTGCTCCGTGCCTGCCGCCTATCGCTGTGAGCAGACGACGCTTTACTCCCAAGTTTGAAGTTCTTTAAGGGCTCTTTCAGCGATCTCAATTTTTTTTTAATGGTGTCAGGTCGAAGAGAACGCACAGTGAACTTTTGAGAGCGACGTGTGACCGACGGACCACGTCACGTCGGTTCTGCGTGAAGAGCTGCCCCGGTGGAGCCAACCGAAACTGCAAAACACAGACACCAAACCCAGTTGTTTTAACCATTTGACGATTTTTTTTCGAAGCCTGAGAGGTCGTCGGGCACGTAAAAAAAAAAAGAGAACTTCGTCCGATTCTACGACTCACCGGTCATCTTCAATTCTACATGTCCCAGGCGCCGCATGCGCCGCCATGTTTTTCGAGGGAGGATAAAAAGCCAGGAGGCGACATCACTCCGGACTTCGATTTTCGGTATTTCAAAAAGAAGGGCCGTAATACCATTGTAATTGCATTAAGAAAACATGTTATACAAATACCGTTATTAAATATTATATAAGTGTCGCCTAGAAAGCTTCAAAATTTCATAATTTTTAACGTCACAAATAAAAAGAAGAGAGGAGGTGAGAGGAGAGAGCGAAAAACGCCAAAAATAAAAAGGTGCGCACACGCGCGAAATTTTTTAATATTTTTTTTAACATGGTATTTTTTTGCGTGTGTATGACTACAACTTGCGTCGTAGTAAACAAGAACGAAAAATACGACCTTTGGGGTGTCACTGCCCCTTTGTGTGCGGAAGGCCCTTCCGCACACAAAGGAAACTCGAAACCAAAACACAGCGAACCAACACGCCGCTCGCCAGAAAATGGACACTGGATCTCGAATTCAACCGGAAGCAAGTGAACCCGTATAATGGTATACGGCTTCTCTTACTTCCGGTTGGATTGGAGATCCAGTGTCCATTTTTTGGTGAGTGGCGTGTTGGTTAGCTGTGTTTTGGTCTCGAGTTTGTCGGTGTGCTTTGTGCCGAACGCTCGTCAACGTTCCGTTGGTAGTTTAATTTTTCATTACGAATTTTCTTTCTATTTCTACGTTTTTTCCCCAGATTTTGACTTCACACCCGGCGTGGCCCGATCACTGGTCACCGGTCGAACTTAGTACTTTCGCGTTACAGTTTTGTTTTAAAATAAATGCTCGTTTTAATCTCGTTTTTTTTTTTTTTTTTTCTTATTGGGGTTTAATATTTTACATTTTGTGACAGACAGTGTCTGTAGAGAGCTTTTTTTTTTTTAAATGATGTGTAAGGAGTGTGACCAGAACTCAAATTTTCATGGGAACGACGAGTGCCGCAGAACTTACCGAGTCCACGATGAACTGCGGCCGACTGGCTCGGATTGTTCGCACTGTGCGAAACACGTCCAGCTCCTGCTCGAGCTTAAGCTGCTCACAGTCAATGGCCGATGCGCAGAAGAGCCCGGACGCCCTGCATCCGTCCCTGAAACACACACAGACCATGCACCGAGCGTTTTTTTGGTAAAGCCAAAAACCATTCAACATCGTCGTACTCGGATAGGCGAGCATTTTGCCCTTGCGCCGTCCTTAGTGAAAAGCTCGAGGTACACCTGAGCACTTCTTATGAGTTGTGAATGCGAAAGCATGCAAGACGCTCGTCCGCTCCCTTTTTCGTCTGCTGAGTACTTTTCGTCGCCGGTGACCGCGCGTGCTCCCCTGGGCACGCTGACCTTGGACGCTACGTGTTAACGGCGCGATGGATGGATAGATGAATACGGCTGAGCCCTTTGGATCGGGCGGTAGCTTACGCCACCTAGCCATGGACGCGCGCTGATGGACGCGCAGCGCCATGGGGTGAGCGGTCCTCGAAAGTGACGAGGGCAGCGTCCGAATGGGAGCCTCGTCGACGCGCGCCAGCCAATGGAACTGGAGGCGAAATCCATCAGCTTTACTTTCGCTCCTTTGGGATCGGAGACACTAGGTGCCGTTTTAGCGCTTCAAACTGATGACGTCAGCTCGCTCCATTTGACAGTTAATGCTCTCGCATTACTAGCGCAGTTACGAGTAGGAAGGGTCACACACCGTACAAAAGAGACGCGGTGTTCGCTGCACACAGGAGGGTAGAATTACCCGAGGACACGCCCTAGTGCATGGTCGAAGCATATGTTTGTTGCATACATGCTTGCAACATGTCTACAAACAGACGTTTTTATGATGTACAAGAAATGTAACCGCGGCCTAAAGCTTTTCTCTTTTTTTTAATTGTTTTATTAAAGATTGTTACACTCTGGTTACATTTCCATTCGGTGGTCCCCGCTGGTCGCGAGTCGAGAGGCCGTGTCTACCATTCGCGACTTAAACTGTCGTCCCTCCAGCTCGTTGCTCGCCCTCCAGCGGCAAAAACGCAGAGCGCTCTAGTGAGGGTCCCTCCGCTCTCCTGCGCAGCCAGAACGTTAGAACTGTTCACGATCGTGGCTCGCGAACGCTCACTTCTGATTGCAAACAACACTCCTCGCTGATCCGATGAAGTGCTGCAGCCAGCATCTGACTCTACCTTACTAGGGAGTTTTGATATTGCATATAGAAACAAACACAAGTGCTGTGCGGTCGCGTTAGAGTCGCGTGTTGCACATGCGCACCGTTGCCATGCGCCAATCCAAGACCAAAATTTTGGGCTCTGCGCACGCGCAATTTGAAACACGTAATGATAACTGAAACAAAAAGTTCTTGCGTTCGCTCGTATATGCAAGACTAAAACATGCTACTCATTCACCGGTTTTCCAACGACAACGAAATATGCTGCAGCGAGCAGACGTGCAAGCGGGTGGAAGCTCCTTCGAACTCGAAAGGCTGAGATTGGTAAAAACACGGCGCGTAAAAATGAAAGAAAAGAAAGGTTCCGAGTAGCTTTGTAATGAAAACAACACCAACAACAAAATTTTTTTTTTTTTTTTTAGTATTTCGGCGCATTTGGTACGGCAGGATTGGCGGCGAGTTTGTAAGTTTTTCTGATGGCCAAAAGTGGCGACTTTGATATCATCATATGGTTTACCCTCAATTAATGTCATTTTACTAGAATTTCTCAAGCTAGATAGAATGTTTTAAACTATTTTTATTTTGTAACTCGTTAATTAAGAATTCTGCAATTGGAACCACTCAATATAATTTGACAACTTTGAATTGCCATAGTCGTTCGCGCGTTTGAAATTGGATCATATGCAACAAGTTATATTAGAGTTTGAAAAACTATTTATTGAAATATGTCAATTGTATTAATATTACAGATAGTCGTAGTGTAGGCCCTTCCCCCACCCCCCCCCCAAACAACATAATAAAGAAAACTTTAACCATATTAGGTTTTACAGCAAGTCTAATTTTGATTTCTTTTTAGCGCATAAAAACCTCTGACATCGTTATCAAGATAAACATAAATACTTGATGTAATATAAAGTCTCATGCGTCAAGTGTTGCCTTAAATACAACGCACTCTCCTCTTGTCTAGCTTACTCAGATTTTGTTTTGGGGGTTTTTGTAGTGAGAACAGCGTTTCTTAATGTATATAGATATTTTAAACTCATCACCCGTGGAGATGTTCTGTAAAATTTGGATTGATTTTATTATTGTTGTCCTGGGAATAATACTAAAGCAATTAATCATCAACAATCCCCCAAAAAAAACCGTTAAAGGGCCCGCAGGTCATTATTTCACATGACCTTCATCCGAGTAAAAAAAGGCTCCAAGAACACGCAAATATCAGCGCTGATCTTTTCAATAATATTACGTTACCTCTAAGGTGTAAGGAAGAGCCTCCCTCTAAAGGGACACCAAACTCTCGAAAATATTTTTAAGTTTCTGAATCGGACATGCATAACACAAAATAAAGTTTCCGCGAACAATTTTTTAGCATAAAAATAGCACTTTTTTCCACGCAAGGGGACAACGCGACGCCGTGGCAACCAGTCTGCCCCGGAGGCGTCCGGCATTAAATAGCAAACGCTCCCTATGGTTTGTGGTCCACAATCTAGGTTCTCTCTATACTTCGTTTCAGCTTCGGTCCGAGCGCGTGTGCTGACACCTGGTGTCAACAAACGCAGGCTAGCGCCTGTTTTGCATGGATGACTCTTGCTTCGAATTTAAGCCGCCGATCCTTCGGAGCTCGATTAACTCTTGTGCCGGTCTACAAACGCGACCACCCCGTGACCGTGCCCCCTGAATACCCACCGACACTGAACGATGACCGTCTTGGAGTCGGTGCGTGACTGCCAGTGATCCACGTGCTGCAGGGCTTTGAGGACGAGGTCGCAGGAGAAGGGAACTGTGCTGGACTGCGTCCAGGTGTCCAGGTGGAACTGCTTCAGCACCCGTGGCGTGGTCTGGACCAGGAAACAATTCCTAACGTAAATAAAACCGCACATATACGAAAAGGGCCGAAGTAATCTATAACTGTGCAGATAGTATATAGTACGATGCCTGGACCGCGTCTTCGACTCGTGTGTCTCGCGTCCTACTCCGCCCACACGTCGAAAAAGGTTCCCAAGTGGCAACAAATGGCGTCACAAAAGCCGCAGAGTCACGCTGTCGAATGTCGCTGTCCCGATGTTTGGACGTAGAAATTCCGGCAGAAAAGCACGAGCAAACGCGAGTAGTCGCTCACGTTGCAGCCTGCAGGCGTCCCGACTGCTGGCTGCCGAAAATTCCGCGGGCAGTCGAGCCGGAGGGCGGCCAACAGCAGAACAGGAACCTTCCACATCCACCACCGTTGCTGAGACACCGCCAGGGTCGCCACCGGCGACAGCGTGACACTTCAATAACGTCATCAAACAAAAAAAATTTTTTTTTTTTACGCAGTAAACACACCGACTGGACACGTGTTCCAGGCACCATGCGACGATGATGATCACGCTTCTCGCTTTGTGACTGGCTCTTCGACGTCCTCATCGACTAATGCCGCACACTGATCGGCTGCAAAGCGATAATAAGATGCAAGAGACTCGAGACGCCCGGTGAGCGAGCGCTTCTTTTATTCGAGCGAGGTTTCTTCGGTTCGTGTTGAGAAACTATCCTGTTCTTGCCGTTTTTTTTTTTTATTTTTACGAAAGAAAAATGGTCTATGGCTGCTCGTCTCAATGTTGACGACTTCAAACTTAGAAGTGGCCCGAATAAACGCAAATGGCCTATAGTGTGCTGCAGATTTAAAATAAAAAGTCCCTCCCATGAAGCTCTCTAACCGCAGTGATTGGTAGTTTCCTCCAGTCCACTCGCCTCCTCTCTATAGCGTTCGCTCTGCTAATATGGAAAGAGCTGAGAGCTTTGTGGGAGGACATTGTCCTGCTATTCTTAACCTGCAAGAGACCACAGACCAGAGAGAACTGAAGAGTGAGAGACTCCCAGTCTGCGAGAAGTAAAACTCTCCCCCGGGATTCCGGAGCAAGAGGTGGTGTTGTCCCGTGCAGCTGAAGACCTTCCTTATGCGAAAACGAAGGTAGTAATCCAAGAGGGGCCCTGAACAATTGACAAAAAAGCTATCACTACAACAAGGGATGTTGTGACACAAGGTTTTCAACGTTTATATTAGCGTCTTCACTCGGTGTGGCCATCATGGGCAGTAACTGTTTCCAGAACGCTTTCAAAGCAATGGCTTTGTGTGGGAGACCTTTCTTGCTCGCGTTGGTCTCACCGCATAACGTCACAATGTCAGTTGACGCTAAGGTGTCGCACGAGGTCAGTTTCACTTGACATCATGGTATCACGTCACCTGACGTAATTGTGTCATATGATGTCACAGTGTTACGTGACGTGAAATCGCAATTTACCCGCTAAATTTTGTGGGAAAACATCCCAGTCAAATTTCGATAAAAATTGCTGCTCGTTCAGAAATCCTATCATGTTGTATCGCACCTTCACTCAATAGCTTGACAAAATAATTAAGCCAGGCGGTATTTTGTCTTCATTTTTTTTTCAAGGGAAGTGTTTGGTATTTTTTAAGATCTGTTGTATTTAGTGAAAACGGGTAATCAGAAGCTTTGTGCAAACAAAATTTAACGCTTCGGTTTCAGTTTCTGGAAAGTACTGACCCCAGTCTCTGCAACCTTGAGTGTCCTCACGATGAGGCTCTTGAGGTCTTGAGATCCGGCAAGTTCCACGCTGACCTTCTGGTACTCCTGGACACTTCCTTCGACCTCGGGCCAGAACATTGGACATGTCTGTAAGCGAGAGCCCGGTGAAGCTAACATAATTTTGCTCAGGGTTCATTTTAAACATAGTTAAATGTTTACGCTATATAATAAAGGAAGTCATCAGATAAAACTGTATGCTCATGCGAAATATATATACTACAGGAGGAATAGTACAAACGGTTTATTAACACCATTTCCCTGGATTATTAATCGCACTGAACAATGAATTCGGTGGACCGCTTGGTTTCTTAATCATTGCAGTTTTCTGGAAAAAAAATTTTAACAAAAACAAATGTAGCGCTTGACTATGTTTTACTCCCTTGAGGAGTCTTCCTTTTAGGCGCAACTGCGAGTTACCATGGCAAGTAAATGTTGAATGAGCTTGACTATCGTAGAAGCTCGGAGTCGTATATCGATGTAAGCTCCAGCAACATTGCTGAACGAAGTTAAAGGAGCTGTGCAACGATTTTAACGTTGGAAGAATTTGCCTCTTCGACTATTGACATTGTATATCTTGTCACAAAGGACAGAAAAACACGACTCCTTCCTTCGAAATGTTGCGTTTCTGCCGCGTAATCGCGAGGCAAAAGTTAGAATATTTCCCGAGCTGCAGCCGTGAGCGGCGGCCGTGAGAACCACGCGGCATGACGTCAATGGGGGACTTGTAAAAAGAGGGAAAGTTGTGCAAATACTTGCTCGATAAAAGGTAATTCTTGTATAAATCTTGTCGTTCCAGCATGAATATGAATGCTTAAAAAACCTGGTATCATCGACAAAACTTTTATTATACGGAGTTTTAGTGGCGCCATCTATCCGAGGTCAACAAAACCGTCAGCTCTATCTGCTACCGCGAACAGCCGCCAGAGGCCGGAGATGGAGGGGGACAGGGCCGGACGGGTATGGCCGGACCCGGATGAGACTTTTCTCCTTTCACCGTAATGTTCGCGCTGCGCCCGCCAGCACGTGGTCACGCGGTCACGAGTGCACGAGTCCTCGCTGCTCACTGGTGGCTCTAGAGAGAGAGAGTTTCACCGGAACCCCGCGCCAGCCCTATTGACGTCACATCACACGTGACTCGGAAGATGGTCAAGGAGTTGAGAGGTACCGAAAACCTCAATCTTTGTCCATTTTTAAAATAAAAACTAGGACATGCAGGCAAAAGCGGTTATTTGTTCTTTACTTCAGGAAGATCGAGACACCAATTCCCAAATTATTTAAGCAAACCACTGAAAATGTTGCACAGCTCCTTTATTGGAATATTTCGTGTGACGAAAAAGTTTGTATTCGTTAAATATAACAAGTTTAGGACGCATAAAGCGTTTTGGGCATGACATAAGTTGCTGACGGGCCCAAGCTGCTTTGAAGAAACACCTATAGAGTATTTAAAAGAACTTTTAATTTATAATCGAAACAAATAACTTCATAATTTTATGTTTGGGTTAAAACAAAGTTCGCATACATGTCACAACATATTAAATGCGTAGAAAATAAAAAAAAAAATAGATTTTTTTGCTTCTTTTTCACATCAATTACATCAAACGCAACTGTAAAATTTCGATACCATTCCAAGAAAAGTTGCAAATTCCACGCTTCTTCCGAAAGGCTTAAAAATGCTGCATCCCAGACCCAAACTTTGCAAGCCCCCGAAGAGCGACACTTCAGCCCCTGTAAAGCGTGCACTCCCACGAAGACACCATCGTTGAGGGAAAGCCCACTTCCACAACCAACCCTTTCTCTATATCCCATTCGATGATGTCCAGCGAAGGAGGAGGCTACGAATCACGCGTTAACCAATCCAGCGCTCCACGCGTGCCACGTGACTTCAAACGTTGCGCCTCGCTCCGCCCAATCAGGAGGTCACGTGGCGCGTTGTTAACTACGATTTGGCTCCGGTGTCACGTAGCGTCATTGAGGTACATTGTAAGGTTGAAGGGGGTATGTATTTATTGACGCTGCTCCCGACGCCATCTATCGATACAGGCGCCAAACACACACCGCAATTCAACCTGGTCGTTTGCGTCGCCGCCCGCCGTTAACCCTGGCAAGTTTCTTGACCCTATTTTTTTACAGAAAGGAAGCTGCGCTTTCTAATTTTACTAGAAAAGAACGACCTGTGAAATACACCTTCGGCGGAAAGTTTACATTGCTACCTCCAGGCGTCGATTTTTACGGTCCATTTTTATATCGAGCTTGCTGACTTGGGACACCCTATATATGCTTCGAGCAGGCTTGAGGCCGCTCTGCTGGTTTTTGTGTCTTCGCGTCTGCAGCCAACAGGGTGTCTTTTGTACGATTTAGGAGCAGTTCGACCGTGGATTTAGGGGGGTCGAGTGGAGAGTGTAGAAGGGTAGCAGCAAGGAATTTTTTTCTTTTTTTTTTTTTTCATCTGACCTCGTCTTCCAGTGGGCCCAGGGTGACGAGGGTCTTGGCGCCGCTCGCAGCCACCATCTGCCAGAAGTCGCCCACTGTTTCCGGAAGTGGCATCTGTGTCACCAGGTAGGCCTTTCTCCTCTTGAAGCCCTGCAAGGCCACGCCGAGTGTTGCGCCATACCAATCACGAGCTGCTGATGAGACGCGGTAAAGAAAGTGTGCACAGCTCGACCAGATTATTTACTCCTAATCAAAGCTTATTTTTTACCTAAACCGAAAAGATTATTTCTTGCGCAAGTTTTTATTTGTAAGTCAAAGGCGGTTTATATTTACCGAACGCCCACTTTGGCAGAAATCTGGAAATTAAAAATATTCTTATGTAAGAGCGTAACAATTAAGAAATGAGCCAATCACGAGCTCAGAAAGATCTGAAGCAGTGGTTTTTAAATGAGGGTTCGTGGACTCTCTTGGGAATTCGCGAAAACACGCTTCGGATAAAAGTAAGTAATAAAACAATTTTTTAATCCAAAGAAATATATGAATTTTCTGTGTGTCATTTTTCTTGTATGGGACAATAAAACAAGTCTGTATTACACTAGCAATAAGTTTTTTCTTTTATATGTATCGACATTTTTTGTTGCTTTTGTTAGGGGTAGACATATAGACGTTTTTCTTTGCAAATTGAGCCCCCAGCTTGAGAATTGCGGCGCCGACGACGCTTTCTAGCGGCTTAAGACTTGAAATACTGGCTGATTATGGCAGCCCAGTCGTCTGGATAGGCAACGGTGTGGGTAGGGGGGAACTTAGACTCGGCTAAGATGGCCTAGAATAACTTGGCTAGAACTTGGCCGCTTGAATCGAGCTGGTTAATGACAGGCCATCACCTTGCCTCCTCGAAAGAACGAGGGCGAAGACGGCGAAATGTTTTGATCGAGTTTCCACAACAAAGGAGTGTATGAGCAGTTGAATGTAGTCTATGCAAGTAAGCTCTCTTAGCATTTGATAGTGGCATCTTGGGTGGTGGCACGCAGACGCTTTCATACAGTTCACACGCCCTGGAGTAATAGCTTGCACTAATGACCTAATCGTAGCGCCGGCACCGGTTTGAAATCGGTTCGCTTCACTTAGACGAGTTATGAGCAGAAATGCGTTGACGAGTCAGATACAAGGCCCTCGCGATTCACTCTCGCAATCGATTCACTTCATAAATCGGGATAATTAGGCAACAGATGAAGCTCAAAAACACTGCAGCCACACTCGTGCTGCAGCTTCTTGTGCTCATCGCACTTTCCTCAGTTGTTCTTACGCTTATTACAGTTATTTGTGCATCCGACGACGACACAATGACAGCCAGTCAACCGTAGATTTTTCAGAAATTGTGACTCGCTAAAGAGAAACCCTCGGAACAAACTCAAGCACGACGTCCGTCTCCGAGCCTTTTCGCCCATACCCTCGGCGGTGGCACACCCTGTGTGAGCGGGCAATCCGAAAATGCAGCGGGTCGAGGATGCGTCAGTTTCGCATCGATATGAGGTTATCCGAAAAGGGCCTCTACTAAGGAGCAAAATGACCGGTTCGTTCGGGCCAACCGAGATGCTCCCGCGCTCGAGTCGTTTCTCCGAGCACGCCGGTGCAAAGCGGGGAAGCTTGAAGCGCGAACACCGATGCAAAGCAGTGATGCTCGACACGAGTTGTGCGGAGCAAGCGTCATGGCATGAACTGGATATGGTTGTCTAGAAGGGAAAGCTGTGACTATCACTCTCTTCGCCAAACGGGCGATAGTGATGCCACAGTTTAGCCTGAAGAGCGGAGTATCATTTGTAGGCCGACAGCAGCACCATTCCAGCCCCCTTCTAGCTTTGTGAAGGCACAAAATTGCCGTTACGGAAGTTTGAACGGTGACGTGACCTGTGACATTGTTGGCATAATCGAGGCCACTGTGAAATAAATTATCGTTTTTTTCAACGTTGTATCAAACATATAGATGGCCAATATTTGAAACTTAGGCGATTGACAAATACTCTGAAGGAAAGTGTTCCACTTAAGAGCATACGCGAGTGTACTTGATAGAATGATCAAGTCACTGAGCATTCCTTGCGCTCGGTATGTTTAGTTGATTATATAACGCGTGGAGAATCATGACGAACTCCATGACGTTGCGAGCTTATGACGTTCCTTTATTACTCTGCTCGGATTGTGCGTGGTTGCCGCTCCGACTGGAAGGGAAACGAAGTGTTCAGAAGTTTTATGGCTCCTCCGGGTTAACACTTCTTCTCAAGAGCGATTTCTGCTGTTCACTTTGTGTTTTTAGTTTGTTTGTTTTTTTCGCTCAATAATGAAGATATGTTTAGGACCCACTTAAGGGAAGAAACCCTCGACGAGCCAGATGTCTCATAATCCACGTGATCACGAAACGCAGCATGTATAACCTGATATCTACGTGTATAGAGGTCACTCACGTCGACGTAAACGGCGTTGATGTAGTCCGTCTGGCTTCCGTCCGCTGTGGGGCGCAGAAGTGGTCTCCGCGTGTCCGCTGCAAGTGAACGTTTGACGGCGTGCAAAGGCATTTACAAGGTGAGAGTGTATCGCGGAAATAAAAAAAGAAAAGGCTATTCGTCATTGCGTCACGATTTTTTAACGCTTCTAGAGTAGGGACACACACTTTTGTGGACAAATTAGGCTGGTAAATTTTAAAAAAAGGAGTAGAAACATCTTATGCGCGCCTAATATTCTTTACAAACCAAACTTGTGTGTGTAAATTAGCAAGCTGAAAAAAAAAATTTTTTTTTTTTTTTTCAAAAAGCAAAAAGCCAGAAAAAAACATTACAAGCTCCTATAGCCTCATAGTGTCTTTTCCAAGATGGTGAGTTACTAAAACACATCAGTACGTAAATTATCGGTGTAACAAGTAAATATTGTCGAAGACTCCAGATTATAAAGATTTTCGTTTTCTTGCTGCGATGCGCAGCCTCGTAAAAAAAACTTGCAATCGTCGCAATCAAATTAATATGCTATAAAAGAAGAAGAAGAAAAGCAAAATGTACGTTTTGCCTTTTTCGGAACACGTGTGGAGCTCATAGAAACAAATTTGACGGCAGTTATTATCTCATTTATTATAACAGAGTGCCGATAATAGACGAAAACGTCTTCCCCTCTCATGTTGCCCCGACCGTAAACAGACTGCTTGGAAACAAATAGGCCGTTGATATCACTGCGTTGTTTGGTCCCCTGACCCACTAAATAAACTCATATTGACCCGACACTGTACCCACGACGATTCCTTCAGGTTTTCAGCAAAGTGAAGCTGTCATCTTTATTTAGCCAGGGCCCCAGGAGGGTAAGTCCACCAAAAGAGTTCACAATCAAGACTCGTATTACCTAGGGTGACTCGATAAACGAGCCTCCGTCCAGAATGGAAACATCTCCGTCGGCGCCGCCATCTCGGTTCAATCGCGTGCCGATGCGCTATTTCGGGTGGGCTACTTCTAGCCTAGGATGCGCTTGCGTACGCCTACTTCGTGCAACTTCCATTTTGCGTTGTATTTTGCAACTCAGACGCGCGTCTGAGAGAGACCTTTTACTCATATAAATAAAAAAAAAAATGAGTGGACGCGACGCAAACATTAGGACAAGCGAGCGCACGGGCTTTGGGTTCTCACGTCTTTTGTTTTCATTGCCACACTTCTTTCCTGCTAAAGCGAGCGCAGCACTTTAAAGTGGCAACCCGTATGCATACTATTTGATATGAGGTAGCACATAATGGTAACTTTATAAATTTTAGCGACTTTGCGACGGGTTCTTACATGGAGCAGCTGCTCTACCATTAGGAGACACTTATCGCAGAGCTGTTTGTATATTTTGCACTTCTTCAGAAATTTATTACACTAAATGCGTTTACTAGCCCATGCCATACTACAGAAAAAAAAAGACACTAATACATCCACTCCATATACAACAAGATTTATTCCTGCAAAAGCGAAAAGCTGCATCTCACTGCAGGTTCGAATCGGCGACCATTTTGCTACCATAACCATCATCCGACCCCTCCGGCTGACTTAGCCAATGCAAGTAAATGGGCAGGCGCATTACGACAAAACGCTCGTACAACTTGCACGTTAGATCTGGGTGTTCGCTGCACTCAACAGGAGGAACAGGAACAGATTGCTCCATAATTCGTCTCACAGTTTTCATTGGACTCTTTAAAAGGCAAATGTCCTCTTTTTTTGAAAACGCTTTAAATACTCCCTCACGACAAGAAATTAAGTTGGACGACCTCCAGGCTGACGTAAGCGAGATGTTTTCCACCTTGAACATATCTTTTTCATAAGCACAAGAGTGTGCTCCTCGGAAGCCTCTTCTGCAGTGAGCATTTGTGTGCAGACACGGCACGGCTGCACAGCAGAGAGAACAGGTTTAACCAAAAACGTGGCCAAATGAGCAACAATGCCGGACTCGGCTCTAAAGAGTGGTTCCATTTTTATAATCTTATCATCTCCTATAGGCTCTTCAACTTCCTGCTGCACTTCTTTGATTTCTGCGGAGAGGAAATCTACCAGATGGGTGCTGTCGTCAATGTCGTAGCCTGAATTTTTTTTTTTTGGACTTTGATGGGGCTCACTGTCGCAATTTTGAGTTAATTTTTCACGTCATATGCATTTTGGCACTGGAAAAATCATCCTAACAAATGAAAACAGGTTCTCGACACAGTCTTGGGCTAACCGTCCTGTCAGCACAAAATTGCACCTACACTATTTCAAAAGATCACCGTGCAATTGCAACACTACAGTTGTCGACATTAGCACCCCTGCCTGGCATGGCTTCCATACTTTTTTCACTCCGATCCACAAGCTCTCAGAAACAGAAATACTGAGCTTCACAGTTGAAATGGCCTCCTCATACTTTCTCTATTCACAAAACTCAAAACAACGACAGGATGGCGAGAAGTCATTAGGGTGCACCATTTAAACACCAGTTCGAAAAACCAGGCAGTTGGTTCGGTCTCAACTGACAGTTTGTTCTCGGTGCCACATGCAGCTGCTCAGTTTCCAACTTTAGAACCATCTCCACATGCTCTATTGAGACCTCACTGCTTGGTAAATTGAACTTGGAGACTACCTCGTCATTTAGATGTATCAGATCGTTTCCATACGAGGTGCCCTCTTAGATTTTTCAGCATATGTGCGGGATATGCCATGAAGAACGATGGCTTACCATCATCACAGGGATACAACACACTGTATACAGTCACAGAACCGCGGGAACTGGAAAGGTTCAGGGACCTCCATGGGGCACGGTTAGAACTGCCTATGTCACACGTCACACAGAGCAGATGCAGTGAAATATCTGCACACAGCTTGCTTAAAACAAACTTCTTCAGCTATTTCCGTTGATATATGCGCCGGTGTAGAGGTACGCTGTGACGTGCTTCCAGCGCGAGTTGATACCTCCCACCATAAAAACGAGAGCATGGTTTGCACGATGGTCACTCTTGGGCAGCGTCGTTCCGCCAAGCAAAGTGTCATTGCCACGGTCCAACACAACGCCTTTTCGAATTTCCATTTCATCAAAAAAAAGACTGCTTGCAGTAGAATATTCTTATACAATCCTTTTCAATGTCTGACATCGCAGCTACTTTCGTTTCCATCACACGCAATATTTCAGTCAGCACACCGGGCTGAAATGACAGGTGTTGTAGTCTCCTGCAAAGCGTCCTTCTCGTCGGAAGGGGCTTGCCCTGCTCAGGTTGAAGGTCAAACCCCGTGGAGCCACAGTAAAACTTGAGCTGTAGTCCCTTCCGTATTGTGTCAGCATTCCAAGTATAGCCTCTTCTATTCAGTTTTTCCAAAACATGATTTTGGTCCTCCTCTAGAAATGTCAAATTTCTGGCCAACGTGCAAAGTTTTGTTTCTATCTGCCTTGTTTTTCTTAAAGCTCTCTTTAACTTCTTCTTTGCAGCTGACAGGCTTTCTTTCAACTCACAGTTTTTCCTTTTTGTGTCTTGGAAAGTTTTCCCTAGTACACTTGTATGCAGTGTCACGATATCAACCACGATAGCAACTGTATCGTCTAGGTGGTCGTGCACAGTTTGCCTGAGTGTCCTCCGTGCCAGAGTCTTCTTGGTCCGAGGCTCCAGCCGCAGAAATTCACAAAGGGCCTGCAGTTGCGGCACCTCCACGATCAACCGGAGGAGCTCACGGTGTGGGGGGCTTTCTTCGCTACGGCTACGCTGCACAGGGAAGGGAGAGACACTCAGCACAGATCTAAACACAAAATAAAATTGCATGCGAACGAGTGAGACAGATGTAGAAACACTTGCGTCTGAAATCAAACAACGTAGGTACAGTTGTCCGCTTGAGAAGTCGCCGCCCATGTTGTCCGTTCATCTCGTACTGGTCTTCTATTAGGTGGCGCTGAAATAAACAAGAAATGAGATTGTTATTTATCTGCAGACTCAAAGGCATTGACGTGAGAGTAAACAGAAATTGAAGAAAACATTTGCATAGTTTATTTCACATCAAAATTAATATATTTTTTACGCTACCTTAAAATACGCTTTATTTTATTTAATTTTTCGACCTTGCACGAAGGGAGCGATGTAAGTACTTATCAAACAGGGACAAGGTTATGCCATTTCGTTACACACGTCGAGCTGTGTGACATGACCATGAAATATATCACACGCGGACTACTGAGATGTGTCGCGATGTTGCATTTGCGTGTGTCGTCTCGGAAACATATTATTGACCATGCTGGAAAATAGCCATCAACGATTATTTTCACACACACACAAGAAGAATCCAACTAAAAAAGAAAAAGTCGGTGGCCAGTCGCGAATCAAGGCTATTGATCGAAAGGCGAGGATAGCATGCAGTCACTGAACTACAACAACTTGGTGTATGCGCACGCGGCAATATTCCGCGCTTATCAGATTGTTTCAGGCTCTTTGGATGGTAAATTAATCACAAAAAGTTATTACAAAGTTGTGCATGAGCGAGAATTTCTCACGCTGAAGAGCTACCATCTTAACCTATTTTAATTGGGGAGCGCTAATTAGTGAATATGTCCTAACGACACAAAAGGGGTATCGATATAGGTATTACCATTAAAACTAGTGACGGGCCGAACTTTTGCCGAATAAAAAATTCGACAAAGCCAAACTTTTGCCGAACTGTTCTAAAAATTCGGAAAAGATTCGGCAAAAATACATTGTTATCAAACTTAATGTTGATATTTAGTCTGTATTTTCAGGCGAAAAACGGTTGTATGTTATTTTTTCTTAACTTAAATGCAACATGTAATGCGTAATGACACAGTTATTACTAAATATGGTGATATTCTACAAGATAATTGCATCGGTGTCGTTTTTGTGTGTTTACTGGCATTTTTAGTGACTGCTTGCAGAAGCGGCGTGACAACGAGGTTGGGTAGTAGCGGAGCAGTCACGAATCACGCTACAAGAGTTTCGGTTTTGAGGCCTCATCTGCGCAAGCCTGGATGTGTGTGTACATTGTTAAAAGAAATGCTATAACACTCTATTCTTACTTTCTTTGGGAGTCACCTTTTTGTGCGCGAAAACAAATGCAACGATTGCCGAGCCTTCACCAGAAGAGATAACAATATTATTGTAAATATGCATGTTTTTTTTTTTCCATCTGAGTCGCTTGACGACAGCTTCACATGAAAGTGTGCGTCTTATATACGAAATGCCTCGTTTTTAACCTTTTAGATGCCGGTTTCTGGTGTTAGGGCACACACAGGCGTTTAGGAAGATGGGAAGAGTTAGGAATGGAATGTCGAATGGTGCAACGTCAAGCATGATAGTTCTGCGTTTAGTTTTATGCAGATACATGAAAATCGCCACACAAACTACTTGTGAGCCAAAAACAGGGTTACAATTGCGAGGAGTGCATTGAAGTAATTGTCAGTCAATGTTTCCACTACCTCGTTGCATCACTCAAAATGGCAAATGAAAATCACGTTATCCAGAATGTACCGCATCATTTGTCACTTGCGCAGTGGACAGTGTAAATTACTGGTCGATCTTTTGATCTTGAGGCAGAAACTACTGTGGAGAACCACACTTGCAAACGCTCACAAACGCACAGATACCGTGTTGCCTACTCCACTGCTCGCCGTAACCGCTGGTTGTATTACACTGTACGACGATAACCGCACGACTGCACGGCGTCATTTTGCAATCCATGGCCCCGCTGCGTTCTCCCGCGTGCGTGGACATATGCCGAATTTTCGCCCAGTCTTTGCCAAAATTTCCTTCAAACGTTCGGCATGTGCCGAACATTGTGGAATCTGAAGTTCGGCAGATTCGGTCTATCACTAATTGAAACTCGGGATGGGGTGCTTTAGAAAATCAATTTCTTATGTCACAACTCCGATTGATCGCTCGATCCAACCGGTGAGACAAAGCGAGAGCTGATTTTGAGTGGAGCAACTCCGATAAAGGAGCTAGCTATCGGAACTGCTAAGACAATTTCTGAATACTGTCTTATATCGTAATAAAGTGGTCGTGTTTTTTTAACGATTACCTCACAGATCCTCTAAGTGTGACTTACCTTCCAGCGGTCGCGCTTGACGCAGGCCTCCCATTTCCCCATTTCCTTCTTCCCGCCTTTTCTTGGGGAAAGCGGAAGCATCGGACTCCCTTTGGTGACGAAGCGGCACACAGCAGTACAGAACAGCCGGTCATGCTAGTGCTCGGACGACTGCTGTTGAGATCAGCCAGACCCACTCATCTCTATGAGATCAGTGGTAAGACCAGAAAGACTTTTCTGCACACAGCCCTGCCCACGGTGAAAGATAGACGCGCTACACTTCCAACCGCACGTACCACACGCATATTCCGTCTACATTTGAACCAAGATGGCGTCGTAGCGTGGGTAAAATTATTTCCCCACACTGCAAGGATGCGCTAACTGACGTCGAGGCACCAGTATTACCTGGTTACGTACCGGCAAGGATGTTTGGAGATCGGTTTTTAGACGCGTTCCTGGGATCCGTGGCTCTCTTGTAGTCTTGGTCGCCCAAAGCAAAGCATGCTCTGGCCAGTTCCTTCGGAGATGCGGTAAAGGATCTTAAAAAGGATCATACGATCTTAAAAATCTATATGCTTTAAACAAAATTTTATTGTTTGGTGTTGTTTTTTTTTTTTTTTTGTAAAATATTGAGGGTGTTTCGAGGTCATTGTCCAGTTTGCGCTATTTTAATAAGGACAAGTATGAAGCAACTAGCCCAATCAAAATTCGTGTTTCAAAGAACACTGGCCATATCGTTCCTGCGAAAAGTATGCATCGCATAGAGAAAAGGTGAAATCATATTGGTCTATGCCAAAAGGCATATTAAAAATACCTTCCGCTATAATTAAAATCTTAATTTGTTTTGATCAATTAAGTTTTTATTTAGTAACTTAAAATGTATTGTACGAATTAGAAAGTTTGATGTCATAATAGAAACTCACTAGATCAGTCCACATTACCAAAATATAAGGCACGAAAATCATTTCGCTACGTTCCAGAAAAAAAACACTAACTTTGAAAACATGCTTCATAAAATTCAGCTTCAAAAAATGGGGATGAAGGAAGGAACCAACACGATAGGACGAGGCTGACGGGCCGTCCTGTTCTGTTTGTTTTTTCCTCTGTCCTCTTTTTTTTTTAAGTTGATTTTCATCAACCATGTTTAATTATTTCCAACTGGCCTAGTTTACTACTTTTGAATTTGAACGCGTCTTTAAGTTTGAGTTTGCCATCGAAGCTCATCTCCGCGTCAGCGGTCCCGCTCCCGGTGGCCAACGCGTACAACTGTACCACCTCGCTTCCCTTGCGTAGCACAGAAGGAAGAGTGGTGCGAGCAGACAAAATGAAGCGCAGCACTGTTACAATTACATTGCAAGAACAAGCTTCGATTCTTGGGTTCACCTCCGTCATGCGAATAATGCACGGCTGCGCACTTCATAGTTGCGCGCTTTGACCACGGCGGAGCAGGACCGCCGGCGCGGAGCTACGTTTATCTAGGAGTTTACTTAGGAATTGTAAATAAAGAACATTTGAATTCATGTTGGGCAGCTTTGCATTAATAACCTCTGATGGCGCTTCCTTGGTTGGAACTGACGGCATGGAGCAAGCGAGGATAACGTCTTCAGAGGGCGGCCATTCTAAGAATACGTCCGCATCATAGCGAAATAAAGAGTCGGACAGATCTCTGAAGATATCTGGTCGCTATTGAACCAGGAGGTGTGAGGCCCACCTCCATCTCCAGGTCAAGGATGCTTTTCTTCGAACCCGGGGCTTTGGACTTGAGCTTGTGGTACGAGCTGACAAAGTCTTTGACCGCGAGCTTGTGGCTCTTGAAACAGAGGATCTCCACCAGAGCCATGTACGCAAACACGTACTGCTCCTGCACGACCAAAGCCGGTCCGTTACCAAATATTTGTGAGCGCATAGACCATTTACGGATGAAAGGTTGGCGGTAAGATTTACAGTATACACGCACACGGTGAACTGACTAATACACGCCAAGCATCCTGCTGTAAAGGGCGAACTTACCAGCGATTCCACGAGGTTGATCCTGTTCTGGCGCATATGGTGAAGCTGGCCGATAAGGTTTACTTCGCCTTCAGCTTCAGCTTGCGCCAGCATGCTGTCTATCAGGATCAAAGTACCTGTCCTACCGATGCCTCCACTGTCCACACACACAGACACACACAAAAAGGAATAAGAACATTCATAATTTATTTGTAAAGGCAGACCTTAAGGAGTGTTGTACTAGAAGGCACCAAACATGTTAAATCTTGACACTTTACAATTTTTGAGACGTGCAGTAAAAAGCCTGACCTGCAGTGAACCACGATGGGATGGTCATCGCAGGGCTCGAAGTCCCAGATCCTTCTCAGAAACGGCAGCAGGGCGTCCGGGTAAAGAGGCACGCCGTCGTCCGGCCACGTTGTGAAGTGGAACTGGACCACGGTTCGACACTCGTCCTCCTGCGAGATAGGAAGGGAGAGTTCGAAACACAAGGACTTAGATAATTATCCTTCCACAACATGATTATTTAGCATGAGCGACAACGTCACTATAGTCAGAAATGCAAGTTAAAAATGTGCCAGAAGGTCCTTCCACGACATAATTACCGCTAGCCACTGTCCCTCCGCATTGCACAACGAGTTTGCTACCGAAGATATTGCCCATTTATACGTCGCGCTGATGTCACATGACTCCCCACAGCTACTGCCTTCCTTGGTTGGTCCGCGAAAGTGAATCGATGCTGTCGCTGGTACGTGATGATGTTTATATGGCACATTGTTAACTTGTATCCGACCAAATTCACACAAAAAACAAATGCGTGTACCGAAAGGCCTCGGCGAATATGAGACAGGAGCGGAAACACATGTGTACCCTTGGTGGCGTCCGTATCTTTGTCCGTAAAAATTATATTAAGAACGCCGTTACGATTCGACAGCGTGTTCATGCTAAGCGCCCAGTCAACAAATCTACTCTGCCGATGTGCAACAAACAGTAGCGCTTGGGCATTCAATCCATGACAGGCACCTTTAGGTGGAACTGCACGGTCAGGTACGTGTTCAGAAGGTGAAGACGCGTTTCATTAAACGGTACTGACCAGAGCGAGTTGGAACTCCCGCACGATGAAATCCACCTGTATGTCCGTCTTCATCAGGGTCACCGTGTACTTGCCGTACTTCTGGCTGGCGTCCGGCCAGTACTTCTCGCATTTCGTCTGAAAGTGACCGTCGCGCTAATTCGGGTATACGGTCGTAAGAAAATCCGTCGCGAAAACTTTCGGAATCGCAATGAACAAACTTAATGCTCGCCTTTTCCTGTTCCTTGAGGCTGCTAAGCATCACAACCTTGCAGCAACCTTCTTCCCAAACCATCCTCCAGAAATCGGGAACCGTAGACGATTTAGGTCCTTAAAGGGTCAATATGAGCGTTTGTCACAGGGAAGAAATAGTTCCTTCGCTCTGCCGCTAGATTTCTGTGTACAACCAGACACAAACAAAAGGAACACGATCCCGGTATACACTTGTATACCCGACCGTTGCCCGACAACCATGCATAGTTTTTCTTGAAGCGTGCCAAGTGTAAACACAAACTCGTGTTGTTTTTTGTAAGATGCATGTCTGATAAAAAATATTTATTGTACTAACCTTGAGTTGCGATGTATTTACGTGAACAGTTATATCCCTGCAATGTGAAACAAAATAAACACAATTCAAAATTACTATGCTACTCCATCTCGTAAGTATAAAGTGGCATATACCGGACAGAAGCCAGTGCGACACCTAAAAATTATGTTTTAAATATAACTTGCTCAAACATCGGGTCAAAGGGCCAAAAGAATCGGACTGACCGGCACGTAGTTAGCATTGATGTAATCGCTGTGGTCGACATCGGGGAGCTTCGACAAGATCACCCGCGAATGGTCATCTGTAATTCACAAGAAAATGTGCATCCCAGCAAGACAATAAAAGATAACAGAGAAAAAGAAGAAATTTATTCTTACACGGAAGAATATTTTCGTATCGATTCTTGGATTTATTTTCCTGTTTCTTGGCAGTGTCCCAGGGACGAAGCTGTCCCCTTGGCAATGTCTAAGTGTGGGAATCGAAACAAAAGAAAACACAAGTCCTGAACGCAAGACGTTACGGAGAAAAACATTTGGCCTAAACCACATCGCCCTCCTGATTATCAGCTCCTTGAGGAGTCACACAAGTGATTCCTCAAACAGACAAAGCATAGTTCCTCTAACGTCCTGCAGATGCCGTTTCTAATCAAGCCGAATTAGTCGACAGGTTCACCAGAGAGGTCCAAAGTTCCATTGGGTTGAAAAATAAAAAAATGTATAAACATGCTAATGAACGCGGTGCAAAAAGTAGGTTTCTTGTAAACAGTGCTAGAAAATAAGGACATGTCATTTGCTATGTGCAAGACGAAAAAAGAAGCAAAGCGCCGGGTTGATGCTGCTGCACATATACGACACCACATGGAACAAAACCTCGGACACTTATTAGGAATGAATACCCCCAAAGTATATTCAGCACGTCCGAGTGTGTGTAATACTATATCTGAGTAGCAGCAACAAGCTGGCGGCTTGTTTTCTTTTTCTCCTGTTGTATAGGAGCTACCAAGATTTCTCTTTTCTGAATTTTTTTTTCCTTTGAAAACCTACGCTCAGAAGATGCGTGTCCGGTAAATGCATCACCTAAAGACATATTTATGAAACGTTTCACTGCACTCCTTTCATCAGCTTATTTAGACGATTTTTTGTTTTCTTTGTTTCACGACCGAACTCTGGAACCTTTTGTAGACTCTGTTGTCTGCGACTGTTGTGCGTTCATAACGACACATCTTGTTGTAAAAATTAGCCCACTACGTTGAAGACTACAGAAATGAGAGAGGAAATCTTTGTTGCGAGGTATGCGTTACCGCGTATTCGTCCTTGAGCGTGTCCTGTGCCTGTGCGTGGATGACGTGCTCCTGAAGCTCCTTGACGGGCACCGGCTTCGAGGGAAGTCCCCTGTTCGGGACCGCCGTCATTTCCAAGTAATCGCCGTTGCCCATGTTCAGGGTCATGCGGGACTCCGAAAGGCTGTTGTCGTCCACTGAAGAAGAAGCAAGAGGGAAAACAAACACTGACAGTTTATTATGTCCTCTACTGTTCCTCCCCTCCCCCACCCCCCCCCCCCTTTTAAGAAAAGGGCAGAAGCATAAACAAGATAACAAAAACACAAAAAAACAGCAATAAGTAATATATATTTGATCTCTTAATTCGAAGAAATTTTCTTGGCGAAAGGGGTGAGTTTATTTATTTATTGTATTTATTTATTACCTGCAGTTCGCCCATGGGGCATCCTCGTAGGGGGGGGGGGGGGGGGGGGGGGGTTACACATTAACATATAGAAATAGCGAAGGACACAAAGTAGGCAACAAAAACATTCCCTAACATTGCATCATCGAGACATGGTACTCAAAAAGAAATCAATTATCACTTCACTATTTTTTTACTATACAAAGACATGAAAAATAAAAGCATAACCTACTTAGAAAACCATCATAGCACGCTTTCATAAAAATACTGCTTCAGAGCACCTTCACAGTTTTCAACGGGCGTAGTAACCACGGCCTGGCAGTTCGACGACGGAGCCATAGTGTGCCCGGTCACAGATTTGGAGAGCGAGGATCTGGTAGCAGAGAGCATTCCTCGGGGTGCCTGATATTCAGCGCACAGCTTTTGCAGCGGCGAAAACCCGAAATACACTTGTTCGTTCGGGAGAGGTGTGTTTCGGCGTCTCGCCGCAGCGAGGCGCCAGTCACGTGGCTCTACTCTCATCCGTGTTCTGCCACTCCACCTTTTTCATTTTGGCGGCCGCTTCTCGTGGCCATCTGCCAGGCTTTGTCAGTATATGTCAAGCTATGACACGGCGCTCGGAAGTCTCTTGCATTGATTAATTGTGCGGGGAAAGGAGGATGATTTAAAAACTGATGCGCGGCATGTTATTTCGCGTATCTTTCTTGAGTGGTCTAGTGTACGGGATATGAAGGTAGGTGGATTTAAATATTCATTTTTATCGATACCAACCCTTTTGTGTGATATTTGATTTAGAAACGAACACGTCTCAATAATCTACGACGTAATTCGAGAGAGTCCCATACAGTGTAGACCGCATATAACGTATGTCGCGGGAGTCGCGAAAATCCGCACTATAAGCGGTACCGCGTTATAACCAAAACATCAATTTTTCAGGCCAAAATACATGCCATGAGACAACTTACCTTTGTAAAAGATTTTATTTTATGTTAGATGAAAAATAAAGCTTAGTTTGAGGAAAGTCTTTATTTCACCAGACTAGTACAGTTATGTCTCAAGTGTGTCACACATTTTGAAAGAAATTAGCGGCTTTTGCCTGGCGCAGCCTTTTAACGGCGTCGCGGGTTGCGGACGGACGTTGCGAGCGTTCAGGATTGCTAACTTTAATCACTTTTCTCCGGAGATGAAAACGCGTGAAAATTCGCATCCTTCATACTGTACGCGCCAGTAATACCTTGAACCTTAGCACACGCATGAAATGCGCCAAATAAGAAATCCGGGCGATGTTTGAGGTCACAAATGCTTAGAAATCACCACTGTAGTGGAAGTAAACAAACACGACGACACGGGCGTTTCTGCCGTCTTGAGAGCGCCGCCACGACATCGCTGCACGAGTAGGTGGATCTTCCCTTCTAGTACGTGCTGGGTTATCATAGCGACACACAACGAAAATTCAGTCAAGGATAGCGCTTTTACGCAGAACGATGAGATGAACTCCGTCTACGACGACGATCACAACCGACACCATGTTTGCGGAGAAGCAGCCGGCCCGCGACCGGTACGCAACGCGCGCGAACACTTCTCCTCGATCTGCGATTGGTCTGTCGGTGCGGTTGTTTGTTTCTTTGTTTCCAACGCAGCGGAGGGACGCACGCACGTGAACGACACGTGCGTGCGTCCCTCTGTCGCTACGGCGACTGAAGCCTCTCTCTTCCCTTCTCCCCACTTCTTCGAGCAACATCCTCGCCCCGCGCCGTCAGCGCCGTTATCTGGTGTCGCACAGGGAAGCGTGCCCGCTGCTCCGGTCGTCGGCGCGGTCGGCGGGCTGTGCCAAAAACCGCACTGTAGCCGGTATTTCCCTTCGCGCGCCTGCATTTTAAGCGGTATGTAAATACATGGAGTTCTATGGGAGGAGAACCGGTGGTTTAAAAAAACCGCGTTATACCCGGTCCTGCACTATAAGCGGTTACGTTGTAAGTGGTCTATACTGTACCAGGTTATTTTAACGCAGTAACGCTGGCACTAATATAATAAGAGTTTGTGACAAAGCGAGCAGCTCGATTCTGAATCGCTTTTACAGGGTGATTCAAAGAGAGGCCAGGCTCTTTAAATCGACCGCGAAATTCGGTTTCTTAACCTATCACGCTACGACTTTGTGCGGCGTTGCCCACAGACGGTGCATTTTTTTTTTTGTAAAATTTGCAAAAAGCGAATTTACCTGAGAAAAAAGTAAATAAAGAAAAAGGCTTAGCTCCTATGGAAACGCAGCGACGCCACCGGTCTTCAAACAACACGGCGCCGTTTCGCAAGGGAAACAAGAGATGGCGCAACAAATGCCACCAACAAACGAGCATACGGCGCCGAGAGCAGGCCTTTTTAGCAGACGATATTTTCGACTCAAAACCGGCGCGCGTTCTGCAGGCGGCGACAGTCGCAGAAACAAGAACAGGTGCGGTAACAACAAGGAACTGCAGTTCCTTGCCTGCTAAAGACGTCGGCTCTCGGCATCGTATGCTTGTTCATTGGCGGCAGTTGGCGTCGCGACCGCTTGCGCCATCTCTTGTCTCCCATGTGAAACGGCGCCGTGTTGTTTGAAGACCGGTGGCTTCGCTGCGTTTCCATAGGAGCTAAGCCTTTTTTTTTTCTTTACTTTTTCCTCAGTTAAGTTCGCTCTTTTTCAAATTTTGCAAAAAAAAAAATGCACCATCTGTGGGCAACGCTGCACAAAGTCATAGCGCGATAGGTTAAGAAACCGAATTTTGCGGTCGATTTAAAGAGCCTGGCCTCTCCTGTAGTTTAATAATTAGTGTTTTAGTGTCAGGATTCTATATCACTGCAGCATACATTTGACATGTCTATGAGTTCTTTAACGTCCCTATGAGCGTTTCTGAAATTTATTTTGATAAGATTAAGTACACGACCGGATTTCCTAGTTACAATTTCAACATGACTATTCCACGTTAGACTAGATGAAAAGAAAACACCCAAATATTTCACATCTGTGACCAGAGCAATCTGTTCAGTATCTAAATAAAATTCCGTATGTATGTTAAGCCGCTTATTACTAAAGCGGATACAACTGCGTTTAGCAACATTAAGTGTCATTCTTCGTTTGCGGCACCAAGAGATTATTTTATTAATATCGACCTGTAGAGCAGTGGCGTCTTCCTGGGTATTTACAGTACTACATAAAGCAACAGTCGTCTGCGTATAACCTAAGATTAAAAACGATGTCAGGGCCTATATCACTGATGTAGAATAAAAACAAAAGTGGACCTAAAACCGATCCCTGCAGAGTTACGCAATACCAAATCTTCACCATGTATTTATCAAGCTCGGCGGATATGAGAAACTAACCGTCGCGGCAAGATTAGCCACAACACGTTAAATATTTTTTTTTTTTTTCAAATATGTTTTTTTTTCTAGTTATGTTGTAATGGCATTGTTGAGGGCATTTCTGATTATAGGCTAAATCAATTTAAATTTTCGTGATTTCTTTTTTTTTCTGTAATCCGATTTTGAAGTTGATTGCAAAAAGAGCGCCCGAAATTCCATCCACCATGATGCACAGAAGTGCGACGTGGTCATTTTGCGCACCTTTTCATCAGCGTGTCCAAAGCGGAGGCACCGCGACGTAGCGGATTTTCAAGATATTTCTTTGAATTTTAAGTGATTCAAAGACCATGTTCAATAACCGCCTTTTGAGTGCTGCCATCTTCTGTCTACTTGGCTGTGGAACCAATATTACTTAAAAAGCAAGGTTACGGCTTTCTTCCCCAAACGTCATCACTGGGTGGATGGATAAGGCTGAATGAAGCCTTTGAATTGGGCTGCAGCTTGCGCTACTTAGCTTGCGGCAGCGTCGTCGACAACGCGTTTTGCGGTGTTTCACCACGAGTGCAACGCTGGCATACGGCGACGCCAAAACGGACGCGTGTGTCGGTTTGCAGAATCTCTCGTTGAACCTAGATTGTTTGCCGCTAGGTGGCGCGTCGGGGATCAACTAGAACTGACGTCACGCGTAGACATTGTTTTCTAGGTGGTATTGGGGGAACACCTTCTGGGCATGTGTGATTGGCTTCTTCAGCGGAATGCTGAAGAGGCACTCCACAGATGTGTTCACACTCGACTGTGGAAGATGCAACGCATGCTTCAAAAGCCGAGGGATTCAAAATTTTTCGTCTCGACGCTAAGAGCTGGGAAGGTGTATATAGGATACAGACGTTTCGACAGCCGTGACAGACGATCCTTGAGGCTCATCTCCGTCTGCGAGTTGGACCTGTAGATCGCCCCAGAACGCTTCCTGCAAAACGCGACAAGGGGTCCTGTTGGTCCGGTTACTCTATACCCTATGCGGAGAGCAACTTGTCCGCCCCTTGCGCAGGAGTTTCGGTGATGTCAGAACGACGCCTAGCTTTGATTGAAAGGGTAGTGGGTAGACCTCAATGGTAGATGCCTTAAAATCTACCCCCAATTCTTTCTTTGATCAGCCAATGAGAGCTTGGCATTCTGACATCATCGCAATCCCTGTGCTGGAAGCAGACGAACTTGCGTTCCGGGTTTTCAGGGCACAACAAAAGTGACTCGGCACTCACTTGAGGCAGCAGTAGGTCAAAGCAGTGGTCACAAACACCAGCACCAGAAGCACCAGGCACGCCACCAGGATGACGCCAATGCCGGCTGTCCCGCCTGTATTGCCGACTGAGCCTGTCTTGTCGACCGAGAAGGGACGGGCTTAACTGTGTCAAACCCACTTTGCGGCAGGTCGCGTAGCCAGCACTTCCTGATTGCATGGCTGCAGTGCTGAATTTTCTGTGTCACTTACAGGTAGGCAACGCTATTCACAAGAGAACTGTGCCAGTGTTCAGTTAAAGACGTTTTGTGCCGCCTAAGTCAAGACGCAGCCGACTCTACGAGCTGATGGACCGACCAGACAGCGTCAAAAATGCACCATGATGATGTTCTTCATGTACACTTGTTCTATCATCGCTGAAGAAATCATAAACAGCAAAAAGGCCTAGTGACTTGTGCTTTTGACACTGCTTGATTAGACCCATTAGCTCGTATCATCGGCTGCGTCTGAAGCAAAGTATAGTGTTCATTCAGCAAGAACACGACTCCCAGCCGGATGATGACGCAGCACTCGTGATTCATTTGTGCCTCGCTTTGGCTTCCTGTAGGAGACGCAGAAACTTCAGCACAACAGTCTTGCTCTTTATGCTACGGTCACCTCTAAGCTGACAGTGCTGTGGAAGCTACGCGCCCACCGGTTCAATCAACAGCTTCCCTTTGATCAACTTACCCCTCTCTTTCTCCGCAACTGGCAGATACACCTCTTGAAAACAAGGGTGCAGCCATCTTGAATGTCGTCACTTTTGGTACGCGGTAAAACATTGTTTTGATCTCTCCTCGCCGCTGGAAGGTGTTTACAAAAAAATGTGCGATTGCCACACATTCTTGTTTTGCCTCACCTATATTTTCTCGCATAATCCAGGCTGAAATGTTTTATTATTTTTTCGTGCCGCATACCAGATACAGATCCCATGTGATTGACAAGGACAATAACAGGAAAACGTCTATCCTCATCATCATCATTTATTTTCCATGAGGGCCCGTCGGGCATTATACAAGGGCGGGAGCTCATTATGGAGAACTTACTGGGACATTCCGTGGAATTAAATGTTTTCAAGGAAATATCAAATTATAATTGATTCGCGTTGTATAATACCCAGGCACTTACAGTCCTTGGGGACATTATGATCTTTCGTCAAGAAAAGCAGACATTTATCATTCTTTAAAAGTGGCCTGTAAAATTAAATAAAAAAAATTAGGGTTGTGCGAATATTCGAAATTTCGAATAGTAGTTCCCAATAATACACTATTCGATATTCGCTTTGAGAAGAACTCCACTATTCGCCTTTTTCGAAGTGTTCATTGCGGTGGGTCAGAGCCGTATATGTAGAGAGTTTGGCCATTCGTTGGGAAGTGTAGGAGACAAATGAGGAGGCGTCATTGGCCGAAAGCGGGCTGGGCGTGTTCCAGGGCGTCTTCAGAAATTCGAATGTGACCAACCAGAAGCCGGAAATAATACCCTGGTGGTGGTTGCGAGAAACAAACCTGATAACAGCATTGCAGTAACTCTTGATGGCTGAAAATATGGTACACGTGATGTTTCAATCACGCTCATCCAAAATGATGGTGGAAGAATGCGACTAGCGGAACGATCGACATAATTCGTACGCCAAACGCGGAGTGCCGGGAATCTGCCGTCAGAGCGGTCACACTCTGTCCGCGCAAAACAGAGTTGAGCGGCGCATTCGTTTCTTACATCTTTCTGCATGATCATGATGAAAACAACACGTGCACCCTATTTTCAACCACAAAGAGTTACTACACTTCACTCTTACGCACTTATTAAAACCATATACGAACATAGACCTTCGATGATCGATCGGCTCAGAACTGTTTCTTGCTACCACCGCTAGGGGATTCTTTTCGGCTTCTGGTTGGTCAAGAGAGCATGCCAAGCCCTCTTTCCGACTCTGCCGCACGCCCTGGCTCTGCCCGCGCCTCCCATTGACCAAACTCTCTACATATACGGCTCTGCGGTGGGTTAGTCCCGTTGAGTGCGCTTCTTTCTGAGCCGCGGTGTACTGCGGAGAAGCAAAACCCGCGAAAGCAAGCTCCGCGGGTGTTGCTTCTCCGCATTACGTCGGTGCTCGGTAAGAAGCGCACTCAACGGAATAACCCGCCGCGATAAACATTTGGAAAAGTATGAATATAAGCAGTTGCGTGCTTGGATGAAAACCATACATTCAAAGCGGGATGGTGCACGCGTGCCGGCTGTATATGAAAATAAATGGAAACTTTGTAAATGTGTATGCTGTAAAACCCTTTATTTTCGGGGCACCTATTTTTCGCGAATCGGTCACAGAGGACATATTGCGGCCACTAAAGTTCGCGAATTCCAAATACCTGCATTGAAATTCTTGAAGACCAAAATTTTCGCATGCCTTTAAGTTTCGCGAATTTTTCAATTCGCGATATTCGCGAAAATTAAGGGCTCGTGAACATTAAGAGTTTTACAGTATCTACATTGTAGTAAAAGTTTTAAAATTAAACTGACTGTTTTGCAAGAGTATATGTTGGGCAGAGATGCCCTTACAACCTGCGTTCATCATGCGTGAGTCATTCTTTTTTAACTCGAAATTAAAGAAAAAATATTTAAGATTTGTAAATTCACTCAATTGGGTATAGTTTATCCATTTCCATTGGATTCATTTTATGTCAAACTTGTTGTTTACTTACCATCCCAAGACATCAGACCTTCTGAGGTCACAGTTCATAAATATTTGATAGATTAAACTTGGCTTATAAATGAACAGGTGGAACAACCTTCACAAGTTTCACTGGGGTTTTGTCTAAGCATTATATTGTGGTAGTGAAAGGCGTGGAAAAACTATTCGATATTCGATTCGAAAATATTCGGCCAAAACCACTATTCGCTTCGAATTTGCTTCGAACTCAAAATCCACTATTCGCACAAGACTAAAAAAATAAAAAAAATTGTACAGCCGTGGAATAAAATTTACAAGCGCTCAGAACTTTAATTACTGCTTACTGATATTTTATGATTCTCATGTGAAATATTCCCAGGTAACACTGCGATGTTTGTTGTTGTTCAGTTAAAATTCTCATTTTAATGCATGCGCGGAGGGGATGATGTCTACGAAAGTTGGGGATGCACGTGAGGAAAGATACTGTGTTTTTCGGACTATGGTCCGCTAACTATGAATCTCCAATAGTTGAAATCTTACGCGGTGCGGGCTATCTACAAGTAAAAACAATGCGAAGACCTTTTTTTAAAAATTGTTTATTATAAGAGATGTTACGAATTTTCTGAACGACGGACTACATATTAAGGATAGTAATTTCGGTATGACGCGAGCCCTTTCGTGCGCTAATTAAGCGAGAATTTTTCGACGTGTGTTGTAATAAGGCTTTCTTCCTGTCTTTAGGTTGTTGGTACTTATGTTTTGTTCTGCATTCTTGCCAGTTTATCATAATATGTTTTATGTCTTACAGACGTTGTCTTTTTTTTTTCTCCAATTTCTGTAACGACGTATAAATATATTTTCTGCCCACTGATCTGATTATTTTTTGTGACTTGAAATTCGTAAATAGCTTATATGTTTCACTACGTCTCCTAAGCATTCTGCAAGGTGTTTTCTTTTTTTTTTTGTCGATGTTATGTCGCAGTGCTTGAAACGGTGGCATGGCCCCGTCGGGCAACAATGTGACATGTTAGGCTTGTTGGTTTCAGGTGACTTTACTCTGGTTCAAGCTTTTTTGCCACTGTTTCTTTCCAAGATGTTCCCCGTTCGGCGTTAAACCCACCTCACTGTCATCAAAATCAATACCTGTCAGTGTCTCGAATAAAAGGAATACAAACAAACGTGACTATAGAGTAGACCAACTCAACTCTGTTACGTGACGCTGCCGCGGTGGCGCTGCTGTCGGCACTGCGCATGCGCACATGCCTCGCCTCGGGAGAATTCGGTTTCGGCGCACGCGCATTGCCTACACCCAGTGTGGGCAAACGCGGGCTTGTCTGTAAACAGTGTGTCGGTCGATAGGATGCACAAGGGGCTCAAAATGCATCAGGTCTGGATCCAGAAGAAACGCGTCACCCAAGCTTGAAAGTTACGCATTATTTTTCCCGTTACTTCAAACGTGTCGTTTTTATTAGCAGCAGCCAATATTTCATTTAGGGATAACTCTGAGAAGTGCAGCCCCGTCTTTGCTGAGACCTGTGTCACGGGCAATTAGAAAACGAAAACGGCCAGAGAAATTCACGAAGCCTTCTTGATTAAGTCCCACCACCACACTTCTTGTGTAAGCGCACCTTTTTTGTCATTGTCCGATAAAGAATTTTACTTTTTGAGGAACCAATAACGCCAGTATTTGAGGGGCGTGTGTTTGTAGACCATATGTTTGTGTTCTGCTAGGTGTGCCGGTTCTCATATTTTTAAAAGTATTTCATCCACATAGACAATTCAACGGAAAATCGCGACGCGTCCTGTCCAGTTCTGCCTCCGTTTTCGTCCCCGATTTTTGTCGTAATACACCATGCAGAAATTGCGTTACTTGTAGCGCTTTCCGTAAGACTGATTGGGGGGCGAACGAAGTGTAGGAGGTACGTTGGCTTAGCCTATTTGAGCGTCAACTCACCCACAACAGGCTCAGACAGTCGGTATCCGTAGCGGACTTCCTGGAAACAGGTACAAGAGCGTATCTTATCATCAAGACTGTCGCCGCCCGTGCGTATCGCAGGGTCGGCGTGCAATATTTTGAAAATGCGGCTTATATCTTCCTGTTCATTCTACTCTTACCTCCCGCCAGGATTATAAAACATCTTACTAACACGCTATACTTCGTTTCAGCTAGAGTCCAGACGCACCTGACGCTACGAGCTAAGGCGAACAATCAAGCAGCGTTAAAGCGCAAATCACTGGGCTCTTTTTTTCTGTTTACGATTGGTTCAGGGATGATAGAACATGTAAAGAAACACGAGCGAACACAATGATGGTAAACTTTTGACGCTGTGTGGTTGGTCACATCAGCTGGAAGCGTCGACATGCACACAATGTCGTGATTTGTAGAACGACACCGTGCGTAAACTTTTTCCATAAGCGAGCCGCCATCTTGAGTGTCATCACACATGTAGTACAGGCGAAAACATTTCTTTTTTCCGTCGCCACGTCAATACAATACATTCGGGATGTAAGCGTAACCGTCACCCATTCCCGTTATGCCTCACATCTACTTTTTTTTTTTTTTTTCTATTTGAAGATTTTGTTTTATGCTTTCTCCGTCGGCCATACCGGATATGTCTACCAGGTGGCTGGGTACGAGAGTAAGCAAAAAAACAGGTGCAAATCTGCCTTTGACACAGAGAATGTAAGTGTATAAATAAAGAAAATCTATAAGCACAATCAGCGATATTATTAAGCCCCAGTCACACTGTTCATCCATCATTCAAAAGGCACGCCGTTCACTGCAGAAAAATTTTTCGAAGACGCCTACAGACAGTGTTTGTATCGCTAGTGTGACCGTCATACAAGGAAGAGAAACGCCTCAGACAGTGACCTCAGACCGGATGTATGGATGTGAATGGCTGTACCCTTTGTAAAGGGCGGTAGCTTGTGCCACCTAGACTGTCTTTCGTATGATGTAATAGCAATGTGACTGAGGCTTTAAAGATTACGGCCGAGGTGATGCATTTGAATAGTGTGCTTTTGTGACCGGGAAAGGGGGGGGGGGGGGGGGGGGGGCAGAGTTTTCGCTCATTGTCTACTTTGTCGGCTATCGTCTTACATCAGAGAAGCTGCTCGCCACGAGGAGGCCGATGCGGTACGGCGTCGCGTCGCTCAGCGGCGGGTTCTCGAAGCCGCCGACGACGTTGCCCGCGCCCACCACGAAGTCGGACGACAGCTGCTTGACCTCGTCCGGAGTGAACATGGCCGCCGTGTAGTAAGCTAGCTGCATCTTTTGGGCGTCGCTGAAGTTGACCGGAACCACGGGTCCGTCCACGTCGTGCGTGCCTCGTACCACAAGAAGATAATATGCCCTGGAATCAAAAATATTTATATATTTAAAATCAAGATGTCTGACAAAGTCGTCATACGAGAATATGCCGGTTTCTTTCGGCCAGAGGGCGAGAGCACGCCCGTGAGACGCGACCATGTAATGCCTGCATCGGGCACACAACGCCACCGCAGCGTGCGACCATGCACGAGCCACGATCGTTTGCAAGCGCAGTGATGTGATTAGCCTAAGCCGTTTCGGAGCACCTTTTGGAGCAGCCAAAATAGTGTCTTGGAGCAGCAAAAGTGGCTTTTGGGGGCAGATATTCTTAGAAAAATAAAAATATTTGGTTTAAGGGCTGAACAAAGGAAGGGCACTTTGCTCGCCGCAATAAACAAATTATGGTCAAGTTAGACCACCTGGGAGTCTTTCACCATGTAACTGAAATGCCAATGACACGACATATTTTGCAATGCTTCAGTTAAATGATACATATATATGTACCCGCTATTGATAAATAAGAACCAAACTGCACATATTAAATTTATTTGAAAATGACCAGCTTAGTAGTAAATATATGAAAACATAAAGTTCAATACTTATATAATATAATAAACTGAAGCAGTATCCGACTGATGAAACACGTAACTGCAATACAAAACTGTACACATGAAAAAGGTGCAGTACGACTGGCGGGCGATTTCCTTTCGCTTTTTGAAACTTTCTGCAAGGCTGCTGCAAGCCTCGCTTAGCTTTCGGCAAGTAATGAATGTCCACTTTCAATGTCTCCAAAGAGACGCTGAGACATCCGACAAGTGTGCAGTGCTGTAGGCGTTGCCGAGCAATTCCAAAACGTCTCCCACCCTTTTACTGGTTCCCGATATGCCAGATTTTCGTCAAAAGCAAGCAAATGTAAAGCAATGGATTGCAAGCGTCCCGGCTGGTGCCTCTGTCGTGCAATCATGTTCGCATGCACGTGAGGGCAACTTCGGCAGCTTGCGGTTGCACGCGCTTCGTTGTGCGAACGGAGACCGCAGTTCGATCGAAAACGAAACCCTGCCACTCCGCTCCGTCGCCATCTGGTCCCCAAAATTGTTTGCAAAATGTAACGGCCCAGCATACGACAAAAAAAAAGTCCAGCGGCGCGTGCTTGCCAGGCCAGTAGGCGAGGCACAAGCTAATCACACACAAAAAAGGAACCTGAGCGCATCGATGCAAGACATCGCGAGTCAGGATCAAAAAGTTCTTGGAGCGCTTTGTGCAACAACTGAACTCAAGATAAACAAGCGCGCTGTGCGGGTTCAGCATGCAGACATTGCCTTTTTTGCTTTAGCTAGCGTGTCTTAAACTTTCATAAGCGACAGACTTTTCACGTACCGGTGTTCCTCTCAAAAGAAAGCCCACCGAGAGAAATCTAGGTAATCAATGCAGTCTTTGCATTGATTACAGAGCAGTCTTTGAGTTAAAGAGAAATTTTAGTAGTAGCGTTTCATTTGAACAAGGACAGGATTGCTGATTACCTTGCAGCGGCCCTTACGTTTCAGTTTAGGACGCGCCATATCTGCAGCAATGCGGGAACGCCCGACGTCATGCAACCACGGTGACTGGTAAGCAGGGACCAAAAATAGTTTTGTCACGGCCGTTTCTTTCAGAAGCTATTGCTTCAGATCACAAAGTAACTCCCACCGCGCAAAGACGTGGTTTCATTTTACAACATGACGGCATGGCTGGTAACTCAAGCTAGCAAGCTAGCGTCGGGGCGTCCGCACACGCTTGCATCTATCGTTACAAAATGTTTAAAAGGATGCGAGACGAGACCCACGAGAGCGCGAAATGAGAAACGGCGGGAAAAACCATGCGAGCCCGGATGGACGATTGATGCAGCATACTTTATGTCGAGCGGCCGCTTGCGCCACCTAGCTCACGGATGCTCAATTACAGTACTCAGTTTAGTTTCGGTTTTGAAAGGCGACCGAAATTGGACCTTTGGCGCAGGCTTGGCGCAGATTACCCATATTTCGGCGAAATGTAGCAGGGTGTAGCAGGGTTAGCCCCTTGGCGCAGTTGGGCGCAATTGGTGCAGCAATCACATCACTGCAAGCGTGTGTCAGCATCTGCTCACGCGCGGTAACGGAGCGACTGAAAGAACAAAACAAGCTTATATAAAAAGAAGAAGAGAAATAAAGAAATACGTCCAAAAATCTCTGTAATGCAAAATTAGAGCACAGCTCTCGAGGAGGAGGAGGGGAGGGTATGCCCCTCCTCCTCCTCCGTACCCTACCCTCCTCCTTCCCTGCTCACGGTCACGTGACGTGGTCACGTGACCATATTACGTCACGTGAATTTCCCTGCTAAAATTGGAGGGGAAATTTTCCCCCTAAATTTAGCTGGGAAATATTACTGCTAAATTTAGCGCGGAACTTTTCCCGATAAATTTAGCGGGTTAAGTTTCTCCGCAAAAGTTAGCGGGGAAAATTTTCCCGCTAAATTTAGTAGGAAAATTGACGTCACGTGACCTGAACAACAACTAAATTTCTTTGCTAAATTTAGCGGGGAAACCGTGACGTCCCATAATGTAACGCGCGCGTTTACGCTGACGCCGCTCAACTTGGAAACGGACGTCTAAGAGCTGCGCTCTAAAATGCAGCTCGCGCTATCCTCTCACATTAATAAGAATGATTTCCTTGTAGCTTTCTCGTTCTTGTTATCTTCCCCCCCCCCCCCTTCCCCCCCTTAAATTTTTATCCACCAATAAAATTCTGCCAGCTTAGCATCCGCGAGCAACGTGAGAAAGCCTATTGACGCGCAACCGAAACGCGACCAAGAAATATTAATTTCGCCCGCAAGAGGGCGCTGCCCAAACGCATGACTTAGTTTATGTAATACCAGTCAGAAGTGTGACGGGCACATAACTTGGGAAACTGGCAATCTGCATTCAACTATAGATTACGTACTCATGTCACACAAAATATATGGTAAGTTACAAGTAATGAAAATAGATGAAGAAGGTTCCAAAAGTCTTGGTAGTGATCACAAACGTATTAAGCTGAATTTTGCCAGAGAAGTAAATGCTGAAACTAGACAACATAATTCAAAGCAAACTTTCTGCAGCGACAAAGAGTTGGAAATAGTTGTTGAAAGAATAGAGGCAGCAGTTTCAAGGCAACGGTATACAGATTGGACCTATGAGAGCCTAACTAGGCTTTTTGCTCTAGAACTAGACAAAGTTAAGAGTAAACGAAAGGGGAAGCAAGGACATAGACCACAAAGTTGGTGGGACAAAGAAGTGAAGCAAGCGATACAAAAACGTCAGGAAGCCTCTAGAGAACACAGGTATTCCAAGCGTAGTGGGGAGTCCGAAACGGAAGTAAAAAGAAAATGGGACAATTTTATAACATGTCGCCGAGAGGCATCCAGTTTGATCAATGCGAAAATTCAGAGAAAGGGTGAGGAATGGATGAGTAATGTAAGTAAGAAAGATAGAAACGCTGCCAAGAAGTTTTGGGAGCACTTGAACTCACTCGGTGAAACAACGCAAGCTAGACAGAGGTTCATACTCTCGCATCAGGGACATCAATTAGAGGGAGATGATGCGATACAATATATAGGAGCAGTGATGGAGGAGAAATTTCGGGAACGGGTACATGTGGAAGATAGGAGAACCGAAGGAAGTAGCAGTCCAGTTTGTGACATCGCGGATTTTGGACAAAGAGAATGGGAAAAGGCGGAACGAAGAGTCCCTAGTGGCACGTCGACAGGCACAGATGGTATCCCTATCAAGCTGGTGAAGAATTTGGGTCCTAAATCTAAGGCAAAACTAAGGGAGGTAGTGAGTACCATGATAACAAAAGGAAATATTCCAGATGAATGGAGACTTAGTAGGATGAGTATGATATATAAGGGAAAGGGAGATAAGTCTGATATTAGGAATTATCGTCCTATAACCGTGACACCGGTTATTTACAGGTTGGTAATGCAGATTATAAAGAACAGACTGGAGGAATGGGTAGATTGCGAGGGCATACTGGGCGAGTTACAGAACGGGTTTCGAAAACAAAGAAGGTTGGAGGACAATTTATTTTCTCTAACACAGTGTATAGAAATAGCGCAAAAAGAAAACAGACAGCTCTGGCTGGCATTTGTGGATATCAAGGGTGCCTATGACAATGTGAACCAAAGAAACCTGTGGGACATAATGGAGAACTTAAACCTAGATGAAGGACTAACAGCACTATTAAGGAACATTTACAAAGATAACAAGGTGATTATAACATGGGAAGGAAAGGCGACAGGGAAAATAGAGATAAGACGAGGCCTTAGGCAGGGGTGCCCGTTATCGCCTTTGCTGTTTATGTTGTATCTGAGAGGATTGGAGGATAGACTAGAGAAGAGTGGGCTTGGATTCAACCTTTCTTACAGTAAGCTAGGCCAAAACATTCAGCAATCCTTACCGGGATTGATGTATGCGGATGATATTGTACTAATGGCTAACAACAGGACAGAGTTGCAGGAATTAATGAGCATCTGTGGTAGGAAAGGAGAGGAATTAGGTTTAGAATTCAGTAGCGAAAAATCGGCAGTCATGATTTTTAACGAGGATGAAGTTGAGAGGCTGAAGATACAGAATATTACAGTTGAGAGAGCTAGTAAATACAAGTATCTAGGAGTATGGATATGTGATGGTGCAGAATATCTCAGAGACCATGAAAAGTATATAATAGGTAAGGGCAACAGAAATGCAGCTGTAATGAAAAATAGAGCACTTTGGAATTACAACAGGTACGAGGTGGTGAGAGAGATTTGGAAAGGGGTCATGGTGCCTGGCTTGACTTTTGGAAACGCAGTGCTATGCATGAAATCCGAAGTGCATGCGAGACTAGAAATAAAACAGCGCGGAGTAGGTAGACTGGCTTTGGGGGCACATTGCAAAACGCCAAACCAGGGAGTACAAGGAGACATGGGATGGGCATCATTTGAGAGCAGGGAAGCGGTGAGCAAGGTAGAATTTGAGGATAGGTTGAGGCAAATGGACGGGGAGCAATGGGCACGAAAGGTTTTCAGCTATTTATACACGAGGAGTGTGGACACAAAGTGGAGACAGCGCACTAGGAAATTAAGAGGAAAGTTTTTGGGCTATAGCGAAGATACGGAAGAGCAAGTCTCAGTTAAGAAGAAAGTTAAAGCCACAGAAAGAGATCGGTGGCTAGAGGGAATGCAGACAAAGACGGCGCTGGAAAGCTATAGATTAAACAAAAGAGTTATTGCCAAAGAAAGCATTTATGACAATTCTAGGGGAAGCTCATTGCTGTTTGAGGCGAGGACGGGTGTTCTGCGAACCAGAACATACAGAGTGAAGTACCAGGAAATTGATACAGTGTGCACTGCTTGTGGAGAGGAGGACGAGACGGCTGAGCACTTGATACTCTACTGTAAAGGGCTTCACCCTATGCCTACCGAAGACAGCATAGATTTAATAAAGTCATTGGGTTTTAGAGACAGCGAAGGGAGAGTGGATTTCAAGACTGTAGAGATTACCAAGCAAAGATTAAGTGAATGGTGGCAGAAATCAAGAGAAAACTAGGTATTTTCTTATTCACTGATGGCTTCATAGCCTCACTTTATTTGCACTGCGGAGTGAATATAGATTTCACATTTAAATATTCTAAGCTTAAATGGTAAAACAAAATGGCTAGGTGGCGTAAGCTACCGCCCGATCCAAAGGGCTCAGCCGTATTCATCCATCCATCCATCCAGCTGCAGGCCCGTAGGTTTTCGGGTCAGTAAATCTAGGTGCAGTCGTTTATGCAACAAGATTATTACCGCGACCTCACACGAGAACGCCATTGGTTCTCGCTAGCGTCACGTGATCGCTTACACCGGCCAATGGGAATTTGGCGCCACACTTGAGGGAGTCCTGATGCGACGGTGACACTTGTTCTGTCGGTCGTAACACTTTTTGCGTATCGATTTCGCGCCTCGCTTTTGAGTATCACGTGTTTACCATGCTACCTTTAAAAGAAAAGCATTCCCCCCCAAAAGCGGCAGTGAGAATTATTAGCCTCGCAAATATCACCCTCACTTGTTCTTTTAATGTTCTTGAAACTTCCGTCCTCAAATGCGCATCATGCTTGTTTGTCAATGTGAAAAAGCTCGAAGTTTATAGGCATTACAAGATTTTGAGGGACGCCAGCCAGACCGCGGCGAGAAGAAGTCGTGATATCATTTTCTCGTGCTCATATTCAGCAGATAAAGGTAAGGCAACGAACACACTTGGCACTGAGGAAATAGCCAAAAGCCCGAGCTTTCTTTTTTATTTTTATTTCGCCATTGCTCAGTGATGCACATTAAAGGCCACACATTAGCAGTCGTGATCCACTGATCAAATCGTCCTTCTGCAGTTAGGAGTCAAGTTACGTTTTAGTATATCGCTCCGTTGTCCCCGATAACGATACCTGATACTACGCCGCCGCCTTTGCACATTCATCCTGTCGTTATCGGAGGTATCAAAGTAACGGGAACCCACTAAAACTCTCTCTTCTGACAGTCAGCTTACGTGATGGGACCCTTCGCGAAGTCGACTGGATCGAGGGCTACGTTGACGGTGTTGTTCACGATGCCGTTCACCCTTGGTTCCGTTCGCACCACGGGAGCTGCGAAGAAATTGTGGAACAATCGTGGCTGAACGATCCATTACTGGTACCTAATATTTTCAGCTGTAAAAGGCCATTTAATGTCCAGGCAAATTAACAACAAGTATGGTAGTAGCTTTAGAAAACTAACTTTTCATTTATAAAAAAGGAGAACACGCGATTATAGATGCGTTCAAAAATGAAGTATATACTCGCAAGTGCATGCACGAGTATAGATGCAAGTATACACTCGTGCATACATTGAAATACTCGAAAACCAATTTTATCACCCGCAAAAATGAGTTGAGCATGAATATATACGTTCGTCAACATAAGGAAAAGAAAACACAAAAAAGAAGGGCACAAGGAAAATTGAAAGGATCAACATTAGTCTCCTTTTTTGTCGTCCTTTTGTGCAGTAAGCACCGCTCCCCCGTAAGGAACTCGGACCTGGAGTAAATGTTTCTGGAAATTCGTTGCTAGAGAGTAGTTCATCGACTGCTAAAGGAGAGAAAAAAAATACAATATTATAGTTAACCATTCGTAGCACACAAATCTCCAACGAATAATTTAACCTTTTTTCCTACTAAGAGCTTTACTTGAAAATAATTCGCAGATGTGGAAGTATTTGAACAAAAACAGAGGGAGAGAGAGGGAGATGGGAGTTTGTTGGGACGTCAGCGCGCCGAGCTCTGATTGGAAGGTTAGTGGGTAAGCTGTCTTCGTCTCTACTCACAGTATGAACGCACCAAATGCCGAACGCAGGCCTCCGGCGTTCGAACGCGAGGCACTGCGCGAAGAGCAGACGACGGCCTTGTTCACCCCGATTGGTTGACACGGTGAGTAGAGGCAAAGGCAGACACCTTTCGAATCTACCCAGCACTCTGACGTCCACGTGCTCTATATTTTCCTCCTCTCCCTCAGTTTCTCACCGTATAGTACGCGTGAACGGGAGTTGGCAAGGGTATGCAGACGAACGTGCTCGCTCTGTCGAGGGCACGTCACAAGCTCGGAGGCGAGCCTCACCTGCGGCCCTAGTGGTGATGCTGTCGCAGACTGCATCACCAAAACCGGCGCTTGTGCTGGCTTGCACGCAGACCCTGTAGGTACTTCCCGGGTAGAGGTCGCGCAGGTAGTACTCTCTCATGGTGACGTCCTGGAGATCCACCGTCCTGGGGCGAGCGGCGGCGCTGACCGAACTACTGAACGAATGTGCTAGAGATACATTCACCTGGACAAAGGAGAACGAAAAGAACAAAAGAAAACGAGGATGCTTGACCCAATATAAGATGGCCATCGCACGAATCAAGGCGCTGCAGTCACCATCAATGTAAAAGACCCGCTTCCAACATGGTGGAAAAGAGAGATGCCTGGACGACAGCGCCTTGCCATGAAGCAATCATTGCGACGAAGGTTCGCTCGTATTTTTGGCGCACGCCGGGAGATGGCGCGACATGTGTAGGGCCCCGACACCTTGCGGTACACTGTTACGTCACAGTGCACTGGCGGGAACTTTGAATTGGGCCTCGTATTTCTATTTTTTTATAAACAAAAACTATGCAGCTCTATAGTGAAACAATATTTTTGTAATGTCCTGACATGCCATTTCAGCGCCTAACATGAAAAAAAAAATGTTTTTTGGCGTCTCAGAGGTTTTTTAATGGGCATCGGGGGACCTGTAAGAACAACTCAATCAACCGTCCTCATTCGCGAACACGCTTACAAGGCCGCGAGGCGCGTAACTGCCTTTGCGCGATGGCCCTTTAACCAACAGTGCCCAGGCCAGGAGTTGAGCGAAGCACGAGGAAACGCTTGCCGCCTTGGCTGGCCTTCTTCAGGACCTTTTCCTTTCTTTTACCGTGACCCCGACGGAAGGGAAGGCGCTTCGTCAGTGCTCGCCGATTCAGTTCGGCTGCGTTGTCGAGAGTCGCTTGCCTTGGGCCGATATGGAACAATCAACAAAACGCGCACCCCTCCCCTTCAGCCACCGCCTCGGCAGGGTGCTCCGAGTTAAAGTCCCTCAACACTTCTTTTATGAGTACCGACAACCAATGCAAACGACGAAGCACATTCAGCTGGAACAAAATGGCGGCATTCAGTTTAAACCTCTGATGTGCGCCGCCATTCCTAAAACCTGCACCGTCACACAGTCGGCGCTTGTAGGAAGCTCCTATCTAGGGACTTTACTTCGAGTGGGTCTTTAGTATGGGTGGAGACTGTACTTCCTTTTGTACGCATAAAACATGAGCACATCTTACCTGTAGTAAAATAGGCATACACTAAGGATGCCACAACCTTCATTTTTCTTTCATCAACACAAATCAAATAGCACATACATCACTGACACTATGTCAAGTTGATGGCGTTAGCTGTGTGTGGTACAGCGCATGGGCAGATGCTCTTGTCGTCAGAAAACCGTATTCCTGTCTATCTTGGGGAGTACCCGCAACACTTGTGGGTGTATAATTGTTGTTGTGCGAGTAATCGTCTTGACACTCGTCGGTCTTACAATTACTAAAGACGACTGTACACGTAGACGTGGCAAAAAAAAAAGTTGAAGGGTCACAAAAAAAAAAAACTGAAATCAGAAATCCGTTTTTAATTTTTGAACATGATTCTGCTCCGTCGTTTCGCCTGGAGAATAAAGTAATTATACATTATGAATCCAAACATTAGAAACCCACGTTTCATTTTAGCGTCTCAAAAGGGAAGCTGAAGAGGTCCTTGAATTTGAACAAGCAGTAAACGTTGCCATGTAGGCACCATAAAAGATATGTCTTAAATTCACTTTCAATCTTATTAGGAGCGTCATAATAGTCGATTGAAATTTCGACGTAGACCCGCCTGTTGCGGCGCGCCGACGGCAGGAAAGCGGGAGAGCGGAGAGGAAAAACTAGTGAAAGTGACGTCATTAACGGGTTCAGATGACTTTCGCTCTCCACTAAGCTGGCTCGGGGATGCCGACCATGGCATCACGACGCTCCGGACAAATAACAGGCAGCAGAGAGGATCGCCACATGTTCGGCGGCAATCGCTGCGGTGTTTTTCAAAATCAATGCGGTTTACGTTTACTTCTTCCCAAGATAAGTGCGAGAACTGAATTCACGGGACAAGAACCTATAGAAGTCCGCTCCTAAACTCAGATTTCTCGGAAAGCGCTCCAGCTTCCTTTGAAAGCCACGATCAAACACTGCGAATACATCATACAAACGAAAGTCTGTAGACATCGCCTGAAGCGTGTGTCTTCCTTGTATTGCGGCCCCGTCACATCGGTCCCACGAAAACGGTCCGCGCACTTGTTCCGAGCATCCATATTGTGGGATTTCCCTTGCTGCTACCCGTCTCGGAGAATGACACAGCACACCGGTTCAACAACACGTAAACATTTAATGACCGCTATCGCCTGCGCCGCGATCCCAACAGCCCCCGCGCATCCACTGCGACGGCCTTTTATCAGCGGCGGAGCGCCGCTCGCGTGGCCAGTTGCCCTTGGCCCCCGCGTGGTCAAGATGACCACTTATGATTGTCGGAGGGGCAGCCTGGGCCAACCGCTTGGAATCGCCAGGTTGCCCACAATATGTATAAAACAAACGTGCTTAGAGCATGCTTGAAGCGCGTCCGCAGGTAATCGTGTCATTGTGCATACCGTGAAGACGGGAGGCGTGGCCGAGGATTCGGTGACCGATGAGTCAAATTGTTCAAACGAGGGGTGGAGACAACACGCCAATGAGCACGTCACAGTTCACGGCAGACCAAATCACAAAAACTTACCCTGTAGGACTTTAAGTATCCGTTCTTCCGCAGAGGCTCGTCCCACTGAATCCTGAGACTGTCTTCCGCCCTGTCCGTTCCGTGGACGCTGGCGGGTGCATCCGGCACTACACGGATAGCGTGAAAAGCCAATCAATGCTTGAAGAGAATATCGCAATGACGGCTCCTGGTTCGAAAGAGAGCGCCATAGACGTTTGCAAGCTGCAGCCGCGCTCCAAGAGCTAGTCTGGCCACCGTGCATAAAAAAAACAAAAAAAAAACGCTTTGCTTGGGCGTCAGTCTGGAAACCGTGGGTTCGCCTCAATAATGCCTGCCTGCGTGCCTGTAAGGTGATCTTCCCAAACCAACAGAAAGATGGCGGCACCCAGAGGCAGTACTTGCAAACGGCTATATGGCGCGCAAGTTTGTCCGCTCCCCGCGCACCTCATGCGTTCGTTTACCCCCCTCCCCCTCCCTCCCTCCCCTCCCCACCCCCCGAAGGCGCCCACGTTCTTTTGTTTGCCCCCAACATCAACCAATGACGGCGCGCACTGGCTGCTTCGTCATCGAGCGTTCCCTGGGCGTTCTCTGTGTTGCTCTTTGATTGGCCTGCTCCTCCTTGCGTTCCGAAAGGCCGAAGATGCGTTTTGGAACAGTTGCTCGCCGTATGGTCACTCTAAACAAAGGCAGGGCATGTCGAATCCCCTGCACCTCATTATGGCTTCGCAGCCAATCAGATCGCAGCATCAGCCAAAAAGGACACCGAATAACCAATCATAAAGCAAGAAGGAGGAACATGATAAGCCCCGTCCTGCTTTTCTCATGCCATCGGTACTATTGGTGTTATTATTCTCATTGTCATCACAATTATCACCACTTGCTTATTTTTTGTGCTCACGATCATGAACAGCTATAGACGATGAAAGGCTGCTCTGCCTTTACCACGCGCTCGTCGCCTTCCACCGAGTTTTGGTTACGCGCACGACGGAACTTAATGAAAGAACAAAAGCTCACGCTGAAGACGGATTGTCCGGTGAATTCTTAACCCGTCACCGACCTAGCGCCTGTTATGTTAATTTCAACATTTTGCGGCACGCGTGATACGCTGATGACATATTGCCTCTTGGAAATGGAAAAAGCCGTACGTGGCTCATCCCACTTTCGTTTTTCGAGCCGATAAAGGTGTAAAGGGAAAGTATACTCTCGCAAAAATCGAGGAAAGGACGGAGTCTTACCCCTCTCCCTGGTCTCCTCCTCCAGCTCGACCGAGTAAGGGCCATGTGTTGTGCCCTTGTTGAATGCCCTCACCTAAATGGACATAAAGCTTTTACGACAAGCATTCAGCAGGGTAAAATACATCTAAAAGTATTTGAGGTAACGTACAAAGTAAATGAGACAATATGTACTTCAAGTAAAGTAGTAAGTACACTGAGCACAATGTATACTTCAAGTGAAGCACTATAAATACAACATACTTTCAAATAAAAGTATAAGTACTTTTTAACACAATATTTCATGACGCCCTTTCATTCCCCTATACAGTTTTTGTCTTGTTTTTTTTAACTGATACGCATTTCCCCAGGGGTAATCGGTGGTGCACTAGCTATTTTTAGAAATGGCAGAGAAGATTGGATTGTCAAGTGGCCACAGAGTAGTTGTTTTACCCTCGCTGAAGAACTATACGCAGGAAACTTATAAGGCATTTATTTGTATAGGTCTTGTAGCCGCCTTTACTTCACTCAAATAAATGACCAGATGACTCCTCGAAAGGCGATAGCGCAATTTCACAAATATTTATTGTTTTGTTTCTGTTTTCAAATTTGGGGAACGTACTTTGAAGTTAGGAGTTGCACTTTCCTCGGAAAGTAGCGGACTAAAAAAAATACTTTAAGCAAATTACATGTACTTACTCAGACAATGTACTTCAAGTAAGAAATATGTTTTCTAAATCTGCTTGAAGTAATACTTTAAGTACAATGTACTTCAAGGGGTACTCCAGCAATTTTTTTAGTTGCCCCAACTAACTATAATTTCCGAATCCCCGGCCTTCACCCTTTCCGGTATGTTGTTTATTATCGCGAAATTCAGAACAAATGATGTGATATCGGCAAATGAAAATAACGCAAAAACAAACATTCAAAGATACCTGCCCTTTTCAGAGCAGTGACGCCAGTAAGAGGCCGGCTTGCCAGTCAAGCAGGCAGTTCATAAATATATAATGCCAAGCATTTGTTTCGTGCTGGTGCGCAGGTACTGGAGCGAGCTTCCAAAGCATTCACCTACCACCATGAAACTGCTTGGAATTAGTCGGGAACAAATTCTACAGTCCAAAGAGTGAACCCTTGCCTGCCGCTGGGGTCACTTCTTTATTGTTGTAAGTAGAGGCTTTCAGTTTCAAAAACACGGTCAGGGACAAAATTTTAATTTCAATAACTTGATTAAAAAAAAAGATTTTTTTACCTATTATTACGGATACTATTTCAGCGATGCTTGTTGGCGTGCTTAGCAAATTTTCTAAGAAATCAGCAAGGAGCATGATGAAAACGCCGGAGTACCCCTTTAAAGTACTTCCCAATAATTGCATTCAATATACGGAAACCAGAGGTGTAGATCTAAGGACGAAGTAGATAGCGTGATGAACGGATTGCTCTTTTCTTATCTTAATTTATATTGGAGCCCAAGGGGTATCTTTTCTCGGCAGATGATAATGTGACTTTGCAATACTAAGATATATTCAAAACTTTGATGATCTTTAAAGCTGTTCTTTTTCCAATAACCCACAACACAGTAGGGTATAAATCGACATCATCTACCCTTGAAATGTATCCTGTTCTTAACCACCCCCGTGTTTAATGATGGAACAGAACGCATGCCTACTTTGACAAACTTGATTTGAAAGGTCGTAGCAGCACACACGTAATTTACCATTAGTCAAACCAGACACAAATATAAGCTGTGTTTTGAGACACCATGTGTGGCCCTTCATTTTTTTTTTCTTCTTCTGGTCTCAGCTTCGTTATGGGGCGAAATTCGTCGCTTGTTCTCAGCCAATTCTCTTTGTAGAGTCCAGCCTTTACTGAGCCAACGCCAATTCAAACGACCCTACCAAATTTCGTTCCGTCTTGATACCAATATGTAACGCTAAACAGATTCCTCCTCTTGTGTCGGTCATGCGCAGAACGTTCCTTGGATCGGAACCGCGCCTCCCCGGCTCCGTCGCCCCATTCCGGAAAGATAATTTGCTCGAAACTACCGCTATAGATATTCTATATTCTTCCGTGCCGTAATTTATATTAGTTTTTGCCGTCTAGACATGCACCGTGCAATTTAAATTTCTTTCCCACCTCTTAGTAATTCAGAAGGACCTCAGGGTATCGACACGTACAAATAAACAAAAATGATTAGGCCTATTCATCCAGACAAGCACTCACCTGGATAAAAGTCAATGCTCCCGACACAAGTGTCGAGATGACGTCACCTGACACGGTGACATCGAGTGACCTGGTCACGAGGTCACGTGATACAATTTGGCTTCACGCTTTCAAAAATCAAAAGTTAATGTGACGCCGTATATCTTATATGACTCTCGATCCAAGAATAAATAAATAACCGAAGAGACACCCCCTCGTGGGAGCCTCGCCGTTCGAGTGAAACGCAGCAAACTGGGCAGACCGTCTCCGCTCACCGAGAAATGGTAAAGTCTGACGGGCAGCAGGTTGGGCACCGTGAAGCAGTGCCTGTTCGAGTTCCCGCGGGAGCAGCGGAACGTGTCGATGTCGAGCAGGGAAGGCTCGAGGCGGGTGTCGCTCGTCCAGAACTTGACCTGGTAGCGGTCCAGGACACCGTAGGGCGGGTACGGAGGCTGCCAGGACAGAGACACGTTCGTCTGGGACAGCTGGTACGCCGTCAGGTTGCTCGGAGCCGGGGGAGCTGAGGGAGGAAAAACGACGGATCACGTTTCCAACCACTGGCGCCTGCAGCACTCTGCCCGAGGTCGCGCCGCTAATATACATCGTACAAAACCCCGCGTCTTCTTGTGCGAAGCGTGAGTAGTTTGGCTGTGGCTCGGAACTTCCTAGTCATTTAGAGGGAAAAAAGGGGGTCTCACCGGTCGGCAGCGTGGTGAAGTTGAGCTCGGCGGCGACCCTGGAGCGACCCGCGGCGTTCTCCGCGTACACCCTGGCCCTGTAGCGCGTGTAGGGCAGCAGGTCGCTGAAGCCGAGTATCATGTCCGTCGTCGTCAGGTTCCGCAGCTCGCTCTCCCACGGGTCGGCGCTGTCCAGTTCCAGGTAGTAGCGGCTCACGACGCCGTTGGCGAGGTCGCAGGGCACCTTCCCCCAGTAGACCACATTCTCCAGTCCGGTCACCGTTGCGTGTTGGAGGCTTGTCGGGGCGCCCTCGGGAACTGCGGCAACGAGGGTGCGCTATTCGCGTATGCAGCGGCCGATATACACGGACTTTTGCTCATCATGGAAGCCATGGACAGTCAATGGGGAAAACAGATAATAGCATAGACAACCAATCGGCAAAAAATAAATAAATAAATAAATGAAACAGGGCTGCAATGTAACTGTTTGAGAGCAGTGTTTGAATAATGTTGTAACTGGTTACAACTTTAGCAACGAAATACTTTCACATTAGAATGAGTTTTTCGTGACTGAAGAGGTTTCTGACGTTATTGTTAATCTTTGTTCCTAGCGCATGATAGAAACTAGCACCCATTGATTTCTCATCGAGGACGCATATCCTGAATGGGACGAATACACGATTATTATGTATGTTTACCCGGTATTACCTCCAATTAGAATCTCCATTGTTGGCATATCATAAATGATATGCTATATACTCACTCACGAGGTTCAAACATTCTCGAGGCCAGATGCAAATAGCATGATCAGAAAAATCGGCCAAGAAATAACATTGTCTCTTTGGGAAAACCTTCAATACCACTACAGATATCTTTACAATATTGATCCTAAGCTACAGTTCCGGGCTCCACGAGGCTTACCAAGACCAACGGAGACTGTGCTACACCGCTTGCGGCTTAAAGTTGCGTACACCAACAGCTACCTTAACAAAATCGGAAAAGCTCAGTCTCCTGAATGTGCATCGTGCGGCGGCGTCCATAAAAAAGTTAATGAAGAAACACCTCAGCATCAAAGAGGAAGAACAAATAGACATCGACATCGTGTTTGGTCCCTCATGGATGACATCTTCTGACGGTTATAAGGCCACAGAAGCTCTCCTGAAGTGTCTGAAGAATACTCGCTTACAGCATAGGCTATAGGGTTCTAAAGTAAACTGAAGTGGTAAATGACGCTTGGCCATTGAAACACTCACATCTACATTTATTTTAAAATTTTCCCTTGTATCATTTTCTATATTCTCTTATACTTCCTTTATATAATATTTTTCTTACCTTTCTCTACTCCCTTTTATTTTTTGTTATTCCATTCATTACACACTGCAGCAAACCAGCTTCAGGCGCTGGATGACAGCACTGTTTTAATAAACGCCTACTTCTCTTTCTCTCTCTCAAATGTCAGGGCGTCTCTTTCGAACACCCATGCCTCCAGAACGCGCTCGTTGCGTTCGGCCACGTGAGCCAAGCGCTGCGCCGGAAACACAAACAAACGCTTCCTGCTGTTGTAGTCCTCACCGATTTGATTCGGAACTTAGCTGCTAGGGGGCGGCAAAGTTCTTCTTTCCAATAGGCTCGTTGCTCTCGGCCAGGGGGCGCGAGCGCGTCCTTAAGCCGCGATCACGTAATGCTTGTATTAAGGACACAGTGGCGCTGCAGTGTTTCATTACGCGCAAGTCGGGGTCGTTTTCCAGTGTGTGTCAGCCTGTGTCTACGCGCGGTAACAAAGAATATAAAAGAACTATACAATGTGTAAATAAACAACAAAAAAATGCAGCCCGTGCTTTCAGCGTCTCATCAAAAGGATTTTCCTTGCCTGCTATTAATGCAAACGCATTAACTGTCTCATGGAGCGAGCCGACGTCATCAGCATTGAAACCACGCCAAACGGCTCTTACACCCTTCTCCAAGTCAGCCAGCTCCCATTGGCCGGTTAGCCACGACACATTTTACACCACTTCGATCCCATTCGCTAGCGCGCGTCGTCCAGGCTACGATGAATGGATGGATGGATGAATACGGCTGAGCCCTTTGGATCGGGCGGTAGCTTACGCCACCTAGCCATTTTGTTTTACCATTTAAGCTTAGAATATTTAAATGTGAAATCTATATCCACTCCGCAGTGCAAAGAAAGTGAGGCTATGAAACCCCCTTGCCATCAGTGGATAAGAAAATACCTAGTTTTCTCTCGATTTCTGCCACCATTCACTTAATCTTTGCTTGGTAATCTCTACAGTCTTGAAATCCACTCTCCCTTCGCTGTCTCTAAAACCCAATGACTTTATTAAATCTATGTTGTCTTCGGTAGGCATAGGGTGAAGCCCTTTACAGTAGAGTATCAAGTGCTCAGCCGTCTCGTCCTCCTCTCCACAAGCAGTGCACACTGTATCAATTTCCTGGTACTTCACTCTGTATGTTCTGGTTCGCAGAACACCCGTTCTTGCCTCAAACAGCAATGAGCTTCCCCTAGAATTTTCATAAATGCTTTCTTTGGCAATAACTCTTTTGTTTAATCTATAGCTTTCCAGAGCCGTCTTTGTCTGCATTCCCTCTAGCCACCAATCTCTTTCTGTGGCCTTAACTTTCTTCTTAACTGAGACTTGCTCTTCCGTATCTTCGCTATAGCCCAAAAACTTTCCTCTTAATTTCCTAGTGCGCTGTCTCCACTTTGTGTCTACACTCCTCATGTATAAATAGCTGAAAACCTTTCGTGCCCATTGCTCCCCGTCCATTTGCCTCAACCTATCCTCAAATTCTACCTTGCTCACCGCTTCCCTGCTCTCAAATGATGCCCATCCCATGTCTCCTTGTACTCCCTGGTTTGGCGTTTTGCAATGTGCCCCCAAAGCCAGTCTACCTACTCCGCGCTGTTTTATTTCTAGTCTCGCATGCACTTCGGATTTCATGCATAGCACTGCGTTTCCAAAAGTCAAGCTAGGCACCATGACCCCTTTCCAAATCTCTCTCACCACCTCATACCTGTTGTAATTCCAAAGTGCTCTATTTTTCATTACAGCTGCATTTCTGTTGCCCTTACCTATTATATACTTTTCATGGTCTCTGAGATATTCTGCACCATCACATATCCATACTCCTAGATACTTGTATTTACTAGCTCTCTCAACTGTAATATTCTGTATCTTCAGCCTCTCAACTTCACCCTCGTTAAAAATCATGACTGCCGATTTTTCGCTACTGAATTCTAAACCTAATTCCTCTCCTTCCCTACCACAGATGCTCATTAATTCCTGCAACTCTGTCCTGTTGTTAGCCATTAGTACAATATCATCCGCATACATCAATCCCGGTAAGGATTGCTGAATTTTTTGGCCTAGCTTACTGTAAGAAAGGTTGAACCCAAGCCCACTCTTCTCTAGTCTATCCTCCAATCCTCTCAGATACAACATAAACAGCAAAGGCGATAACGGGCACCCCTGCCTAAGGCCTCGTCTTATCTCTATTTTCCCTGTCGCCTTTCCTTCCCATGTTATAATCACCTTGTTATCTTTGTAAATGTTCCTTAATAGTGCTGTTAGTCCTTCATTCACTGGAGTCTCAGCGCCATGGGGTGGCCGGTTGTTGAAACTGACGGTGGGCGTCAGTTTCAACGACCGGCCACCTCATGGCGCTGCGCGTCCGTCAGTGCTAGAGTAACTGTATAGGCTCTGCTTGCCGAGCCAGAGTATCGCGTTCCTTTTCCTTTCGCCGCCATCTCCGTATTGGCGGAGGAGTGGTCACGTGCGCAGAACTGGATCCGACCTTCGTGAGGGAAAGCGGCCTTCCAGAGCGCCGAGTTTCGGGGGAACATATTTTCCGCTTTGAGTTCGCAAGATATAGATCCCAGACTAAACTCGACCGAACCGAAAGCTCAATGAGTCATTGAACATTATGTGCGTCAACTGGGTACAATACAATCCTGTTTTTTTTATAACGCGAGCGATGTTTTAGGACATCCGTTTCCAAGGTATGGGAAGCAGACGGCACGGCCGACGATCGCGTAGCTCGCGTCTGCGGCTCTCGCGGAGTGATACGCGATCGGCACATCCGGCCATCTCGGCGAGTCGGCGAGCTCTCGTCCGAAAGCGAGGGGACGGCGTTCTCGTCAGCCGCACTATTTTCCTTACGTAGCGCGCCGCAGCACGCCACAGCACGCCGCCTCGCATCTGCGCGTTCGTGTCCCCTGCAAAAACCGACCTTGGCTTCCCGCAGTGCTTGGCTCCAGAATGGCACCATTGCGGTACTCTGCTCCGCAAGCGGAGCATATACAGTTACTCTAGTCAGTGCTAGAGTTCCTGTGCAGGCTCCCTACGGGAACTAGAGTCGCGCGTTCATCCCCGTGGCGCCGTCTTTCTTGCACGACATGTTGATCCCACTCCTCACGTGACTGAATAAGGCGAATAGCGGCGCCGCGCGTTCGAGCCGAAAGGCGCAAGGAGGATAGAAGGGTAGGAGAGGGCATGACGTCGGCCGCGTAGCCTCCACAAGCCATGCTCCCTTGACGCCTCGCCTCTTTCTCATTTTCCTCCTTTCACTCCTCACTTACCATGCCAACGTGACCACAACACGTGACCGTAGCTAGCCATCGTCTTGCTATGGGGTACTAGAACACACCACAGTCTAGCCTTCGATCTGATAAAACCTACCGGACGGAGCGCGCGCAAGCCTGCATGGAGTCCTTTACAAACAACCATCCATCTCGCACGTGACATGTCACGCACACCAATCGCCAGAGAAATCTGCGGTCACGCTGGGCACAAAATCGTTTAAACTTTTTATGACTAGGCTTCACCAATATTGCAACGTGCCCCCACCTAGTACTTATAACCTCCTCGCGCATGGCACGCTCAAAAGCAGGGGAATGTACGCCGGGGCGCGCGCAGCGTGTACTCTCCTGCGCGGCGCTTGATACGGCTCCTCATATGATCGGAACTCGGCGAATAGCGGCGCGGCGGCACGTGAAAAACAGACGCGCAACTCTGGCTCGCGTAGGGAACTCTCGTCAGTGCCAGGTCAGCGCCAGTCAGCGCGCCAACACGCGTAGAGCAAAAATGATGTACATGCTTTCGCATTCACAACTCATAAGAAGTGCTAAAGTGTACCTCGAACCTTTTTTTTTTTTTTTTGTTCTCGCTATTTTTGGGAAATTTGTATCCACCGATGAAATTTTGTCATCTTGGTGCCCGCGAGCAATGTGCGAGAGTGCTATGACGCACAAGAGAAACACGCTCGAGAAGTGTTCGATTTCGCTCGCCAGGGTGCGCCGCCCAAACTCGAGAGCTACAGTCTTTGAAATTCCAAAAAGCGCCGTCGTGGTGGCAGCGGGGCAGCGGGGCGGGGGGGGGGGCACGCTCACTTACCGGCTTGCTCCGTGGTGAAAGTCGCCGTCACGTTCGGTCCAGGTTTGACGGTGATCGCGTAAATAAAGATCCGATGCAGGGTGTACGGGTGAAGCTTTTCGAGGCTGACGCGCTGCGACGACGCGGGCACGATCAGCCTGGTTTCGGTTTGTTCGATGGGACTGCAGGGGAGGGACAGGCGTAGCGGTTTGTAGATGACCACGTAGTAACGGATGCGACTGTTGGCGTTGGCCGGTGGTAGCCACGCGAAGCTCGCCTGCCGCGCGAAGCTCTTCGTCATTTGAAGTTGCCGGACTTCACTGGGGGCTGCCCGGAGAAGAAAACAACAACAAGAACCAACATATAGTCATCGACAATTTAACAAATGCAGGGTCCCGAGTATTTTGTTATCGCACTGTTGTCGATGAGATTGTAGCGTCATCCGATGAAAGGACCGAAGTACGAATCAACGAGCAAGGTGAATTATTATATAACATTAAGCCTCAGGGTTTCTTAAACTGGCAGTTAATATAAGAAATACAGCCTTTACACGAATATCGCTCGATAATTATAATCTGCTTGCCTAGAAACGAGCAATGTTCCAAGCAATGTTCCAGCATTGGAGACCCTACTTTGCGATAAAGTGAGAGGGAAGGAAATGTGTTAAGATATCTATTTCACGTCACTCCTAGTCGCTATGACTAGAATTCACTCGTCGACTCGGGTCGACCGCGCCGCCTACGTCACCGTCAGGACTTTCGGAACGAACGACTCCGCGTCCAGCTTCGCCAATAGGCGCTGGCGGTTTGACGTCAGGTTGGGTAGACTTCCAATTCTATGGTAAAGCCTTAGAAAAAAAAATACATAGTAAAAAGGTAGAAACTTGCAGTAGCAGTTAGTATTCCATTATGGCCGTGACACCACTTCTTCACTAGCCTGTTTACGGTCTCATAAGCGATATGGTACTTGGTCTCGTATAATAAGTTCTAATCCGAAAGCAATTCCGAGTAGCAGACCGGTTTGAGCCAACTCAAAAGCCTGAGGCCTAACAACCGGATTCGGGGCGCTCGTTTGCAACCCAACGCATGTGTCTGTGCCTTTAAAGCCAGAGTCGCACCGCTCAAACCGTCGTACGAGAGACGCTGTGTTCGCTGCAGCATGATGGCAGAAGAAGCTGTGGACAGGCCTTAGACATACGTATAGCATGTCTACAGACAGTGTTTTGCGTGGCCACTGTGAAAGGACCGCCATTCAAGGGAGGACGACGCCTCAGTCATTGGCTGCATTCGGTCTTTTGTATGAGGTGTGAGAGAGTTTTAGGAAACCGTTATTGCACTTCCTATACGGTATACGATGGTCCCTCCGGTATTTACTGCGCATGCGCTACCGAGGAAGGCTCGCACATGCGCAGTTCGTTCCGGAAGGCCCCCATCGCATACCGTATGGGATGGGCAGAAGCGGTTCCCTAAAACTCTCCATTATCAATGGGGAATTGTAGTAGACCGTTTCCGCAGCCCGCTAAGCACCCGGATAGCGCTCCGTAATCCGCCACAAGACCTTGAACTATGCAGAGAAGGCTGGCGGCGCGCATGCGCAGCTGCGTCGTTTTCTTCACGGATACCGTAGCGGAGGAGAAAAACGGTCTACTACAATTCCCTAATGTCATGGCGGCTTTCGACGTCAAACCGAACACTGCATACATCGAAGGTTGCTGGAACAACTCAGTTGGGAAACTGCCACAGAAGCGCCAGGTTGGAAAGCTGGGCTAGTTGGCAATGCTTCATGATAAAATAAAAAGCGCAAATAAAAATAAACAGTGGATAAATAAAGAGAAAGCGCTCGTATATCGTCATTGTCCTCTTTCTTGCCCTGTTTTTTTTTTATATATATTTTATTACAATGCCACAGGAACCTGCTTTGAATAACTGGCTTCAACCCATACTTCAGCACTGAGCTCAACGAGATTTTATACTGCAGCCGTTTCTGCCGCTGCGGCCAATACGGGAAATAAACACACCCAAACTACCGGAACGGAAAAAAAAAGTACAGTAGCGCTACGGTGCGGCTTCCTCGCGAACTATGCTATTGCAAAACGCGCACTAAAACTGTGAAAAAAAAAAAAAAAAGAAATCTTACCCGCGTTTTTGAAGTGAATCTTTGCTGAAGGCCCCCCCCCCCCCTCCCTTCTTGTCTCAGAACAGGTTATGTGCCGACAGCTAGCCAACAGACTACGAACGAACTAACAGAACGGACTGAGGGCAAAGGTGCAGCGCTGTCATCGAATCTGGCTCGCAGTGACTCGGTTCCTCTGAACGCGAAAGATCCACCACTCCAGGGCCGAGTTTCCCAATCGAGTTTTTCTAGTAACGTTCAATATACGAAGAGCAACTGAAGGAGAGGAAGACACTAGGGCATCTACGGTACTGCCAGAGCGCCCAGCCTCTGATTGAACGGATAAGAGGGGGTAGACGTAAAGGCAAAGCTGCCTTTGTCCCTACCCGCTGTCTCCCTCCAATCAAAGCGAACAACCGCGCGTTCTTGTCGCCTCCCCGTCTTCAGTTTCTCTTCACCTCCCCGAAGGACAGCGTAGCCTCGCTCTCAGAAAAGACGTACCATCCTCGGCGGACGTGACCGTCCGCGGCCCCGTCCACTGGCTCGAAGCACCGTCCGGAGTGTCCAGGCGTAGACGCACGGTGACTCGCGTGAAGGGACGCGTGTGCACGACGAATCGGTCGGTGGGGTTCACCCCGGACTCGGTCAGGTTGAAGGACACCAGGGTCCCGTTCACTTCCAGGGTGACGTTGGCGCTCCAGCAGAGCCACGTCTCCCGGCCAGGGTTCTGGGAGCGCGTGATGACGGGCACAGCGAGTTTGAAAACGATGTTCTACCGTATATTGCATACACCTTATGAACTTTACAATGTAGAGAAGTGTGAAACTACACACACAACTGGTAGGGTAGATGGTTTAATAAGAGACGGTCATTGGGACAAAATTTTAGGGTTAGGGGTATAAGCGGGGTAGGTGGAGCAAGCTACCACCCAATACAAAGAGTACAGCAATCAGCACCCACCCATCCGTTTATCCAAGGTGTCTTTTGGGCAGCCCCTTTCTTATATTCCTACTTTCACGCCCTATTTTTGAAAATGATTGAGAATGAACAAGTTTATGGCCTATGTAAAGCTAAAAAATCAAAAACAAAAAAACGTCACTTTGAGGATGCTGGTTACACTCTAGTAAACGCCCGGGAATCTACATCTTTTTTTTTTTTTTTTGCAGAGAACATGCAGATCTTATCAGGGCAATGCATAAAAAAGGGTTGGCATATTAAAAAAAATACAAAAACGAGAAAGTGTTTCTATAAACACACTGAAATGCGACACTAAGCACGATGTATCAGATACGCTTTAAGCGCCCAGTGTCCAAAGAAAGACCTTGTTTTTTGGTCGCATCGTTCTTGCAACTTTGTCCCGTACGCCAAGCTTCCTCTGCAGACAGATCGTAATGCTGACTGTTCAGAAACGAAAATGCAGAAGCTTAGCTCGGCTATGTGAGGATATACGTAGCGTGAGCTTATGCGCACAAAATGAGAGGCGCTATCACGCCGCTCTGGTGCAGCGTCAGACTTGGCTACTGCGCAACGGAGGCACACAGCTAGGCACGCGGCGGCACCAGCGCGTCTGCCGCGGCTATGACGTCACTCATCTGGAATGAGCAGACCGGCGAGGCGGGCGAGGCGAGCGCGGCGGCGGCGGAGCGCGCGGCGGCGGCTTCGCGTGGCTCTCATAATGAGCCGTGCTCATTATGATTACGAAATGAGCGCGGCGCCGTGCGCCGTGCTCATTACCCGGAGCTCCGCCGCCGCTACCACGCGCTCCGCATAATGAGCACGCCTTGAATAATAAGCGCGGCTCATTATGAGAGCCGCGCGAAACTGCTCAACCTCGGCCAGTGTAGCTCACGCTACAAAAGTAAACACATGTCATCCTTCAAAATGACTTCCTCTGCCCCGTCAGCTTCTTAGAAACGGTTGTTGCCTGCTGTTTACAGCGACAAGGCCGCCATCTCACGGATTTCGAACGAACCATTGTAAAGGTTGTTTGCGGGCGCGTTCTTCGGACGGGGCAACTTTTCCAGCAATTTTGAGGTTGCTGGCGGGTTGTTCCCTAGCTTTCCCTAGATCGACGCGAATTGCTGAGATCGGGTCCGGCTCGAACAGGCGAGCAACTCGGAGCAATTCGAAGACGGTTGAAGCGGCTGCAGCCAATCAGAGAGGCTATATTTTCACGTGACACCCCTGTGGTGGTGATGATGACAGCTGAAGACTTAGTTCTGGTTTGGAATGGATCGTTTTTGGAAATAAACAGTTTCAGAAAAATTAGTTAGTATTCTCAACACCGTTCAAAGATATAAGAACGCGTTTTTAGCGCGTAGCTGGGCGTCTAAATAGTGAAAAAAGAATCAAATTTAATGATGATAATGGCAAGTCGGAGCAATTCGGTTGCTGCGTGTGAACGCGGGCGGCCGGTGTTGCTGGTGTTGCGACGTCAAGTTGCTGGGCGAAATTGCTCTGTCTGAAGCGGGCCTTAAGAAACATACGTGTAGTCTACATTTATTTAATAGGGTGCTATAGTGAGCCTCTAAAACAAAATCATCGAGGCAATAACAAAATATTTCACGTATACACGTCAAACTATCCGTCGCTGCAGCTCGTACTTTTTTTCTTCAAAAATGCTACCCGGAGGGCTTGGAGAGTTAAAGATACGAATGCCACTTCTGGTCACGGGGAGCCCATTGTGTGGCATGCACTCGAAACATTAGAATAAAACGGAGGAGCTCACTTGATCACTCAACTTCATACTTAAATGTATTTAATGTTAGCGACAAAGTTGCGCCGGGGCTAAAATACTCACCTGCCACGTTATTATCACGCTGTGAGTGCTGGAGTTGTCGACCTTGACGTTCTTTGGCGGAGACGTGGGTTCTGGAATCGAAGCAGGTCAGTTAGAAGGAATCTGGGTGCGCACGCAAGAATCCACTTTCGCTTTTTTTACATAAAACTTAAACTAAAAAAAAATGACGATGCAAAAAGAGACACGGTACGCGTTACGAAAAACCACATGGGTAAAGAGCGCAAGGACAGAAGGTGGAGGACGCGTCCTTGTAGTTGTTGTTCAATAGGTCTAGTCATAGTTACGTCCTCAGTTCACGCGAGCCCTTTACGTCTGTCGAAGCACACCCCACATGTTGCAGATCTTGTCAATATGGTATTTGCGGAAGTTGTACAAAAAGACTTTCAAATAGCATGCATAAGCCTGACCAATTTAACGGGTAGACAACGAATTCCAGACTTCTTTCACAAAGCAATATATGTTAAGACGATGACGCAAAACTGCAGTTCGAGTCTTCGAGTAAGGTTTCCAAAAGGCTGGAACGGCCTTCGATGAAACAATGCAGAGCATTCTCTGTCGTCTGTCACTCCGTCTTCGCCATACACCCACTCAAGATTCTGACGGCCCACAAAAACGGTGGCGCTGCTACACCACAGGGAAATGAAAGACACCGTCCAGAGGGCGCAAGCGACCGTCCGATTCGGAGACTTCAGTCGTATTCATTCATCCAGCAAGAAACAGATGCTTTGCTTTTCGAAAAACGGGTTTCTGCGCGTACGTAGGGCCCACAGCTGCTATGAGCAAAGGTACTTCTCTGCAGCCACCCTATACGGAGAGCAAGTCGTCTGCTTCCTGTGCAGGATTTGCGGTGACGTCAGAACGACGCCGAGCTCTGATTGGCTTAGAATGAAAGATGGTGGGTAGACCTAAATGCTGAATGCCTCGAGGTCTACCCACTATTTTTTTTTTTTTTTTCAATCAGCCAATAAGAACCCGGTGTTCGGCCACCATCGCAACCCTGAGCAAGAAGCAGACGAACTTGCAGTTCGCATACCTCCGTTACGGTACCAGGAACGTGTCTTGGAACGGTGTGTTTTAACTTTCCTGTCCCGTCCAGACATCGAAAGTGGTTCCAAAGTGGCATCAAATGACGTCACACAAGCAGGCGTCACGTTGTCGGACGTCGCGATCCTGGCGGTTGGTCGTAAAAACGCCGGCGAAAAGCACAGGGGAACGCGAGCGTCTCTGTCGTCGCGGTATCCCAACTCCCAGGTGCCGAAGCTTCCATGGTTCGTGAAGCTGGAATGGAACCTGTAGCAGAACAGGCGTCTGCCAGGTCCACCACCGCTGCTGTTACGCCGCCAGGATCGCGGCAAGCAAAGAGTGCGACATAGAGATCCTGTATTACAGAGAGTTTCCAAGTGCCCGATCGTGGTCCCGCGCTTTATGGGCCGCGTTTGCAACACGACCCGCGAGGAAGGTGCCGAAAGCGTGGATTGTCTGCGAGCGCCTCAGCCTTTCCGTCTGCTTTCCTCCTCGCCACGCGGAAACGCAGCGCATGCGCACTTGCGATCGATCGGCGCAGGAGGGGTCCGCCATTAAATTGCAAACGCTCCCCGTGGCTTGAGTTGGACGCTCTCTACAATCTAGGCTCTCTAATGGGACACATCAATAGCGTCATCGGGCGAAGATGGAGGGACTGCATTTTCGGACGTGGTAAACATACCAGTTGGAGACGCGTTCAAGCAACCGCACTAACAAAATTTGTAAAAAAAAAAAAAAAATCTTTAAGTAACAAGGAAGAGAGAAAGAAAACAAAGACAGAGAGGGGAGGGAAGGAGGGGGGGAGGAGGGGTGAGAGACACTTACCGATTGAAAAGCATCCTGGCATCTAACACCCGGCGACGATGATGTACACCTACTTAAGTTTTTTCTCGGCCAAAGATCTACAACACTCGAAGCGAGGTCTTTCCGCCGACGCAGTTTTTAAAACAAGGTTGAGTGCATCCACTTGCACCAGCGGTCGCAATTCCCAGACGCTTCCCGAGTATTAAGAAAAAGAAAAGATCGCCATGACCCGCGTCCTTGATAGCTGTTAGTGGAGCGAACAGCTCGCACCACCAGCGTGCCGGCAGCATGTCGTAAAAGTGCGAAGCGCTAATTGACATCACTCGAGGGCCCCTGCAGGCGTCCGGAAGCCAGCTCAATATATGTCGAGAAATTGACGGGGAGTAGTGAGTTTGCGAGCGAGGCGCGCTCCCTTTCAGCTGCAGGCATACTCCCCATACATCATTAAAAGATAAAGAAAAAACAAACACGGTGTTGGCTGCGGACATGTTGACGGAATTATGTTCCGACACGTCTCAAACATGTTCGAATCATGTTTCATTCATGCATGGCCATGCTACAACATGTGTGCAGACAGCGTTTGTCCGACCAATCTGACAGAAACATCGTACAAGGAAGAAAAGCGCCTTGGACAGTCTCTCCAGACTGTCTTTTGTCAGATGTATGAAGAGCATGACCGCGGAGGAACGCGCTCTTTCCTATTGCGAGCGCAAGTTCGTCTGCTACTTGCACAGGGGTTGCGATATGTCAAAACGACAAACTTTTATTGGCTGATTGAAAAAAAAATAGTGGGTTGACCTTAAGGCAATAATCATTGAGGTCTACCTTATATCCTTTTCATGATATCCAATCAGAGCTCGGTGTCTTTCTGACGTCACAACGACTCCTGCGCAACAAGCAGACGACTTGCCCTTCGCATTACCTGGTGTCACAAGCAATGGCCGCTGGTGGTGCCACCGTTGGGCTCCCGATCCGCGATCCAGCCTGCTACAATAGGGATCTGTCGCAAGAACGCCCCATTGCAACATGACCTAAAAATATTCGATTTTCATCGCAAGGGGCGCTGCTCAACACTTGAGAGCTACAGACCTATAGTAGTCAAGTTAAGTTAACAAAAAAGAAAGTGAGAAAAATATCACTTGCTTCCGCAAAGGGTTCTAAACTCCGTGGTCAGAGCTCCTCTTTGACGAAACTTCTTGTCCGTGTCAATGACCAGCACCCGGACTTCGTAGGTCTCGCCACTGCGCAGACTTCTCAGGGTCCTGGAGTACGGGGCAGACTTGGGCAAGGCTGCCACGACAATCTTGTGCCAGGACTCGTTCAGCTTCTGCATGAATAAGAAGGAAACCGATTGGAGATGCGGAGAAAGGTTAAAGAGTGTGTTGATGGGCCTTTGAGCTACGGCGACACTCGCTTTATCTGTACATAATCAATTTAGCGCATACAGTAACGCTGCAAGCCTGGTGTCTTTAACGTGCGCTACGCACGATACACGAGCGCATGTCGGTGGTACGATGCTCATTCAGATCGAAACGGGCAGGGGTGGGGATTAGACCTGATCCCTCGGCTCTGCGGAGCGAGCTTTCGCGCCACCCGCTGTGAGCTTCGGTGTGTTTGCGCAGGGGCCCTATGTTGCGTTTTTTTCGACTCTCACGGCGACTAGGGAGAAGGAAGTGACGTCAACAACGCAGCAAACGCAGATTGGATGTTGATGGGTGAGAGTCGCTGATGACGAATTTCCGCAGAAGAAACATCCAATCTGCATTTGCTTCATTGTTGACGTCACTTCCTTCTCCCTAGTCGCCGTGGGAATCCAAACAGCGCAACATAGGGCCGCAGGTCCGTCCCCCCGCCCCCTCTTTTCGGGTGAAATTCCCACCCCTCAAGTCTGACCCATAAGCCCGCCCCTAATCTACAGTGGGAGTCAGTTCAACATGCACGCACCCGGTACTGAATCCAGTAGTCGGTCGCTGTTCCCTCGCCGTAATGTTGCGATGCATTCCAGGGATTGAAGCTCACGATGGCTGATGTGTCCTTAACTTCTGTCACGCTGGGTTTCGTTCGCAGCAGAGGGTAACCTTTTTGGGGAGACAAAATGTGGGAAAATAAGTGACTCCAGTGGTTGCACGTCACCCGGAAACGATCAGAATTGTTGCCCTTACAATTCACCCTTGATATGCGGCAAAAGACAATGCCGAATGCCTTTAGGTATTCGGCACTCTATTAAGTTATCGTATTTTCTTGGGTCGCGGTAACAGTTGCCCACACAATTACTCTAAATTGTCGTTATGGTTTGAGAGGTTCAATCCAAATGATATGGCTCGAAATTGTCTCGTAGAATTGACCAATTAATTTCTCGAAGCACGCTCAACAATCCCGCATAAGTACCCTGCTCCTGCACTTGACTTGAGTGTTTTGGCGAGAATCTCGAGTGTCAGTTCATCTGCCCCTACGTCATACAAGGGACACGGTGTTTCAGCAAACACGATCACAGAGTAACCCACGGAGAAGCCTTTAGAACTTAGCAGTGTCCCTGTGGCTTCGAGGAACAGACAAAAAAAGCCATGACATGCATTGGTACGGTCATATGCAACACAAATAAAATATGACTTCTCTCTGCAGTTGTGTGGAGAATTATTTGATAGAAGTTTCAATTATTTTTTTACCTGAACGGGTATAGGCCGCTCGAAAAAGAAAGGAAAGTGAACCGTGCTTTTGCGTCCATAAATTATGCGTTGCAAAGAAACTACCGGGTTCTACGATAAGTAAGGTTCCAATGTTTGAATGAAACGTTGAAAGCAATTGTAACTGCGTTGCGCGTTTGTTTATGCACAGGGGGAAGTTAGGCGGCAGCAGTGGGCGTCCGGTGCCTCCGTCCTATAGCCAGTGCAGTAGCACTCTATAGTGCTGGCCTGGTGTCTATAGTTAACGTGCGCCACGCTGTAGGGATACACGGCTGTCCACCGATATGATATGCTCATTCAGATCGCGAAAGGCCGGGGTGGCGACTAAACCCGCGGGCTCCCTGCGTACTACGAGCGATTTCATCTAGTGTTTATCATTAGAAAATGGCCTCTGTTAGTCCCCGCATTCTCGTCTCCACGTATTCGCGGATACCGTTAAAGTCATTATCTCGGTAAAAAAAAAAAAAAATCGGTTTCGAAGCGAATAACGCTAAATATTAAAACGTTTGAGATATCGCCATTCCTAGGGTTACAATATTAAGGAGGAGCTCAAGCTGACCTCAAGCCCCAATGCGTAAGAGCTGGTTGTAAATCTTAGCTTAAATACTGTAAAAGAAGAACAACAAAAAAATTAAACACGCTCGATTATGTCGCCAGATACAGGGCACGACATGTGACATTATGACGTCAGGCGATCACGTGACGTCATGATGTTACGTCACTTGATGGCGTCCCCGTGGGCACTACGGGCCTTTTGACGTCAGTCCTTCAGGAGGTTGTTCGTGACGATCCTATTCGCCCCATAAAGCACGTCTCGTGCTGAAACGACACCACCGAGAGAGAGTCTTGCGTCATTGATCGTGAGCAATGATCTATACATTCCGACTTACTGATATCGCAGAAAGGTGAGTTCTTCCAGCCCTCGAGACAGACCCCTCGGTCCTTGGCGCAGGTGCCGGTGTGGATGTCGCAGCTGGACTCCGTCTTGCAGAAGGACAGGCGACTTTGCTTGCAGTCTGCTCCGTAGTGGTGAGCCGGGCACGCTGCGTGAAACACGCGCGTGTTTCATTGTGCACCCGGCCGACGTCGCCATTAAACGAACGAGTACCCTGCAATGTACGGACTACGCCATCGTCGCTTAGAATAATCGAGGCCTATGGATCACGCATAATAAATCCGCCTCGATCCTGCGCTTTTTTTTTTTTTTTTTTACAGCGGAGTTGTTAAGGGCTAGTTTCCCCAGGATTATGTCCGCCGGATTAGAATCGATGACACCGAGCTCTGGACAGCTACCGCAATCTATGAGGGACGGCGGCAACAAGACAACAGGTTGCAGCCGTCCCTCATAGATGGAGGTAACTGTCCAGAGTTGTGTTTGCCGATTGTCGGCTTGATCGCGGCAACCTTTCCAGCCTCGGTACCCAGACAACTGGTCGCTGCCGTCGCTCATAAATGGCGGCAACCTTTCTTCGAAGGAAGAAGAGCGGGAGCGAACCAGCGGCGATGCGCTCAGCAGCGCGAATGGTTCCGCAACCGCCGCGAAGCCGCTATCGCCTCAAATTCCGCTGCGCCGAGCGCTTCCGATTCTCTTGCGAAAGAAGTGCAGATCGCTCGCCTGGAAAGCCACCGCCGAGAACAGAAGCTACCAACTCCGCTTGAAAGTTGGAAGTTTTTTCTATGCGTGATTGGTTTAGCCGGTGATAGCAGACGAACAAAGACGACGAGTGCCATGCGATTCACATTTGGCGCTGTTTGATTCGCTTCACCGTATAATAGCATTATAGATACGCTCGGACTTTTTTAAAAAAAAAGGAAACGGATTATAGACCTTTCTCAGCACTTATCGCCCGGGCCAAAAATGCTGAGTCACTGAGTCGTGTACGCATGCGCAGCGTCTGATATACCGCACAGCAGACAAATGGCGCATGCTCAAAAGGCGTTCCACAGCCCAGAAGACAAAAATGGCAGCGCGCAGAAGGCGATTTTTGCAAAAGCCTTTAGCTGCCAACTGCCGCACTTCGCAATACGCAATTCGCTCCCACCTTTAGAACCGTGAAGCTTTACGGATGTGTCAAAAACAATTAACAATAATAATACAAATAGTTGTGACAAAAAATGTCTGCTAGTGCAAATAATTCTATATATACAGATATATCGTTTTGTCTCTGGCGAGCCGATTTACATAGTACAATTGGCCACCGATATATGAATGCCCACACCGTGAGGTATTTTTGAGATTGAATATGCGAGTATAAGCACTTACTCTCGTTGCAGAAGAATCCGGTGAAGCCAGTCCCGCAAGAGCACCCGTAGGGATCGGGTCGGCACATGAGGATCCCGCGGCAGGACTTCACCGAACGGTCGGGGTTAGTGTCGGAGCACCTCTTGCTGCAGTCTTGTCCAAAGTAGTCGTCTCCGCACTCTACGCACGACGCAGAGATAACCCGTCATCGACTGTCTATCCGTTGACTATTAAAGGTTCCTATTGTCACTGAGCCGCAATCCCACAACTGCGCATGCGTGGTACAGAAGACGCGGTTTCCGCCGCAGACACGATTGCAGAACCATCTGCGGACACGCCTCAGGCGTGTTCGAATTAAGCGGGTTAGCTTCACGCATATGTATATGCTTCCAACATGTCCGCAGACAGTTTTTATCCGGCCAATGCGACAGCGTCCCGCCATACAAGGAAGACACACGCCTCAGACGGTGTCTGGCGATTGCCTTCTGTGTAGGTTCCGCGGTCCACGAAGCACTGAGACTGTGCAATTGGCCGATAAGAACGCCTAAGAACGAACCTTGAACAAATAGGCGTGAAATCGTGTGCAAATGAGCGTTAAGCCAAAAAGAAATAAGCGCAAAATCATGAAGAAATAGGCTTCAAGTCATAAAAAATAAGGGTAAAATCATGAAGAAAACAACTGAAATCGCGAGGAATAAGGGTGAAATAATAAAAAAATAAGCGTGAAATCACGAAGAAATAAGAGTGAAGTCATAAGGAATTAAGGGTAAAATCATAAAGAAAACAGCTGTGAGATCGCCAGGTAGTACGCGTAAAATAATAAAGAACTAAGCGTGAAATATTAAAAAATAAGCGTGAAATCGTGAAGAATAAGCGTAAAATATTGAAGAAATAAACGTGAAATCATCAAAAAAACAACTGTAAAATCGCGAGGAAATAAACGTGAAATAATAAAGCAATACGCGTGAAATCGTGAAGAAATAAGCGTGAAATTATGAAGAAATAAGCGTGAGATCATAAACAAATAAGTGCGAAATCACAAAGAAATAAGCGTGAAATCACAAAAAAATATGCGTAAAATTGTAAAAATTAAGCGTGAAATCGTGGCGAAATAAGCGTGAAATTATGAAGAACTTAACGTTAAATGATAGAGAACACAACTGTGAAATCGCGAGGAAATAAGCGTGAAATAATGAAGAAATAAGCGCGAAATCATAAACAAATAGGCGTGAAATCGTGAAGACATAAGCGTGAAATTATAAAGAAGTAGGCGTGAAATCATGAAGAAATAAGCGTGAAATCACGAAGAAATAAGCGTGAAATCGCAAAGAAATAAGCGTGAAAATATGAAAAAATAAAAGTGAAATTATGAAAAAATAAAAGTGAAATTATGAAGAAATTAGCGTGAAATCACGAAGAAACAAGCATCAAATCATGAAGAAATAAGAGTGATCAGCATAGGTCACACCCCAGATGCGTTTCTTAAGCCGGGATCACACTGCCCATACTGTGAGCATACAGAAGACAGTATGCAAACACAAGGGACCACAATATCCGTGGTTCGAACGCCGCGTGCCAAGCTTTCTTCTTGAACTCATTGCCATGTGGCATTCGAAGTACGGGTCTCGCGGTGACTCGCGTTCGAATCCGTACGCAGACTGTCTTTTGTATGATGTATAAGCAGTGTGACCCCGGCTTTAGGCTGTTAGTCACTCTACAAAATACTTACGCTGCTCGCAAAGTTGTCCCTTGAATCCCGGAGGACAGATGCAGTCCCCCGTAATGTCGTGGCACACACCGCCGTTCTGGCACGAAGGACATCGAAAGTTGCAGCTTGGACCATACAGTCCGGCACGGCAGACTGCGGGGGCAAAGACGAACGTTACACATATGCACCGAGAGATAGCCCACCTAAAAGCGAGAGCAAATTGGGTGAAAATGAGGAATGGGCTAACTTTCGGTGTGCAATCAAGAAAAAAGAAATAAAATGCAATCGTTGTGTTTTGTCATTTGCCAAAAACTTGTTTTCACACTGAGGGGCAATGGAGCATAGGCAGCTTTCCTTCCCCACTGAGCAATGTTCGCTCGTCTGCCGCTATAGGTAACATAGTTTCGGCCGAGCTCACCATTGGCCAGGGCACTGCAATTACTAGAAAACAGCTATATTTCGATCTTTAATAAAAACAATTAGCAAATCATGTTAAAAATAAAGGTGGGTTATCCTTCAGGGAGTAGGGCATCTTAAGGGATATTGGGGTAGTTGAGTCCGTGCACATACTTTTCCCCACACAGGCTTTTCAGAATGTTCGATGCAAACGAGTGGCTATACGAAACGAGGAGATATGTGCAGAACGTGAGGCCAGATTCTCAAAGCGAACTTACGACGAAAAAAATGCGTACGACAAATTTGAGAGAAAATCCGTATTCTCGAAACGAAATTGTCGTAAGTTTTGCGCAGGTTACGACCGTTACGACAAAATCCTACGACAGCTCCGAAGCTGTCTTACGCACTTTCTAGCTACGATCAAATTAACATGGCCGACAACGTCGCTCGGTTGCTCGGTCGCGACGACCCAACGGACATTTATTTTTCTACCTGCTCTTCTTGCGCGTCCCGACTTCAAGCAGCAAGAAAGAAATGAAGAAGTACTTGAAACCGACCACGACGAACATGAACGCTGGATCCAGACACCCGGAAAAGGCAACAAACGCGACGATCCCACCGACCAAGCGAGCTCGGCAGAATATATAGGCCTAGCAGGCACTCCGACCCGTTCCGGCGCAGCATTGCTCAGACGGTCCTTGGCCAAGACCGTCTGCCCACGACCGGCTGGCTTGCTGAATGGAATATGCCCGCGCGACCCTTGTGGACCCTCCCCGTATGAATAGTTTGATAGCTAAACTAAATTTCAGAGGTCAACCGATTCCCCTTATCATCTCAATCACCTTGTTTTCCGAGGCAGCGGTGACGAACGCTGTCGTCGAAAAGGGACTCCTCGATTCTATCTCCTTGTTTTGTGTGATATAGAGCTCAAATAAACGCCGTATGGATTACCTTCGCAACACGGTATGTACACTTTGTTATTAGTATGCCATTTTTAACTGTCGAGCTGTATCAGTTTGTGGGAGCTACGCGATGCCGGTCCAACCTTTCTTTGCCGACTGTCACGTCAGTATCGAGTTGCAATCGTAGAAGATCGGTCCCGAAGCGCTTACCGAAACGCAGTCTGAATCCAGCACTTCGATCAAACGCACGCGTCCGCTCCGAGTGTGAACAGGTATTTGCGTGGCTCTTGCTGACACTCTCGTAGTTCAAACGTATCTTTTTTAACGTCGGCTCACTCCTGCATTTCCGAGCCTGCGAAAAACGCCGCGGCGGTTTGTTTCCTTCTACGTCGCTTTGCAAACGACTGGCACGGGGCTTTTACCAACGATGACAGTTGTGTTGACTTCGTAGCGATCGAGTTTGTAGCAGTCAACGAAGCGTTTAAATCCTGTTAGCGTCGATATACCACTGCACGGACACGAACCCCAGACAAGCGGTGGTGGAAAGGTCGCCCGTGTTTATGAGAATCAGCTTGAACACTACAGATTTACACACAGACAGGACAGTACATACACGGAGCTGTCTGTCAACGAGTGGTTAGCCTGTGTTTGTTATTAAAAATCCACGTGTTCCGAACTATGCCTAGCTCTCTAATTGGTTGTTCGTTTTGCCGAAGACGCCGTTGCCATAGCAACAGCACCGGAAGTCATCGTTTCTCCGTAAGAGGTCGTAACTTTCCTCCTCTCACTTAAGAACGCGTTTGTGAATACCGTTCTCGTCTCATCTTACGATGATCGTAACTTTACGAACTTCGTAGCTAAGTTGTCGTAGCTAAGAGGTTTTTTTATGAATCTGGCCTCTGGTTTGTGCTTACAGCTACGGCCTTTGTGCCCGTGGCTTACAGCCACGGGCACAAAGGAGAGGCATCTGTATTTGGTAATTAAAAAGCAAAACTTAGGCAAAAAAAATATAAATCGTGATGGTGATCAGTAAAACACATTGCAATAAAACTAAATCTTGCTTGTTCAAAATCAACTCAAAAAAATGTTGCCTGGAACAATATAAAAACAGTCACCGTCGATTGCTACCTGATGAGCACAATGCCCCACGCAGGGCCCGCAACCCAATGCGCTTAGTGTCGAACTCTATCAGATGACGTCCTTCAGCTAATTTCTATTAACCGGCGCAAGTCGAGACTATTGCTGCTGCATGCCACTAAACTGCTGTATACGCCTATATCATCTATAACAATATAGTACTGAGGAATCGAAGGCTTTGTTATATTGCGAATTTCGTTATATCGCAAATTCCGTTATTTCGCGGTTTGGTTATGTGCGAAGCTCAAATTACATTGCCTAATGTATTCACAGACAAGTATAGCATGCTTGATGCGGCAAAAGGGCAAACAATATTAATAGCCGGGTTCACAATGTTATTACATCGTACAAATTACACACTGCAGACACTGCTCGAGGAGTGTTTGTTCCTTGTGTGACAGTCGTGTCACAATGGTCATACAAAAACTGTCTTTAGTATGCTTTGAACATGCTTCACGTGTGCGCGCAGGTAATTCTGGCATTATGTGCGCAGCGATCACGATGTGTTTTGTATGATGCGTGAGCACTGATGACTGCGGCTCATAGATTGTTCGGGTCTCACCTCTTACTATGACCCTGATGATGGCCCTGTTCTTTCCGGGTGATCTCGTGTACGGACCGTTAGCCACGTATATACCGCCGTGCTGCAGGCGAGCACTTGGGATTTTCATCACCGGGCCAAGAGTCGAAAGCTGTACTGTTGCTTTGCCGACTGAGTCGACCTTGGTCCAGGACGCGAGACGGCCTTCGCGGAGGGACGTCACGGCGATCGTAAGTTTGTCTCCGGGACTCGCGGAGACAGTGTAGTTTCGAGGCAGGAACGGTACCGCTGCGATGTATACCAAGTGAAGACAGAACAAAAGGCGTGCTTTACTACTTTTTCAAAGATAACGGGCTTACTAAAATCTGGAAAAAAAAAATAATAAAAAAAATGAGGCTGTACAAGGGTATGGTGCCTCGAACGCGTCTGCGACTGGCGTGTTTAGCGCGTCGTTAAAAAAGGTGGTCCTTCGGTTTCTGTCCGATGACGTCATAAAAGTGTCACGCTCTTGCCGGTCGCGATCCTGGCGGTGGTACACAGCAGCGGAAGGGAAGGTGGCACCAGACGTCTGTTCTGCTGCAGGTAGCTCTACAACTTGAGAGTACACTGAAGCTTGGGCAGACAGGAGTTGCGATGTCGACGACGCTGCCGTTCACTCCTACTTTTTGCCAGAACTTCTAAGCCTAACCGCCAGGATCACGAATTCCGACTGTACGACACACTGGCTTTTGAGACGTCATGTGTCGCCAGTTTAGGGCCACTTTTCGATGCATGCGCGGAAGGGGACGCTAACGACACCAGTCGGAGACGCGTTCCAGGAACTCGACTATTAGAAGAACGTCAAAACCTTCAAAACATTGGGTGACACTATAGCCGAAACTAACGCAATGCCCATCATGGGGTGCTGGATGTGACGAAGGCTTAATCATCAAATTACTGTGTGTGTGTGTGTGTGTTTTTTTTTTGGGGGGGGAGGGGTGTATGTTTTCTTTTAGGGTGGAGTTTAAGTTGAGCGGATGCAACAATGGTCACTCACAAAGGGCGTGTCATCCCAGGCACATGCGCGAGAGCGCAGTACTTCAAGATCCTGCTTTTGCATGGAAACTTTAACGTGAAACGAGCCCCTCCACGTGCTCGCAGTCGTGCCTCCTACAAAACTACACGAAACAATTGAAATTCATCAAAGAACTTTGATGAATTTCAATTGTTTCGTGTAGTCCTCCTTCTATGGTTCCACAGTGAACCACAGAAGGAGGACTTCGACAGCACGTGACAAACATTTATTATTCGTGCAATAGATTATTTCAATAAGATATTTACATAATATATAGTGTCACGAACAAGAGCAAGCAGATGAATATACAACTGAAGATAAACGTTTAATGAGGCGAACTTGTGCCTTCTTAGAGAAATCCGGTACCAGCATCTTGTGCGGGCGACGGAAGGTGACTGTCCAGAAGCAGTGCGTTACCGCCGTTTTATACGCGAGGTACATCAGCTGATCCCCACTAGGGGGCTGGATGGTGCTTTGAGCAAATAGGCATGAAGCCACCGGAAGCAAGCGGCTTGGTCCCGGAAGTGAGCGGTAGACAGGCTGTTCAAGCGCTCTTCCGAGTGCAGGTTTGAGCAGCGTCCAGGGCGCTGAAATTTTCCTTCTTATTTGGAAAGAGCCTGCTTGTTGCATAATAACAGCGCATGCAGACCCGAGAAGTCTCCTGGAAAGCCATTGGATGTGAAAATTTCGAAATTCTAGATGATCGAGTGTGCACATGTCTCACGTTCAAATGCATCATTATCGGGTTTTAATTCGAGACGGGCATATTAAAACCCAGTCAAAGACACTAGAAAACATGAACCACAACATCTACCGAATGCACAAGAAAGACCAACGAACGCCCGACTTCCGGGTCAAGCATTGAACTTCCGGTGGCTTCACCTGGAACAAAATGGCTAATGGGCTAGTTAGTTAAAGGGGCACTCAAGTGGTTTTTGAGTTCGTGTTTTGATGATGACAGCTGAATTTAGACACCCTAAGTATCCCTAAAAAACAAAAAGTATAGTCATACGGTGATTATTTCTTTAATAAAAATGTAATTGAAGGCCGCCAAACCTCGGATCCATCCGAAAACGAAACCACTCTCATTGGTCGTCGCACGCTTATCAAAAGAATCTCGGGCCAATGGCGTTGGACGACGTTCCGTCGCGCAGTGATCCCGAGGTAGCCGCATCGGCCGAACCTCTTTGTCATTCGAGCTTCGATCTATGGCTTCGATCATGGCGGAGTTCTCTACGCTCGAGGACCTTCAGACGGGGCAACTTTTTCAGCAATTTTGAGGTTGCTGGCGGGTTGTTCCCTAGCTTCCTCTAGATCGACGCGAATTGCTGAGATCGGGTCCGGCTCGAACAAGCGAGCAACTCGGAGCAATTCGAAGACGGTTCAAGCGGCCGCAGCCAATCAGAGACGCAATATTTTCACGTGACACCCCTGTGGTGGTGATGATGACAGCTAAAGACTTAGTTTGGTTTGAAATGGAGTGTTTTTAGAAATGAACAGTTTCAGAAAAATGAATTAGTATTCTCAACGCCGTTTAAAGATGTAAGAACGCGTTTTTAGCGCATAGCTGGGCGTCTAAATAGTGAAAGAAAAATCAAATTTCATGATGATGACGGCAAGTGGGAGCAATTCGGTTGCTGCGTGTGAACGCGGGCGGCCCGTGTTGCTGGTGTTGCGACGTCAAGTTGCTGGGCGAAATTGCTCTGTCTGAAGCGGGCCTAAGAGGTTGAAGTTCTTCGGCGGACAGCCGACCTGCTGATGATTTCCTATGACGCCACTCCGACGTGCGATGTGGACGATAGCAGCGCTTCGGAGTCATGTTCGGGTTCCGAGGACGACGAAACGCAGACCTTTTCGGGCGTTCTTCGATTTGCGGTTGGGGCAAGTCGTAACCAAACCAACGTTTGACATCGCAGCGTTACCTCTGGTACGTGATATGAAACGATGTCGCCACGTTGACTTTCGCCTCGGGAGAACGGGGGGAAGGCTGGTTCAGACATGTGCAACGAGCGCGTACCTACGACTGTGTCCGTTGCAACCGGAGCGACCGGAACGACCGCACTGCGCCGCGCATACACACACCTGTAACCACTACAACAAGCGCAGCGGGTCGTCAGCACGGCGACCGCTTCTGTACGCCGCCGTCAGCAGTGTCAGCGGCCCCTCTAAAAAAGGAGACACACTGCTACTGAATGCCGTAACAGAATATAGACAGACAGTTTTCTAGTCTAAAGCTTTATTATTTTTTTTTTTTTTGATAGGCTTGCAGGGTACAGCGAATGAAAAAAATAAAATAAAAAAATGCAGCGCCGTCTTGGACGATCACGACTCTAATACACGACATTGCAATAGTACAAATATCGCCACACGCCTTTGCTACGGTTATAAAAGACAATGTAATCTTAGCAGCGATATAGCAACGTAGAAATATGATTTCGTGATCAGATAGACGTTGCGAGCGTTCAGGATTGCTAACACTAATCACTTTTCTCCGGTGATGAAAACGCGTGAAAATTCGCATCCTTTATACGGTACGCGCCAGTAATACCTTGAACTTGAGTACACGCATGAAATGCGCCAAATAAGAAATCCGGGCGATGTTCGAGGACACAAATGCTTAGAAAACACCACTGTAGTCGAAGTAAACGAACACGACGACACGGGCGTTTCTGCCGTCTTGAGAGTGCCGCCACGACATCGCCGCACGAGTAGGTAGATCTTCCCTTCTAGTACGTGCTGGGTTATCATAGCGAAACACGGCGAAAATTCACGGTCAAGGATAGCGCTTTTACGCAAAACGATGAGCTTTCACCAGGCCGTCCATTCCGACGATCACCACCGACGCCACGTTTGCGGATAGAAGGAGCCGGCCGGCCCGCGACCGGCACGACCGGCCTGCAACGCGCGGAGATACGTGCGCTTCCGCGCATCCCTGGGGAACGGGAAATTCACCCCCCGCGGAGGAAGGCAAGGAGAAAACGTAGTCCCTTGTTTGTGAAACGATAATTGCGCTATCGCGTATTCTAAACTAGAAATATTTTACGTCTGGTGAAATTATCATGCACAACATATTTAAATGAACTGAAAATTGTTTTTTTAGCGAAACTTTAAAAAGACCGCCAAAATTTTCAAACATACGATAATTTCATTGGTCCTCGCAAGTACAGAAAAGAGTCCGCACGTATTTTATTCCTGCGTGATTAATAGGCGTTTCTGCCTTCTAAAACTGAAGATACTCATTCACTGACACTTCCTTAACACCATCGCAGCAAAAAGTAGCTTGTCCAAAAACCGCTTGAGTGTCCCTTTAATGTTCCTTCAGATGAAAGCACCTCAGAAAAACGGGGACAAGGAAGACAAGACAGCAACAGAGTGCTTTGTGCTGTCTTGGCTTCCTTGTAGCCGTTCCCCTGAGGCGCCTTCATTGGAAAGCTTCACCTGCGCCAGGCTTAGAGAGCAGCTATGCGCCATCGAGCCCCCCCTATAGTAAAGAGATCAGTGGGTATGTCAAGCAAGGTTCTGAACCAGGACGCATGATGACAGACGAGTCTAAGCTAAAACTTTCCAAAATATTAGAATAAAAAAATATTTTACAAAATTAACCGAACCGAGCGGAATTCGACCCCCGAACCTCCGCGTGTGAGCCGCCTGCGTTGTGAACACCGCCACACACGCGCCAATATAAATCCAAAACAGTCTATCGCGCATAAGTATCCCGGCCTCAGATTTTCACGCTCGTCAAAAGAAACGCGCACGATAAAGTTCAAGCTCAATAACACCGACGGGACCTCGGCTGAGGCCTTTCTGTTTTGTTACGATATGTGCAAGGACGGCCGGGCTGTCCTTGCACATATCGTAACAAAAGTCAGTTCGTGATTTTTGTTACGATATGTCCAAGGACATATGTTTGATATGTCCTTGCACATATCGTAACAAAGGTCAGTTCGTGATTTTACGGTCTTTCTTCTTTTGCTTAAAAGCATTAATATATTTCTAGCCCCGTGGGCGCGCGGTCACGTCACAACTACCCTAGGTTGCCTTCATGCGTGTTTGGGTTAATGACATCTAAACATTTTGTTCCCGACACTTTTCTTTTTCCGGGGCGCGTAGACTTGCGTCTCCCTGCACGAGCTCTTGGCATTGAGGATGCTACGGCGGCGTATTGTTACAGGCTATTTCTTCGTGTCTTTTTTTTTTTTTTGTCTTTTTTTTGTTTTTTTTTTGAGAGTGCATGCTGTCGGCATCGGGCACGCACTTACGAAAAATGGCATTACCCTAAACAGAAGGGCATTGAGGCACTCTATCCTCAACATTTGTTCCAATCACCGTGATTGAAGCTGTGTGCCAATGTACTCGTAAGAAATAACTTCAGTGCACTGATTAAAATACTTTTGGATTACGATAAACAAACGATTGTTTATCCCCAATATTTTTCTTCCTTCTTTTCATAAGATGAAGAGGAATGGAGGTTTTTTAGCGTAAGCCCTTGCCGGCAAGAGGCCTCAAAGCCTCTATAAATCTGACTTACAGACCTTTGCATCGCTTGTCTCCCGGGCGAAAAATGTTGAGTCAGTCAGCTGTAGACGCACGCGCAGCGTCTGATATACCGCAGAGCAGAGCAACAGCGCATGCTCAGGAGGCCTTCCACAGCCCAGTAGAACAAAGATGGCAGCACGCAGAAGTCGATTTTCGCAAAGGTCTACAGTCCAGCGATGTCTTCGGTCAGAAGACCGACGACTCGGCGACGTCTTCGTGCGAACCAGCTCGGTGGTCGAGCGTGTCGTACGGAATAAATCCTAACTGTTTTGATCGGTAAACGCTTTCTCTTTCGAAGCTAGACAGATTCGCCGGTACCGCGAACAACAGTTCTGAAGTAGAGGTCCCACGCCCGCCGTCCGCCGCCATCGCTTAGTCCGCTTCGTTCAGCCGTCCAGCCCGCGACTCCCGCGACACGACGCCATGTTGAGAATTACGTAGACGGTGCACAGTGCGCTTCCGGTTGTCTCCGTAACTTTTTTAATGTAAAGGCATTAACTATCCCATGGAGCGAGCTGACGTCATCAGTTTGAAGCGCGAAAACGGCACCTAGTTTTTGCGATCGCCTTCGGTTCCATTGACTGGCGCGCTTCGACGGGGCTCCCATTGGCCGCTGCGCTCGTCAGTTTCCACGACCGCTCACCCGATGGCGCTGCGTGTTCATCAGCGCGCCGTTAACACATAGCGTCTAAGGTCAGCGTGCCCAGGGGAGCACGCGCGGTCACCGGCGACGAAAAGTACGCAGCAGACGAAAAAGGGAGCGGACGAGCGGCTTGCATGCTTTTGCATTCACAACTCATAAGAAGTGCTTAGGTGTACCACGAGCTTTTTTTTTTTTTTTTTTTTTTTTTTCAATCAACGCAGTTGCAACTTTTTGGAAGCCACAAAAAATAGGTATCATAACATTAATCTATTTTTAATACTGAGTGTGCTTTTTCCATGACCCAAAATTTGGATTATCTTTGGTGGTTGTGTCTAAACCATAGAAAACGGCACGTGACCAGGAAGACGAGAGTCAGCGCGGCTCAAACCGGCCAAATCTCGATCGGCGGTTTTCGGGAGGAAAGATAACGAATTTCGAGCCGCAAGTTGCGTTTTGGGTTTGCGGGGCTCTCATATGTCACGTACAAATAAAAACCTCGGCGAGCATAAATACCCTGCCAGTGTCCCTTTAACCTGTCACAGACTATAGTCTGGAAGTTCCTACAATTCATCGTCGGAGCGAAGAGGCCCACACGGTGAGGTTGGGGTGCCTCCTTAGGAGGAGTTAAAGCGTTCAGGTCACAGTGACGTGACCGAGCTGCGATGGGAGCGGTAAACTAACCCGAGTGAAGGAGGTTAAAATAGTATGCCTTTTCGCTTTAGCCCCGCCATGATATATATATATATATATATATATATATATATATATATATATATATATATATATATATATATATATATATATATATATATATATATATATATATATATATATATATATATATATATATATATATATATATATATTGCTACACTACTTCTTCACATTCCAAGTTCAAAAAGAGAGGAATAATGAATCTCACATTTATAGGCGTCGAAGAACATGGCTGAGGAGGCCACGGTCGAGAGTGGGCTGTTCTGGACCTGACACCAGAACACGTTGGTTCGAGCGTGAGGATACTCCTCCTTCGGAAATGAGACGGCATAGTGACCTGCATAAAAAACAAAACAACAACAACAACAACAAAAGACATTATTTTCTTTTTTCATTACCTACCGTTGTTAAGAAGCATACTCATTTTTCGACTCTCAAAGGCAGACCACGAAATCAAGTTTTCGGTTGAGGGGATACACAATATATTAAACACATTTCTGTTCTTTTGCTAACTGCCGCTGAAAACCGTGCAACTCATAGCACTGATCCTGGAGCAAACGCATTTTATGGCCTCCAGGAATACTTTACCTGTAGTCTCGAACACCGTGCTAAAAACGCCATGTGGGCTGCGCAGACATGATTATAGAATCACCTACGGACACGCTTGAAGCACGCTTGAAGCACGTGGGAATATATATATATATATATATAGAGAGAGAGCGAAGAGGGGAGAAGGTGATTATTGAATTTATTGCATTAAAGTTAGGGAAAGGGAAAGTTAGGGAAAGGGAAAGGGAACCGCTCCTCCCTATGGGGAGGAGCGGTTCCCTAGATATCCTGGAAGACGGGCCCTTTCCGACATTTGCAAGCTGAGATGACGTGCCACGTCACTGCCGCATGTCGGAAATAGCGCGGGCCTTAAATCAGCAACGGTTGTCGTCTACCCAGTTAAGCGAATTCGGAACTAAACAGTACACAGAGAGCTGGTCAGAAATTGAGTCCGCCGAAACCAGTGGCCAGGATGGTCTAATCGGTTAAGGCGTCGCCCCGGTCAGGCGAAGGTTGCGGGTTCAATCCCCGCTCCTGGCCCAATTTTTCACCAGCTCTCTTTCTCTTTCCCTTTCCCTAACTTTAATGCAATAAATTCAATAATCACCTTCTCCCCTCTTCGCTCTCTATATTACTACGGCTGCACTTGTCAATCTTCACTCAATCCCATTATATATATATATATATATATATATATATATATATATATATATATATATATATATATATATATATATATATATATATATATATATATATATATATATATTGTCACGAATGAAGGTGACGAGAAGTCGAACAGTGAACTGAAGGACAAAGGTTTAATTGGCGAACTTGTCCCAAACAAAAATAAGTAACGAAAGAGCGTCGAAGCAGCAGAAAAGCGGGCGGCGATTCGGCGGCACTACAGAGCGCTAGCGAGACTGACTCGACAAGGTCGCGGGCAGCTGCTCATCTACCGTGCGTCACTATCTCGAAAGTTCGACAAAGAAAGTTCGAGCGTCGCGCGCTCGGGGGCGAGGATGAACTGGCACTTTCGAGAACAAGAAAGCAGGAGGAAAGTTACGTCTGGTGCGAGAATGAACGCGAATCCTCTAGAAGTCCGTGACCGAGCGTTTCTTTATCGACCCTGCGGGCGGCAATATATATATATAGTGAACGAACATGGGAGAAGGTGATTATTGAATTTATTGCATCAAAGTTAAGGAAAGGGAAAGAAAAAGAGAGCTGGCGAAAAATTGGGCCAGGAGCGGGGATTGAACCCGCAACCTTCGCCTATTCCTTTGATGCAATAAATTCAATAATCACATTCTCCCCTCTTCGTTCACAATATTACCACGGCTGCACATGTCAATCTTCACTCTTTCCCATTATATATATATATATATATAGCGGGTGTTCATTTTTAATTCGAACAGATTTATTTAAAAAAAGCCGTGAAAGTTACATTTATGCTGCTTGTGGAGGTGAGTTATACGGCCAGGGGGCTAATCGTAACGATCAGTTGGCTAATGAACTAAAATTCGATAATTAACTTTTTAATTAATGAAAATAGACATATGGTTCCTACTAGAAACTTGCTCAGCGTCATCGAAAAGCACTCTGTCAGTCATTTTCAGAAAGACTTTGAGCGCGTGAGAAGCGTAGTAGTGCACTAAAGTTACCACTCGTGGAGCAGGTACAAAGCTAGCGGTTGCGGTAAGGCGCCCGCGAGATTTTTCCGTCTCTTATCTAGCCCCAGCCTTGTACCTGCTCCACGAGTGGTAACGTTAGTGCACTACTACGCTTCTCACGCGCTCAAAGTCTTTCTGAAAATGACTGATTTAGTGGTTTTCGGTGACGCTGTGTAAGTTTCTAATTGGAATATCTATTTTCATTAATTAAAAAGTTAATTATCCAATTTTAATTAATTACCCAACTGATCGTTACGATAAGCCCCCTATAATATGTCCCCCTGGCCGTATAACCCACCTGCACAAACCGTATCAGTGCATCTTTTACGGATTTTTTAAAATAAATCTGTTCGAATTAAAAATGAACACCCGGTATATGCATATGCTTAGAACATGTCCGCGCGCAGCTTCTTCATGACCAATGTGACAAGGCCACCATAATGCAAGAAAGACACCCGCCTTAGAAAGAGTCTGCAGACCGTTATTTGCATGATCTATCAGCGGTGGTATGGTGTAATTATTATTGCCTGGAACGCGCCTCCGAATGGTGTGTTTACCGCGTCCCAAAGTGTGGTTCCTCGATTTCCGCCTGGCAATTTAGAAATACATTGAACAATGCTCTACGTCGGGCAAAACAAACCTACCTTAATAATTTATTCAACGAGTCATGCATGGATAGAACAGATGTGGTATGGAAACGGCTAAATGAAGTATTAAAACGGTGTCCCTCTAAACCAGCTATACACGTAATACAACGAGATGGGGTAACATTGCAAGGAAAAGCTCTCGCTGAAGCTTTCAATTGTTATTTAACTAACCTTGTTAGTAGCATACATATACCTTCATCAATGACGTATATGAAGCCTAGAAACGAACACAGCGCAGTTTTCTTTCCAACTGATCAAAATGAGATAACTTTAATTATGTCATCTCTTAAAAATAGCAACTCCTGTGATATAGACGATTTGCAGGTAAAACCAATTAAGCACGTTTTGGACGTTCTATTACCTGTATTAACACACATTATGAACTTCTCGTTGTCCAGTGGTATTTTTCCTGAAAAGATGCAAACTGCAAAAGTCATTGTTTTGTTTAAAGGAGGGAACAAAAATGAATTTTCGAATTATAGGCCAATATCAATACTACCTGTGTTTTTGAAATGTCTTGAAAAGATTATTCACAATAGAGTGACGAGTTTCTGCACTAAATTTTCATTAATTTCTGACTCGCAGTACGACTTTCGCAGAGGTCGATCAACGGAGTTCGCTTTGCTAGAGCAGAAGGAGTTAATTTTAAAGTCGTTTGAAGAAAAAAAGTTAACTTTAGGCGTCTTTATTGATTTTTCAAAGGCGTTCGACCGTATTGACCATACTACCCTAATAAAAAAGCTCGAATGCTATGGAATTCGCGGTGTACCTTTAAACCTTTTACAATCATACTTTAAATTTCGCCAGCAATATGTCGTAATAAATGGACAGAGTTCTTCTGTCCTACCCATTAAAGCTGGAGTACCACAAGGTAGCATTTTAGGACCTTTGTTATTTAATCTATACATAAACGATATTGTTAATATCAGCAAAGCCCCATCCTTCATCATTTATGCCGATGATACCAGTCTATTTTTTTCAGGTACAGAGATAGAAGACCTTGTTAAAGAAACGAATGCCTCACTAGCGAAGCTGTATGATTGGAGTGAAGTTAACTCACTAATAATTAACACGACCAAAAGCAAGGCTGTCCTTTTCAAACCCAAGAATAGACATGTTTCTTTTTCTTTTAATATCATCTTGGGCCCCTCTGTCATAGAAATGGTGCCGAACGTCAAAACGCTCGGAGTGTATTTTAATGAACAGATGTCTTGGGATTATCACGTTAATAATGTTGTTAAAAAAACTATCAAGAGTGCTTGGGAAATTATGTCAATTCAGAAATTTATTGCCTCGTCACATAAAAATGCTTATATACAGGGCCCTTTTTTTACCCCATCTGAACTACTGTAATTTAGTGTGGTGTACCACATCTCTGTCAAATGCTAACAAATTACACCTTCTTAAAAAAAAGGCTGTTCGCACAATACTCAATGTTCCTTTCGATACACATACACCCCCATTATTTAAAGAACTACGTCTAATAACTGTCCCTAACTTATATGAGTATACTCTACTAACACGATATAGATCAGCCCTCCGTTCTAACGAGTCTTTCCTTAGACATATTTCAAACCTAACACCAAATATCCGGGTATATGACGTTCGTGAGGGGGAGCATTGGAAAATACCAACAAATCGCACAAATTACGGTTTCCAAATGCTAAGGTATAATCTTCCATTTATTCTAAATAAACTTCAGAAGCATAATTTAACAAATATCGAGAGACTGAATCTTAGTACAATTAGAAATTTTTTCTTGTATTAAAATTTCGCTTGTATTGTGAGGTCGTGTGTTCTGTATGTTTCAGTTATCCTTGAGGTAGTACGATTATTATTTTTAGTCCTGTCATGTACCTAAATATGCTATGTGCCTTATATATATGTGTGTATATGCGCGTGTGTATGATGCGTATGTATGTATGTGTGTATGTATGCGTGTATATATATGTATGTATATACATATGTATATGTGTATGTGTATGTATATATATATATATATATGTATATGATTTTTTTGTTATCTTTAACAGCGTGTTTAACTTATGCTGTTCTTCTGGTTCTTTTTTTATTTATTTATTTGTTTATTTGCTTAATGTTAAAAGCTGAAAACTTAATGTTATTACTTCATGTGTAGTATGTCGCCGTGTGCCAATTGTAAGGCTGCAGAGGCCTTGTCAAGTCAAACTTTTGACTTTTTGCCCCTGCAGCCTACATCAGTTTCTGATGTGAAATAAAGGATTGATTGATTGATTGATTGATTGATTGACGTCATAGAAGTGTCACGCTGCCGCCAGTCGCGACCCTGGCGGCGTCCCAACTGCCCCGGTCTATGTGGCAGACGCCTGTTATGCTTCAGGTCGCTGTCCAGTGTGGCAGTCCATGGAAGCTTCAGCAGCCAGAAGTTGGGACGCCGTGACGACAGCGACATTCGCGTTCGGTGGCGCCACTCGCAGCCTTCTCGTCAGCGTTTCTACGACCAACCGCCAGGATCGCGACATATACAACAGCGTGACACTTCGGCTTCTGTGACGTCATTTGTTGCCACTTTCGGGACCACTTTTGATGTATGGTGCAGAACGGGACGCTAAACACACCAAACGAAGACGTCCTACAGGCACCACATATAGCAGTGGCTATATGTGGTGCCTTCGGGAGGCGGTTAAATGCGTGAGAAACCGCGCGTACCCTGGACAGGACTCGGCGACGTGTTGACGTTCCGTAATTGGACCTCCTTGATCGAGTAGTCGAAGCTGATGGCGTGCTCGGGCGGTCCGTGACACTCCAGGGTGTGCGTTGTGTCCCCGTCGTAGATGTAATTCCGATGGAGAGACGTCACGTCGAGCACCCTCTCTGCGCAAAATTATTGGGCGATCGGGAGCAGGCACCGAGACGGAAATAACTAAGTTACAACTCTTGAGTAAGGAGACAGCTAGCTTTGAAACTTTGACATCTTTTTCGAAGCGCTAGCGCTACATTTGTGATGGAAACAGGGTGTTCGGCGGCGCACATTTTACGAATCCAATTAAAGAAACTAGAAAAAATAAAAAAAATTAAGATACTTAGAGTAAGATTTGATAGGAATGCAAACACCTGGCACGAGGAACCGTCAAAAATAATTTTTGTCTTCATATGACGCACTTCTGCTTCCATATTTACGCCTTGCCTCCTCCAAAAGCAAAACACGTTCTTCTAAAAAAAAAAAAAAAAAAAAAAAAAAAAAAAAAGTCGAGTATACGTTATTGTAGTAAACGCCAGTGTATTAGGTCCACCGAATCTTGTCAGAAACCAACAATAAAAAGGCTTGAATCAGAGTAATTATGAACGACAAGACTGCGAGAGACTCAAACGAGACTGCAAAGCTTTAGGTGGGGTTCGTGGAGAGAAAGGGAAATGGAGGAAAGGGGGGAGGGGTGTCTCAAAGAAGTTTGGAGGTTTTTTAGTTTGTTTATTATAAGCCATTATGGGGGGGGGGGCTGTCTAGTAGAGAGCGCGTTGGCATTGAATACAATTTTTCGAAAGAGTAACAGATAAACGACAGAACACGGGCTCTCCGTGTTCTGCCCTTCTGTGTAAGTTTTTTGGTAAAATTATATCTAATTCTACTAGGCGTTAATAATTTTTCTTAATTGACCCTCTGGCAACCCTGTTTCTGCGGGATGCGTATTTTTTGCAGGGAACGATCTGGTTCCCGTTTCGAGAAACACGCGCTGTGTAGATACAGGATAAAGGAAAATATGAGTTTGTTTACTCACCTTTAACACGCGGTGAACTAAAGTGGAAAAAGCTCGATGAGCTATACCAACTGGAAGCAAACACACAAAAAAACATATTTGAGGACAATTTGATTTAATTACAAAGAGAGTTAGGAGTAATTGTACTATGGGTTGCCGCCAAATTGGGAATACCGGTGCGCCTCTATCGGTAGTCCCACTTCAAAGATCACATCATATCAAAATACAATGGCCATGGAGCCGACAGCTTCTGCGTAGTTAGAATGTTTGGACGCGTGCGACCTCGGGATTTTCCCCTCTACTACCATAAAGCCCTGCATGCAACACGGCGCGCGTTGCACTCTGGGAACTAGTTGGCCAGGGAGGAGGGTGATATGGTTTCGGTTTCGATCGACACGTCGACAAGAGATTATACACAGAGCGTGAACTATTAACGGCCGTTATCTCATGTTTTCTGGTCCCGAGAGCGTCATTTGTGGTTTCTAAACTAACCTAAATGACAAGACCTCGAAGCTTCAGCACAAACCTGAGACGTATAGCTTGTCTTGATACAAGCTTGCTGTATTTTTGTACTTGAGCCTTTCTGTTAGCGTTCCAATCGAGATATGTGAACTAGCCAGTGCTGGGAATCTCGACGCTGCGAAGCTCGGGGATCTTGCTTGTGTACGAATCAACAAGCTTTAGCAACCAATAAGTACGCATACATCGAGCTCGCACCTTTACATTAGTGTTGCTGGTCAGGAAGTTTGTTTGTTTCGTGCGTCCATAGACGAAATATGACTTTTTGAAATTACTGTTTTTCTTAATACGCCTGAGTATGCGAGGTAAAACTCGGAGGCGCCATTGAAAAGCTCAAAGCGAACACACTTCTTATCCCTTATCTGTACTGCTCCGTAGCACTGCAAGAAGTGAATTCCCCACCCGCTTGCATTCCACGAATATTCAACATCGCGTATGTGCATAAAGTTATCCTGCAATCATATAGGCACATTCGCACATACAAACAGTTTTAAGAAAAAAAAAAGTCGAGCATTTGTGTGAAGAATGTAGCACCATTCGCCGCAAGTGCGCCGGACGGGCGTGAACCCCTAAGCGGTGCGCCAAACGAACGAAATTATTCAAAGCTCAGTTGACGGTTGCTAATGGCCATAATATGTGTTATGTGTTTGCTTTCTTTCTGACTGAGTCTTCCGAGATAATTTCAGAAACACCGTTCAGACACAGATCTTGGGCGTCAGTAAAAGCTTGTCCAAAAAGGCTTAGCAAGGAGTATAGGGACACTTGTTAGGGCATCTGTCGTAGCAAGCCGATCTCGGCGTTGGCGAAAATTTGATCTTCTATCAGCATAAACTTTGGGTGTGAGATATGTGATGACACGAGGAAAACATCATAGTAACTTTTGTGCAGTAGTGAGGTGGAATTTATTGTGTTTCCTTAAAAGTTCATGCGCCAACGCTGGGCTCAACTTTGAGACTCCTGTGAGGATGCGGCTTGCTTTTCGCCCAGTGAAGTAACAAGAAGCGGACGTTTGGCAAACAAAATACGTGTAGGGCTCAAGGTGACCAAATTTCAGTTGTAGTTTATTGTTGCTAGACGGGATTATTGAAATTGAGCTCAAACATGCACTCGTGGGGTGAGGTGACTAAGCCACGTCTTAGTACGTTTGCATACGCACGCACAATATCCGGTGTTTCGGGAACCAAGGAAAGTGCCCCAGGGTTCGTTTTGTATCGCTCGAGAATGAGTGTATTGTACATTCGTGAAAAGTCAGACAATCGAAAAAGCAAGCAGCGCATTCGGTCACGACGTGGTGGCATGAAATGAAGCTGCTCAAACGAAACCGAAACTGAGTGGCCAACGAGTTCCCAGAGTGCACTGCGTGGTATTTCGCCGCGATGGGGCGCCTCGATTTTGAAAGGGGAAAGGGGGGGGGGGGGGAGGCTGCCGATAGGGGAGGATCTGGTGCTGTAGGAACGCTGTTTATGATGCAAATAAGCGGAGTATAAAAATTAAATAGCGAAAAGGTTAGACAAAGGACAAGGGACAGAACACGTAGACAGGACAAGCGCCAACTCACAACTGGCGCTTTAATAGAAAAGAAGAGAAAACGTCACTTGTGAGTTAGAGCTTGTCCTGTCTACATGTTCTGTGCCTTGTCCTTTGTCTAACCTTTGCGCTATTTAATTTTTATATCATGCATATCCAGCTAGCCCACCTCAATATCTGAGCGAAGTGGTATCTATTTTGATAGTAAGGTATCTGACCGCATAACTGAAACTTCTGCGGCTACACGCGCTGTATGTAAGGCGAACAAAACAGACGAACATGCTGTGATGAAGTTAGAGCGGACGCCGGCTGTCAACCCCCTCTCCCTTCCTTGCGGAACCGGGAGAGGAAGGGAATCTTTAAGGGATAGAGCGGCCGTGGTCTGGGCATTTTGTTCACTGTTCAACAAAATGAATCGACTTTTGTTGTTTAATTTTGAGGCGAGTAAGGTTCAGGTCGAACGAGTGGCTTTTTGATGCAAACTTGCTGAAGTTCTGGGTTCGAATCTTGTTCGAGATCATGTTTTTAGTGCTTTTTTTGTGTTTTTATTATACTCTTAGTGCACGATTACGCAATTCAAACGCTAACTCACCATCAAAAGGCTTATAAATTATCCCTTCTGCCTCCTTAACTCATGCTGCACGACGACAAGTTGTGTCTGATGCATCACGCGTATAGCGATATTTAGAACTTCTTGAATATTTGGAAACTAGTTTCGCAAACATGGCAGAAACTTTACATGGCGCAGCACACGCCAGCAGACATATATTTCCAACCCCTTCCTATATTTTTTTTTTTTTTTTCGAGCAGAATCGCAATTCTTTTGTAATCGAAGCGAGAACGAATTTGCGGCACGCCATTTCGCAATAATAGGGAGTTTTCGTAGACCGCGTGTCCCCCTCCGCTAAGCCCTCCGCTACGAAGAAGCCGCTACTGCGCCTGCGCGTCACTATGGCCTTGGCTGTAGAGTTCCGGGTAGCGTAGCGGGTTGCGGAGAAAGTTGCGGGACAGCGGAAACGATCTACGAAGAATATCGGAACGGTGCTCAAGGAATCCGAGTTTCAAAGCGATTCCCTAAAAGTCAAGACGGTAAGGTTCACTCGCTCTGACATGCTCAGGAAAGATCTAGCAAAGGTATATGGGAATAAGATACGGTAGAGCTGCTGCACCTTTGGGAGTGGACGCCATAGCGGAGTAACCCGACAAAGTAGTTCCTCTCCCCCGAATCAAAGATGAGGGTGACAGTCCGTGCCGAAGAGTTCCACGAAGAGATGCGAAAGTCGTGGAGGGCGCTCCTGCACACTGAAGATGACTGCGGAAAGATGTCCACGTGATCGCGTCACCTTCTCTGTGCCACCAAAAGGCAGGACACGCGATCGTAGCTGTCCGCCTACGCGGAGCGCGAGTTCGTCTGCTTCTTGCACAGGGGTGGCGATGATGTCAGAACGCTGAGCGCTTATTGGCTGATTGAAACAAATAGTGGGTAGACTGCAAAGCATCTAGCATTAAGGTTTAACCACCATCCTTTCAGTCAAAGCCAATCAGAGCTCGGCATCGTTCTGACGACACCGCAATCCCTGCGCAGGAAGCAGACGACTTGGTCTCCCCATACACCCCCCGTACTCGAGAAGAGTCCTTTTAAGGCCCTACGTTAGAAGCTCGGCGAAAAAGTGTGCTATCTCGCCGACTTTCTCGCCGAATGTTGGACAACGTTTGACTCGCAACGGACGTGGGACTGGGGAAAAAATAGGCCTTAAAATCCCTCCAGGCCGTAACCCCGTAATTTGCAGACGCCTCTTCGGTTAGTATAGGATTCCTGAAATCGTCGGTGCTCTGGTATCTTGATGTGGGATTTCAAAATCCCAATGCCAATTCCTGATGCGCGAAAACATGCAGCGGCTACGGAATCACTCCTGAATATATTTTCTCGGTTTACAAACCTTTCCAAAAGGGAAAGGTTAAGACATCATGATTTTAGTTACTTATTTTTCTTTTACTTGAAAAATCCCACAAGACTAATGCAAAATATAAAAAGAAATTCATTTCAGTGTTGTTTCTTTTTGTCTTAGGACACTATTGTTACACGCAAAAGAATGTAAATATTTGTACAGTACCAGGGCATAGCGTTCGGTGCCGTAAACAGGATCGTTTGACGTGAGGCAGGGGTTCTTGCAATATACCCTGCAACGGGGAGCAAGAAAATACCAGACTAAAAAAGATCAGTTCTTGAAAGGAGTCTTCGACGCCCCCAAGAACACTTGGAGCTCGTGAAGAACGGTTTCGCTTTGAGCACTATCGCCCCCTGGCGCTCTAGAAAGGCAACTAGTAACTCTTTCGCCACACACACAAAAAAGGAGATTAAAAAAAAAAACCTATGAGGTTGTTTTTTTTTTTTTTTTCACAAAGAATATTTTAGGAGGTACTTAGAATAACATTTTAGGGTGCAGAATATATACACTCCGAAGGGCCCCTAAAAGTTATTTTACGACCAGATATTTTGGGATTTTTTAGAACGCAGTGTTTAAATAATATCGCATGAATAGATAACAAATAGCACGTTAAAGATGGTGACGGCATATCCCTTTCTTTCTTTCCCCTCCCCTGTTGAAAGTCGTATGAACGTTTACTGTGTTTTCTCTACCTGGTATACGATATTTTGATACGGTTTAGTTAACCAGGTACCACGCATAGCTTCCTGCTTTCAACCGAATTCCAAACAACTTCCGAAGCCACCAGCGCCAAATAATGCCTAATCTCAATATAAGTGATGCGTGGGTCCAGTTGGCGTACATTTCTTCCAAATGTGCGCTTTTACACACAAACCATGCCGCGTGTCTTTGTTGTCTCTCCGCGTTTACTTGCCGAGGTCACACTGTTCGTACATTCTGCAAAAAGACACGGCCTTCGCGGCCAGTGTTGTCAACCTCCGCAGTTGTTTCTTCCCCAAACTTTACAAGATCATTCCCTAGAGTTACCTAGATTATCAGAAGATATGTTAATTTGAGTCATAATTGAGATTATTCTTATGGGGTAACTTAAGAATAGATTCCTGCAGTTGGTAGGTCATTTAAAGATCAAATTTGCTTCGTTAACACCGTTTTACATACGTAAACTTTGTTGCTTTGCCGGCACGGACAATATACAAAAAGCCATTTTTCCCACAGCGCTCGGCCGGCACAAGGAGAAAAAAGGGAAGGAACGTGTCTCTAAAACCCTCTGAAACCCATTAAAGATCAATCCCTAGATATGAACAAATTTCCTTTTGCCCCTAAACGGTAACGAAAATCCCTATCTCTAGGGGAAAATCCCTAAGGTTGGCAGCACTGTTCGCGGAAGGCACCATGACAGAATCATCTGGGGCACACGCCTCAAGCATTTGCGGAAGCATATGCTTGCTTCGAGTACGCTTCGAACATGTCTGAAGGCAGTTTACGCGTGATCAATGGGACAGGACTGTTATGCAGGGAAGAAACACGCCTAAGAAATTGACAGCAGACTGTATTTTGTACGATGTATTGGCAGTAGTGACCACGATACAAATGTTGCGCCTAGCCTCAAGCCTTGAATCGATGTCGCAGCTTGATTTGTATGTACGTCTAACTAATATTAGCCAATAAACGTTTACCAGGAAAGAGGGCGTTAAATAAGCCCCCCCCCCCCCCCCCCCCCCCCCCCCCAACCATTTTTTTTCCTGCATTCAGAAGTTATAATAACACCGATCCCAATTTCGAATACGCCATTCCCACTTTAACGTATACATCATCCCGATTAGAGAGCTCGTGCAAAGTAGAACAATTTCAATCCCTCACTAAACTTTATTTTTTCATCTCTTAACCTTGTAGCGAAATAAATTGTCCAACCATGAAATAACCGATCGAACTAATTACAAACCAGCGCACACGGGGACAGTTAAAATCTAAACACACAAAAAATACACACACACGGCGCTGAACGATCACCTCAATTGTATTTAGTCAAAACGTCTTCGACCCCAAGCGGTAGGACGCCAGCCCAAAAACCAAAGGAAAGGAAAAGTAAAAGACAAGGCAAAGGGAGGAATTGTAGAATACAAAGAAAAAGAAAGAAGATTAGAAAAAATAAAATCGAAGACAAAGAAAAGAAAAAGAAAGGAGAATAATAATAACAATGCAAGGTTCGAGAATTACCAAAATTACAAAAATTATTACAAAAAACAATCGCGAAAATATATAAACCAGGTGATATTTGTTGCAGCGTCATTATTCCGGTGAAATCCGTCAATGTTACTTATCCAGGGCCCGTTTGCTCGAAGCCGGTTAACTTCAACCGCGGTTAAAAGTTAACCGCCCTTCCCTGCTAGCTACCTACAAGTACCTAGCCACTGATCTCTATGACAATTGCTGGATCGCGCTTCCCCGCTTGTTCGCTGCAGCGCAAGTGAAGCCACCGGGCTTTACTCGCTTGGGATACGATTTGCCGTTTTTGCTAGCCTTTGCTGCGGTTTTCCAGCGTGCTGACGACACGTTTTCTACTCGTTCGTCGTCATTCGCCGAAGAAGTTTTTTGAAGACTCTGTGTATTGTTGAGACTTTCCGTTGTGAACACGTGGAAAATTTTACGAAAGTGCAGTGTCGCAGGAAAAAGGCACAACGCGTCGAAAGGAAGGGCTGGCGGCGTGTTCAAAGCATCCTTGGCACGCCGAAGTGCCGTGTCTCTGTGCCTTCGCACGCTTGGATACCGACCAAGAACCGACGCCGTGTGTATGTGTTCAGCGAGTGCAATGTGCGTGAAGCTGTTCGTGCCTCTGGATCAGCGTCTTTTCCCCTCGCGGTTTAGGAACGAGCTTAATCCAGCGTCCACTAGCGACGGGAGATGGGGAGAAGGTACGTCTTTTTTTCGTCCTTAGACGATTTACACAATACCGTGCACAACAGCTCCTCATCACTGATCAGTGCTGGCTTATTATCAACCTACGCGACTCGCCTAATTGTAATTGGTCAACAGATTGCACACGACCATATCGGCCGCGCTTCAAAGATTTTCATTCTCGCCGTCTTGTAGTTTTGCTTTCGAAAACCCCCCTGGCTCCACGTACAACGTTGCCCTATTCGTGCTCCCACGGAATCTATTAGAGTAGATTTGGGACATAGCCATGGTTAATATAGTACATAAGAATACGTACAGATCTCCCCCTTTTATTGATAGCAACTCACCGGAACAGCTGGACGATCCAGAACTCCGTGGCCGATATATATAAATGATCTAAAGGCATCTACGCGCGACACACGTTCAGAACTTTGGCGCGGCGTCAATTCTTGACCGGTATCCAAGCGTGCGAAGGCACGGGAGGCACTCACTTGATCGAATGACGTTTTAGCGAACGCCCACGTTTCATCGAACGACACTTTAGCGAATAGTCGGACGCCGCGAAGCGGCGTTTTCGGGTGGGCCAAGTGAGTTCATATTTTTGTAATGAGTTGCCGAAGACTGTCGCCGCGAAGCGGCGTAAAGCGCAGCGCGACGGATGGGTTAACGCGCGCCCCCGTTATTCGCTAAAACGACCATTCGCTCAAACGTCGCCGTTCGCTAAAATGTCATTCGCTCTTGTGATATGGACCCCGAAGGCACAAAGATGCATCACTCGGCGTGCCAAGGAAGCTTTGATCACGCCGCGACACCGGCGACACGTTTTCGACGAGTTGTACCTTTTGATACGGCTTCACGCACATTGCACTCGCTAAACACATTCACACGGCATCGGTTCTTGGTCGGTATCCAAGCGCGCGAAGGCACGGAGACACGGCACTTCGGCGTGCCAAGGATGCTTTGAACACGCCGCCAGCCCTTCCTTTCGACGCGTTGTGCCTTTTTCCTGCGACACTGCACTTTCGTAAAATTTTCCACGTGTTCACAACGGAAAGTCTCAACAATACACAGAGTTTTCAAAAAACTTCTTCGGCGAATGACGACGAACGAGTAGAAAACGTGTCGTCAGCACGCTGGAAAACCGCAGCAAAGGCTAGCAAAAACGGCAAATCGTATCCCAAGCGAGTGACGCCCGGTGGCTTCACTTGCGGGAGCGGCAAGCGCGATCCAGCAATTGTCATTGAGATCAGCGTACCTAGCCAAGTTTGACGAGGGCTGGATGAGCGATAGCTCCGCGTTTCATTATAAGGTGGTAGCTGGTGTCACCTACTGGCTGTAGCGAATATAAGTGGCTTCCGTGGAGAGGTTCCCAAAATGGGGGAACCCAAAAAATTCGCGCTGCCTGATTTTCGCGACGCAGCGCGGCATACATTTGAGCTTAAGAAACAAGTTTTATTGCTCGTGGTACAAATAGTCGGCAAGGTAAAACGAAATTAACCCTTGTTTGGAAATTTTCTAAATATTTGGCTGTATGAAGTGAAAAAAAGCCTCGTTGAAATTTCCTTCCCAGTTCGAAAGAGGACGACAAAGTTTAGTCCTAGAAACGATGAGAAAGAGGTGAGCAGTGAAAGGCGGGTGGTACACCGGCAGCATGGTTAGCCAGCATGTAACAACTGTAATAACGTCATAAATTGAAAAGCCTGTAATTCGGCTCTACTGAAAATTCACCTATTAGTAAATTACCCGAACATCGAGAAGAACGCTGGAAGTGTAATTTGACGATCCGCGTGCGCTAGCCTTCCCCTTATAAAAGATTTGAAGTAAATATTCATAATAAATCTTTGACGAACGCGCGTGCACGGCAAAATTTGTTTTAGGCTTTTTGCTTCAGAACAGTTATTACTGCAGACGCCAGCAGGTGCAGCGCGTGTAACTAAAAAATGCGGCGAGGTCATTGCTCATGTTTTGCGTTTTAAGTGAGGTAAGGCAACGCGAAAACCTCCTGCACCATTGATTGCTGACTAACGCGCCCGCTACTGCAGCTACCACGACGCATTAGTTCCAAAGCGAGCGGCGCTCACTCACCGGGGCACCGCCATGTTTCCCCGCCGTCCTTACTCTGCCGGTCACGTGACCCGAAATTCCCCATCGTAGGGAGATCCGGTTAACCGCGGTTAGTTAAAGGGATACTGAACCAAGGAATTTAGTGTCCACAATAAGTGGCGCACGTTCTTTCCACGAGCCAGCTGCCGCCTTTGTGCGCGAGCACAAACAACCAATATGACGTCAGAGACCTCCATTTGCGTTTAAGATGACAGTGAGATGTATGGGCT